CATCCAACCCTGGCCCTCGACGTCATCAACCTCAAAGGGGATGCCCAACAAGGCAAAGCGGTCGGCAATGGCTTTCATTCGATCGCCCGCCTCGCCTTTGTAGCCCCCAAAGGTGTGGATATTGTCCACGTAGGTCCCGACCACAGGGCGACCAGGTAGAAGTGGTGGAGGAGGGGCCCGATCTCGAATCTCATCCTTGCCGGGTCTCGTACTCGTAAAGCTCACCTGATGGTTGACCACCTCGTTCGCGATGTAGAGAGCCCAGCTCCATCCCATGGGCACGCCTTTGAACGCGGCGTAAACGCGCTCATGAGCCCGGAGAGGGAGCTCCTTGTCAGCCTCATCGTCATAGACGGCGTCCACGTGGATGCCCAAGTCCGCGAGCTCAGCCTGGTCGAAGTCATCGTCCGTGCAGAACCACGCGGCCAGGGCAGGGACGGTAAAATTATAGAAGCAGTCTCCCACATCACCGGCTTCGCCCGTCACGCAGGCCTCGCCGAGGTAGCCGCCAAATCCATCAGATTCCAAAGTCCCGGGTGAAAGGTCAAGGTTTGTCATGCCCGCCGGCGTCGCAAGGCGAGTCGTCGGTGGAGGCCTGTGACAAGAATTGGCTTGCCGCGCATCAATAATGAGACGCTGTTGGTCTGTGTCTTTCTTGCGCACGGTGAAGAAGCCAACTCTTGCCTTGCGGCGTCGACGAAAGGTCAGGAGGTTCGCTTCGAAGAGGGCCCGGTAAAGCTGCAGACGAAGGAGCCGATCTCGCCGAAGACGGGGATCCCAGTAGGGCTCCACCAGGTTCCCGGTATCGCGGAGCCCCTCGAGCTCTTCCGGAGTCCTCTCCACCAACACGTTGAACTTGTCCAGGTAACACTTGGTCTCGGGGGGAGCCAGGTCTCTGGCGTCCTGCGGTTGGAGCCTCCGCCGTAGAATCTTGATCTTCCCGAGATCCGTGTCCACAAGGTGGCAGGCCTCCTGCGAGTACAGGTTGGCTCGCCTGCAAAGGTCACCGAGAGAGGAAGCTTCAGTCACTTCAGCTGGACACTCTCCGTACATGGCAACCCTCCGCCAAATGTCTCCCATCATCCACTCCTGAACTGAGGTGAGTGGGGGAGGGGCGGAGCTAGATGGCACAAAAGGGATTGCGGCAAGATTGTTTAAAGAGCGGAGCGCCGCATCAACTCGCCGGTGCAATCGGGTAAAAGGAGGAGTCCCCGGAGAACTCGATGAAGAAGAAAGTCGGGGTAAAGGAAAAGGATCACCATGTTTTCGGTGAGGAGAAAGACCCCGAACTCCGAATTCAGCCCATGCATCTGCCGAAGAAGTTGGGGTAGGGCCGGACATCATCCTCGGCGTGGCCCCACCCAAGAAGAAAGCTACTTTGCCCCGCCAGAGCTGCCCGCAGCAGCTCCGGCCGTCGCACTGTCTCCTTTGCCTCCTTTCTTCTTTTTCTTCTTCTTCTTCGGATTGCCCTTGCCACCATCATCGGAGCTGCTGCCATCGTCTCCGTCTCCTCGATAGCCGCGCCCTCGAAGCTGACGTCGCTCTTGATTGAAAAGCCTCTCTTGTTTCCAAAGAGAGGCCCGCTCTTTGAGGCGTGCCGAGACCCACTCCGAGAACTTGGTGGTCGCTGCCCTCCCGTCAGGCAATTGAGCGGTCCCACTCACGATGTCAAGCCCGCTGAAATCTGGAGCAGCAGGATTCCGTTCCACCGCAAGCTCGGTCTGGATCACCCACCTTGTCAAATGCTCGCCCACTGCAAGGGCGCTAACGTCAAGCTGATCGAAAGAGTGCATCAACCTCAACGCCTCGCAAATGGCCCGGTGAATGTGAACCGAGCTGGTCTTGCGATTGGCCCCTGACAAGCGGACCCATTCTGAATGGTAGGTGAGGAATCCCTCCGTTGTCAAGGAAACTGCTTCATGAAACTCCTTAGCGGCCCGAGCGCCCTGGATCGGGAACTCAGGATCCACAGGGCATTTCATCAAGGGGACGGCCTGGCGGAGACCGAGGACCTTCTTGCCACTGGCATCGCGATGGTCGCCTAGGAGTCGCACGTCGGCGGCCTCCAGGCCACGCTTCCTTTTCCAAGCATCCAAATCGCTGATCATCACTCGCTCGACAAAGACTTCTTCCCCTTCAAGGATTATGACCCCCTTCATTGTGAAAGCCAGCCCTGTAGCCTCATTCGCAAGCAAGGCAGCGTCCACCGTGCGGCCGAAATCTGAATGAGTACTCTCAGCCACAACCCACTGGGAGGCCTCGGAGTCAATCACGGCGCTCTCTCCAAGAATGGACGCCTGGATCTGAGCCTGCCTCCTGAAGTTGGACAGTGCAGCTCGACCTATGGGGTCGTGGGCATAGATCAAGGCAGCTATGTCAGCCGGGAAAGGGGCTGCCCGGTCAAGCACTCTGTGATTTTGTACCGAGAGATCATGTCGTTGGAGCTCCAGATCGGGCGTAAGGGTGATCCATCGTCCACCCTCGATCCGGTGAAGCAGGACCCTGTGATGCCAATCGAAACCTCCCGGGTCTCCGGGATAATGAACCACTATCTGGATCTCCGAGATATCTAGAGTTAGGTCTGCCATTTCTTCAGATCGGACGGCCTAGTCGGACGTGCCGAAGCCGGGCGAGAAGTAGGAGAGGTAGAAGAGCTGGATCCCAAAGAGGTCTCCGAAAGTCTCTCCGAAATCAAACCTGATCCGATCCCTGGACTCTGGTCACAAAGAGCTTCGGCCGAGGACTCGGGAGCAGGAGCGGCCCTCGCTCTAGTAGAGAACCACACCCAAAGCAGCAGTCCCACAAGAAGTAGATCCGCCAGCCCGCTAAGTCGAAGCAGCCAGCTTTGCACCCACAGCTGAACGCTACAGGATCCGGATGCCTCCTCAAGCTGAAGCACTGCTTCGCGAGTCCTCGCCACCTCGTCTCGCAACGAATGGATCTCCTCCAAAGCAAGAAGCGGTGGTCCTGGACGATGCCTTTCCACAAACCAGGCTATGGCGAGTCCTATGGACACTAGGTGCGAAGTGCTCATACGGGGGAGCTCGGGCAAGAACACTGGAGCATATACAACTTTGTTGCTGCTCGGGCTCCTACATTCACAAGCCGAGGGAATTATACTCGTCAGGACATACATTTCGATCTCATGTGGGGAAGAGTTCGATATCATATAGACGTTTTCGAATTCGGAGCTAGTGAGTATATTTTCGGTTTCTTATAGAAATAGTCTCGGGTTCTTACAAGAATGATTTCGATTTCTCATAGACTCTCATGAGTACATTTTCGAGCTCTCGTAGGGACGCATATTGAGAAACCTCGCCAAACACAAAAAGATCCCTTTTTTTGATATTTTCCAAACCTTTCAAAACCCAACAAAATACACCGCCCTGAAAGAACTTCATGTTTTTGACTTTGGGCCCCTCATCCGGGCGGGGGAAGGGCCCAAATGACGCCTTAACCCTTTTTGCTATCGTGGAATGCTTTTTTGCACAGGCTTGTGGAATCCTAAACCCCTGTCTGCGTTAAACAGGAAGGTGTCGCTACCGAATGGTTTCTTTCACGGTTATGACCCGTAATTATGAGAAATGCCCTGAAATTCAGGTTTATTTCTCCATGTAGCTTATCTTGCGATGATTCCGTGATATGGTCGGCCAATGGTAGGAATGAATATTTGTGATGAATGCAAGACTATCTCTATTTCCGTTGCCGCCGATTCGATCGTGACCGTCCACGTCTTGGTGAGTCCTCCGCTGGACGAAGATGCACAACAGAATGGGCATCTCAACGATGCATTCCAGCTACATGCTGCTATTGGCAACCAAGGCTGAGATCTGTCCACATTTGGAGCTCTTCCTTCCCAGTACCTTGCAGCAAGCAGCGTCCCCATCAGACTGCATGTTGCCAGGCACATGCAAACCGGAAAGAAAGTAGCTTCGCAGTACTTGGAAACAACGTGCGGAGCGAGTGCACATGCATGTGTGCATGTGTCCAGCCAGCAGGAACTGTAGTGATCAAATTGCCATTCCGGCGGATGTTCAATCCAATGCTGCAAACACGTCAGAGGGCGGTGATGAATGTGAGAACGTCCGTGTGATTGTCCTCACACTCGTCCCCCACCGCCTTCCCGGTTGTGTTTGGAACTCTTTGCATCTGTGAAAGTTAAAGGCTGGGCGCATTTGGGCGCTCTTTGCAGGTGGTATTTTCTGGACATGTCGGATGCGGTTTGCCGAAGATGTCTGTCACCTGCGTCTTAGATAATCTTATGTCCTAGACCATCGACATGTGTTTCATGCCCACTGCCTTGTTGCAACAAATGCAATCTTGTGTGTCAGTCGCGCTTGTTGAGATGTCCATTGCTTGTTGGCTTGTTGGCAGCATGCCACAAACACTTGATGTGGTTCTTCCATATTGTACTCCTCTTCCTCCTTCTACTCGTGATTCAGGTAGAAAAACGCGAAAATCGTGAACACGCACACGCTTGCATGTCGTCGCCTCCGTGCATGTGTGTATGTGTGTGTGTGTGCGTGTTTCCATCTTACTGCGCACAGACTTCAAGGCAAAATGTGTAGCTGCGGAACGCAAGAGTGAACGAGCTCACACGGAAGCTTCAAGTCCGCTTGACTTGTGTCTTGCCAATTCACCGCAAGCATTAGGTGGAGGTAGCACAACACATGTTTCTGCAGTCAACCCTGCAACTCAAGCGGCCAGCAAGTGAAGGCACAGCGATAACCATCCGGAAAGATGCCAGTGCTGGAGTTTTGCGTGACCTGTTCGAAACTACGCGAAAGGCGATGTCGGACGCATGGGCGTGCTCTGGTTCTCCACCCGTCTGTTCAGGTCCGTCTCTTCCATGCCTCGTGTTCGATGGAGTCCGCCTCGAAGAGAACCTTATCACATTCAAAGCGCACCCGTGAATGGAATTGGCATAGCACGAACTGCACTGCGCACGTGACTGCTGAGCCAGCAACCAAGGTATCTTCGCTCGGCCTGGGACCGACACGGCTCCGAATTGACTGCGCTGATCACAGCAAGCAGCATCAAGCAGCAAACCCTGGCTTGCCGGTGGTCTGCACTCTACAAACAAACGTTTTGTCCGAGCATGTGCATCAACAGGCAGCATGTGAACACGTTAGCCACTACAACACCAGCAACAGCGCGCTCCCATCCCAAAAACTGAAGCCTATAGGCTCTTGCGGCCCCAAGAAACAGCGCGCTCAGACACACACGTTATGTTGCTATGCCCCTCTCAGAGGAATGCAAAGCGCCTAGGGCGCGCCTAGGCCTAGGCAGACATCGCCCTCCAGGACTCCCAGTGCGGGTTGTCCTGCTTCGAAAGCTGCTTCAGCTTGTCCTTGACGGTCACAGTGCTGCCAGCAGGCTTGGCACGCTCCCAGGCCTCCTCCAATCCCTTCTCCTGGGCTGCTCAGTCAACTTTAGGAACACAATCGTGTTAGGTTTAGGATGGTTTAGGTTTAGGTGCTTAGGCATGTTCAGTGCGGATCCGAGCTTCGTAGTCGTCAGGGTTGATGAGGCCATCCAGAGGGTCCTTCGAGTTGGCGAAAAGAGGGTGCTCCCTCCAGGCTTCGTCAAGCTCCCTGGCGCGCTTGGTTCCTGGGACAATGCGCCAGAAGGCATCCTCCTGAAAGGAGTACAGGACGAACATGCCCATGGCAACCGCAGGGAAGACGAGTGTGGTCAAAGGCACCAGCACGGCGGCAAACTTGCGCTGATCTCCGTACTTCGCTTCTGCATCCTCCGCGAGCATCGTCAAGGCCGGCAAGGCCGCGGAGGCGGCCACAGCCGGGTTGAACTCCGATCCCTTCGGATTCGGCTGCTGCTCCGGGCTGGGCACGAAGCAGTAGCGGAGGCCAAGAAGCAAAGCTGCCGCGAGCAGCAGGCGTCCCGGGCGCGCCATTGCAACAAGTCAACAAGTCGCGTGATCTACTATCTGAACTAGGATGGTGCCCAGCGGCTGCCGAGGGGCATCATGCACACAAGCTGCATGCGTCGCGCAGGCTGTGGAAGAACCGGGACTTTCGAGGACTCCCTTGAAGTTTAACTGCTTCCAATGCACCCAAGTGGCAGGATCTCTTCCACCTCTCCGTGGCGAGACCAGCATCGAAGCAAAGCGCCATCCTCCCTTTTCCAGCCTCGCACACAACAAGTCGTACTTTGGTGCTAACGACAAGCCTGGTTGAAGCCACCACGTCCGTATGGCACACTGACTGCTAACTGCCAAACGCAACTGCAGGCAAACGTGCGGGTCATCCAAGTCAGCTATGCATGCAAACCTCGGGCATGCACAGTTCTTTAGTTGATTCGAGCGAACCAAACCATGTGAACCAGTCTGCTCACGCGACTCGAGAAACCATACAATACAAAAATCTCCCTCCGTTGCTTTATGTCCGAACCCTTCCCATGTTGCGACCAGCGCATACGGCAAGTGGGCGGCCTGGGTTCACATAGTACCTCGTCACGGTGCCCATGCATAGGCATGCAAAATGCACCAGAGGAGAAAAACACAGGCTGCATGGATTCTGGTGGTAGTCCCATTTCTGTCAGAGAAACACTGCAGAGATGCGTCTCCCGTCATCGCAGGGATTGTCAAGGTGTCGTCGAAACTGAGCTCCGCAGTCTGCAGGCCAGCAGCTTCCATAAGCTGCAACTATGAGGCTACTGGCTCAAGATCCTTTACAGGATTTAGAAGGCTGCTAATACTGCCAGTGCCAGACAGAGTCGGGAACTTGACTTTGCGACCTGGCTTCTCCTCTGGCCTGGTGGGTAGACACTGGCCATAACCTCTCCACGATCCTGACAGCAGCCGCACTAGCAGCAATCACTCGTGGCTGGTGCAATGCAAAATAATTAGCAGAGTTTGAGGGTAGGCAGACCGCCAAACTGCACCGTATATTGCGCCGGCTCAACAACAACTCATTGGCAAGGCTCTTTCCTTGTAGCACCAGCATAACGGCACGTGTGTTGCTCGTCGCATAATAGTAGCAATCAGAGAAGTTCGTGGCAGAAGCAGCAGCAGCGGCAGTCACGGTTGCCAACGGCATCGGCGTCGTATCTAGCGTCGTCAAGAAAGTCAACGTCATTTACCACCTCCGGGTTTCAAGCCAGGGTAGTGGAAGGATCCTGCTGCAGGCCATGCCCTGAAAAGCAAGCTAATGCAACCACACGAACCACAGTTTCAGCGAAGCAATTCTTTGTGAATCATGGCCCGAGGCTCCAAGTCCGGTCGCAGTGTTGCCACTGTCATGTCCAGCTGAGTAGTCAGTGGCCCCAGCAGTGAGGTCCACAGCGTGGCCTGAGTCCATTCGTGCCAGCTTTGTGCAGAGAGCAGATTCGCAAAGCTCGCACCAGGGAGCTTTGCGTATCTGATGTCATCAGCTTTAGCATGCGCTCGTGCACTTCCAGCAACAGCTTGCTACTTGCGAGGTCCAAAGAAAGACACAAACATGGAACCTGGCCGAATGCTGAAGTATGAGCAGTCTGACTTGGGCTGCTGCAGAAGGTACTTCGAACGGATGATCGTCCTCCTTAGCCATGTTCCAGGCATCGTGATATCCCTCGGAGGTACGACAACACAGTCAGCATTGCCGGGTTGACGAAGATCAAACAAAACATAGCATAAATTGCACCTTGAAATCACGGCCAGGCTGCCAGCAGTTTGGAGCCTGCTCGCAAAGTGGCCCTCACGGCACCTGCCAGAGCGAAGCGCATGCGGCAAGTTGAGGGTGCAGATGAAGGAAAACCGCCCAGCTGATGAGCACCCTCCCCTCCGGGCACCTTCCGCACGGCAGTGCTTGGTCGGCTCGTTGACACCACGAGGACCCAGCCAAGCAACATAATCCTCAACGAACTCTGTCCCATCAACTTGCCGTGGATTTCTAGATACATTCGTGCCCAGCACAGTATGTTGGTGGATCAACCGCGAGCATGCCCTGGATTTTTATGCACATTGGAGACCTATGAGCATATTGGGTTCGACAAGTCTCCGCCGTCTCTTGTCAGGGGAAGTGTTCCGTAGTTGAACAGCTCAACAGCCAACAAGTTAAAGCTTCCAAGCTCATATCCACATCTCTACACGTCTACGAAGGCTTATTCAGGCATGTCTCCCCACGAAAGTTGCGCTGGATGCCCCTCCCGTCACTGCCGCCAAGAGCTCCTTGAGACAGAGGCCCCGTGCAATTACAACACCCAACAGCCTGCAGCCTGGAACAACCAATCTAAACATTACATGTTGAGCTCTGTTGCGAGTTCAGCTGCCTGAAGTGCTCCCGAAACTGTCGCCTTCCATAAGGTCCTGGTGCCATCCCTCCATCTGCGAAAAGCGCCAGCGAGGCTCTTCGCAAGGCTGCCGCTCTTCCACGGCCTGAGCACAACGAAGACCTACAAGTCCAGGGAGCTCGGGCCCTGTCCATGCCTAGGCCCCAGACATCGCCAAACGGAATCTAGGCGAGCACACATTTTCTGGACGACATCCCTGTTGCATGAAGAGGCACCCCCCTGTCGAAATTATTCTCTTTACCTACCTGGCCACGTACACCGTACTGGCCCGCTGCAAGCCCTGGCTCTGGGCATCTGAAACCGCCATCTCGAACTCTTGAAACTTCGATTGGCTCCGAAAACCTTCATGCCACGTGTCTTTAATTTAATGCAGCAGGCAACCTAGAAAGTTCGGGATGACGCAAATGCCCGTGTGCTCGAATGCCTGGCCGTGCAACAAAGCGGCCACACAGCACTGGCACCGGAGGTCTGTCAAGCCCTTTGAAAAACCCTTCATCACCGCACCTCGACACAGGCTGGTCCAGGTCTCGGCACCAGCTGTGAGCCTCACGATATCAAGCACATCATGTACGAGAGGGAGGCCTCACGCATCTCCGTTCGACTTAATTGGCCTGAGCCTATGGCTCAGGGTCCTGCCTGGTGGCGCATCACCATCTGGGTCCATGCTCGTGCAGCTTTGACTTGCTGGTAGGCTGTGGCTGTAGGTTGTTCCATGGCAAATGTGCTTTTGGCCGGGCGGGTGCCGGTCAACGTCGATAAAGATGCTGAGTTGTTAAGATCCGGTCAAGTCTCTTGAGACACTCTGGAAGACCACGCCGGGTGTATCCCTCTGCGGAGTGAAAGCGCATGGAGGCAACATGCTTTTTGTGCTAGTCGTCCGAGTCCAAATCCACGGCTGTGTTCCCGTGCCTGGCAGTTCAGGACAACCAGAAGAGCTTCAGGACTGTCAGATAATCCCACTTCGGAAGCAATCTCGGCCTTGCCGGCGGGGCATCCAATGCCACCTCAACATCACTGTCCTGTATTGAATTGCATGAGGGGTCATGGGCAGAAGGATGCCTGTTGTCACGAAAGCGGCTATGCGGTCGCAGTAAACTAGGACTGGCGATGCTCTTCCTGTGCCCCGATCCTCTCCTCGTCCGGAGAATTAGTCTCGTCGGCCACTGCCTCTGCATTTGCAGCGACCTTCCCTTCAGCGGGGGCAGTCGAAGCTGTGGGGGACGTCTTCGCGAGTTCCTTCGCTTTGCGGCGTGCGGCCTGGCAGAGCCAGAGCTTTCTCGCCTTTGGAAGGAAAAGACCCCGCCCGCGCATCTCAGCCGGCGACAGGCTTTGCAGCGCGTCGGAGCTCCGTCTCTGGAGCTTTACCTTCTGCATGCTGAGTGGCAAGAAGTCCAAGGCGATTTCCAGCAACGGCCCGTTGCTTCCAGCCTCTCTGCAGCAGCTCGAGCAGGGGCCTGCGGTGCTCCTTATACCACGGTGTTGGAAATCGCAGGAAACAATCACCTGCGGCATCTCGAGTCCTCGTTGATGTCGTCCAGACCCTGCAGAGTCGCCAAAGCCTGAGGCACCATTGAATCCGCAAGTATCTCAAACAAATTACGTGCGGCGACAATAGAGAGTCTCAAGCCTGATGTATAGTGATGCAATTCGATGCAGATTCCTTGCTTGTCCGGCTCGCACGGTCAGCAACTTTTTCACCACCGCATCAGATGTCCGACGAACCCAACCTGAGCAAACATGGCAGTGGATACATAACTCAGCAACTATTCCATACTATTCCCCAGTGTCTCTATAACCTCAGACAGCCACCGTATGCAAACGGTTGGAGGCAGACCTGTGTAGCCTAACGTTTGAAGCATCTGGCCCCGTCATCGCACCAAGCACATGAGGCTCCGCTCTTGATCCCAAAGTTCAAAAATTACCGAGCCATCGCCGAGCAACTTCAGCCTCTGCTGTAGACTCCGCGCGTACTCGCGCACTGCGAGGCCTGTGCTGGCACACCGCGCGCGGTGAAGACGGACCTGAGTTAAAACGCTTTGGCACAGGGCGAAAAGCATCCCCATGCCGCCAGGGCTCTGTGTCCGGCTGTCCGAGACATCTTTTCACCACGAGCCCAGCGCCTCACAGGCCAACACAAGCCTTCAAAGATCCAGTTCCAACAGTACCGCGAGGGTGTGCAAGCTGCCGGTGTGCTGTTTCATTGCGCAGGTGAGCACTGCAGCATGCTTTGCGGCTCAATCAAGTCTGATGAGCAGCTGATGGGATCTCGTTTTGAGGCTTTGATTCGGGTTGAGCCTTGGGGCTTCTCGATGGCAAGTGACTACATGGAAATGTGTAACACAAGAACAACGTGTGCAAGATGATCGAACTGCCGTCTGCATATCTTCAACCTTAGGATCTTCGGCTTGAAGACCTAGGCCATGTCATTTGCAGGAGCTAGCCCTTCGACCATCTCAGACTGTGTGACCGCAGAGTGCTCGTGTAAGCGTCCCGAGCCTTCAGCTGATCTGGCCAGTGATTGTTCTGAGTGTGGCTGGTACTGGTACGTTGTCCACTAGGGCTGACTGCTCTTGTCTGCCAGAAAATTCAATTCATCAATCAAGGGGCCTAGTGGCAAGGGGCGTGAACCCCGGCGACGTTGAGATGGAATATTACCAGGGTCTGCGGGCCGGTCACGGGGTGCCCCTCTGCTACGCTGATGACCACGTGTGGGACGACGACCTGACTGGATGTTCGCGATTTCGCGAAGTACGGGAAGCGCTGCCCGGATCTGAGGGCTCAAAGTGGTGCCATACCAGGCACGACACTCTACACAAGCACAAGGAGAGTGCACAAGCACGGAGGGTGGCAAAGCAGAAAGCGCATGTATCGCTACGAAAAGGCTGCGCGGTCCACCGAGAAATCTATCGAGGAGTCGCTTCTCCAAGACGAAGACATTGTGAAACGAAGGCCTATTTCACCATTGTTGTCGCCTGCGTTTGACTCCCTCTCTCGGGCTAGAGATCGAACAACGGCGATCAGATCACATTTGGAGCCTCGGGGAGTTCAATCTTGTCCGAGCCGATGCGACGAGAGTTCATGCCGGCAATCAGTGCTTCAAGTCAGCCTGAAAGATTGCGGGCTAAGTCAGAGCGTCTGGATCGTCTTTGCTTAGGGGCGGCTAGGGCGACATCGTCAACTCAGCAGGCTGTCGCTTGGAATCGGATTGCTGAATCAATCCGCCGAAGCTCTTGCATTCGCGCCGGCAGCTCATCGGCAGATAGTGGCGACTATTCTCCCGCCCCTCCTCCCTCGGGTACACTTGCTTCGCATTGCTAGTGGCATGATGTGATCACGGATTTGGTCTATGAGATCCGCTCGAATTGCTCGACCTGTAGTTCTACTGCATACCTCTTCTGACTCTTCTGCTGGTCGTATGGGTCAGGACGGGCAAGTGAGCTCGTGAGAAGGCCGTCCGTTAAAGTGATGTGCGCAGCAATCATTCAGATTACTTCCCGCGAGTGTTAGACTGTTAGAAGACATTTTTGCAGTCACCTTGGTTCAGTTGTCAATCTTGTGCCGCTACGCCATCTCCAAAGCTTGTTCGCAACCAAGACCCGCCTTCGGGCCCTTCTCCAACGCGAAAAAGGACGGCGTTGCCTGGTCGTGGGCTGCAGCGTTCTGTGCGGTCACAGAAAGCCCGTGTGAGCGCATCATGTGCCTGGTGTCAGGTCATAGCTGTCGGATAATGAGGACAGCGGAACTTGAATGTCAGGACCTCAGCATTGCAAAATTCGCAGGAAGTCGTCCCTGCTGTCTGGAACTTGCACAGGCACAGGCCTATCCCAAGCAATGAGATCACGCCCACTGACATGAGCTGGTTCCATGCCTACCAGGAGCGCATGGAGAGGCAGGCAACGAAGCAGCATCCTATATAAGACTCATCACAGCAGGCAGCCGACAATCAAGGTACTGATTATGCTCTCCGGCAGGCTGTGGTGGACCTGACCTTCGTGTCAAGACGACCGTACCAACATCCAAGTCACAACCAATACACGCATCACATTTGCTCAGGAATTATGCGAGCGGTGCTCAGGATGGTCGTACCAAGAACATTCGAGCCTTGACAACACCGAAGAGCATTTGACCTGATGCTGGACGGCAACTTCCAAGAGAACCGAGGAGCGCTTTCACTGGAGACTCGACAGCACACGAAGCGGAGCACGTGCACATATGACATGCCATCGCACTGCCTTTAGCCGAAAGGCCCTCAGGAACTTCATTTAGAGGCATCGGAGCGCGGTCGTGATGGAAGCAAGCCAGGAGATTTCCTGCAAGGCCATCTGCGAGTTACACATGCAGGTTTTGCCGGATGCGTGAATCTCTTGTAGAGTCCTGGCCATCCCTCAGGTATTCTGAAAGTCAAATCTTCCACCGCCATTGTCGCTTCCTGTGGGAGCGTCACACTCTATGCGTAGGGATTGGTTAGTTGCTAACACTTACTAACATGGCCACGCATGCTCCTCTATGCTGCTCATGGTCACCACGGCCCGCACACCCGACGGGAGGCATCGTGCAGCCTGCACCTCGTTTGCAAATCCGTGGCGCGCTTCGCCGAGAGAGTTCGAGAAAGGCTCTCGGAACCCTAGCTTCTGCAATGTGGGGCCATGACCGTCCCGAAGCGCTCCAGCAGTGTTGTCAGCGCTTGCTCCGAGACACCACGCGGCACGTTCGCCTCAAGGCGGAATGCTGGTCTAGCCACCTAAAGTACATAGTCGAGATCAATCAACCATCCTTTGTCAGGCTGTGCGACATGCTAGTCCCGTGCTGGTCTGTGCCAAGCTGCTAAGAGGACCTCAGCCGATGGGATCAGGTCCACATGGTCCTCACTACTTGCCGGATCCATGCGGGTCGAGTCGTCGTACTCCTTAGACTTTAGACGACGAAAGGCAGATGCTCCCGATCTCTCCCCCCAATCGAAGCTCGTCCGGACCGGCCGGCCTACTATTCAACCTCCTTTTTTCGCCAAGGGTCGTGGATAAGCTCCTGCTGGACATCGCGATGTAGGTAGGCCAGCCACGCGCTGGTTGCAGAGTCCAGGTCCCAGGTCTGGCAAAAGTAAGCCAAGCCTGACGCACAGCTGTGAAGCCCTGCAGAATTGTACGATAGGAAACTTTGTGCTTCGTCTTCAGACCGCATAAACGAAACCCACACAAGCAAACGGACCGCCATCAAGCAACTGCAAGGAACGGATGCATGAATGGCATCTGCTTTTGTGTCTTGAAGCGGGGAAATACTTGATCACCGGTTCTATCATCCCTTCCCAACCCTTCTCTAAACACGCAAACTGAACACAGTTCGTGAGGAAGGTTGTCCATCTCTTGGATTTACTTCCCCATGCGCACTGCTGAAATTTCGCTGGTACGAGGCGGGACAGCCTGGCCGATCGCTGTATGCATCACATATGCCAGAGGAGAGAACTCGACGGATTCTCAATCGACATAAACATTTACCCAGGGGCGCGTGATCCGCAAGTGTTTTCCCACCCACCGTTTCAGTGAACCGAATTCGACCCACCCACCGGTTGAACTGAAGAGCATGTAATCAAGCACGGGATGTAATTAGTAGCGAAAGCTTCTTAACGCACGAGCATGTTTCAGACATGCTCTCACACTGCGACTCACACAAAGACCTGTGCAGAAGTGCATGTCGTCCCGTGATCATGCGGACAGAAGGTGGCCAGCACCTGGATGTGGATCCTGTTGCCGAGGTAGCCATGACAGCCTTCAAAGGTGCAGCGGGTGATGGTGGAGGATGGTGGAGACAGAGGTAGGCGATGCAACAGCGGAGGGCCTCTAGCATAGGAAACAAACGACTCTCGTGACCAAGCAGCTGCAGCTGCTGTGCTGCCGCCTTTGCTGGCAGCGCAGGCAGCTTCTCGGTCTTCTCTTCGGGGAGACCTGGACTGATCTGGTCCACCTAAGCTGAGCCAACATGTAGTGACATGGCAAAGGTCCAGCTTCTAATTTGCGATGCCTTGATGGACATAAGCTATCTGGGAAGCCCCTGCTATCTTCAACTGAGGCACCAAGATGGGCATCAGGCGTGTCTCCCTCCCACTGGCAGTGACCACAGGCAGTCCCTTCATCCTGAGTCGTCGTAACAGTGGCACGGAGCAACATTCTAAGATGCGGCAACCGAGAGTAGCGGCATCTCTCGAATTCGGGGCGAAGTAGCTTTTGCATGGCGCGCTGCGCGTAGGTGACGTCGCTGTACTTGCAGGTCACCGCGCATATCTCGTCGTCGGCTTGCTTTGGGTCGTGGAAGAGAACGTTTGGCCTCAATCTCACACAACTGGCAAACTGACCATCTGCTGGGCTGAGTACCTCTAATCTGGCAGCCATGTCGCAGCTCCTTGACTTCGAAGCCCGCCGATCTGTGAATTTGAAGTATATCCGCCGCAGTGTAGGTTACCGGGACATTCTGAACCTCACGCTGCGCGCAATCGTCTACTTTGAAGTGACCTTTGCATCTGACTTCATGCCAAGTTGCAGAAACTTTTCGCGGTGTCGAATTCTCATCTGTCTCCGCTGCCACCAGTCCTTCCTGATGCGCTTTTACCCAAAAGAAGCGGCAGTAAAAGCTTAGCCCACGTGCTTGCATGGATTCATCAACGCCTTCACCATCCATCGAGCAGGCTTCGCCGCACTGACTCCTGCAGCAGGGGACAGGCTTGTGCGCTTTCTGCGGACCGCGCTCGCGCCCTTCCGAATGCATCGGATCGGCCTACACGTTTGAGTTTGCCACTGCGGGTCTTCAAGTTCTGGCCGTTCATCCTGGCAGTCATGTAGTGGTGGCAAATCCAATGTGCTCTTGGCGTAGAGCGGTCGCGATTGAGAACATACTGTCGCAATGTGAGTGGCCACTCTTCTCGCTTCGAGATGCCTCATTATCACCTCCTCCATAGTGTCTTTGCTGCGGTAGCGGGCAATGCATGCGCAGGTCTCGCCAGTCTGGTCCTTAGAACATCATGTGTTAGATAGGCTCATGAACATAGACTCGACATTGTAGCACTCGCGCTCGAGCAACTCAGGCGAGGTTTGGGAGACAACCAAAGACTTCTGCCCTCAACACAGATTCGACATACAATAGATACCCGTACATATGTACTGTACCCGTCATACCTCGTATAGACAGTGTATATACTCTGTGCCCAAGCCCGCGACAGTTCTTTGTAAATCTTGGGTTGCAGATGCTTAGCCAACTATGGCTGGGCATGTGAAGCTCCGCTCAGCCATGCTCAGCCCAAGGCCTTGGAGGGCAAAAACTTGATGGAAACGGGGAAGTCTTGCTCGGCGATCCCGCACTCTGCATGCATCTTGTTCAAGTGCTTCTCGTCCTTGGATTCAGGAACCGCTTCATTGTCGAATGGTTAAGGTTAGGCCTCCGTTTTGTCAATGCATGTGGCTTGAAATCTTCAGCTGCCGAGCTTCGAACTCGACGGGAATGTCCGAGATGTATGCCTGCAAGCTGACACCCAAGGCGTAGCACGGCACATATCATGTTGAATGCTTGTCTGAGCCGGATAGATGCTGAGTTGGCCTGGGCGTAGAGCTCTTTGTCCTTCTCCTTCTCCAGAGGCAGGTCATGTGGCGGCTGTGTGCCATGTGTTTCAGCAGCGGAGGGGCAAAGTAGGCCAAAAGTGCATAAATACTTCAACGAGGGTGCACTGGAAACAGCAGAACAAATGACTTTATCCTGGCCTTCCAACCATTCCAGCCGTTCCAGCCATCTTGGCGCGTGCCGTGCTTGTTCTTGCTGTTGCGCCACCAACCTGTCCAGTCTCAGCGCACTGACGTCATGTCGATCATTCAGGATATCCGCTTTGAAGTAGCAAAACTAGCAGAGCACTGATTTGAAATAGGCCCTCCCCGGCAGCATGGCCTTTGTCTGACTTCTCGGACCAGCCCTCTGACCAGTTCCAGGACGAGTTCTTCGTCCACTTCTCGTCCTCTTCCTTTGAGTGAGAACTCCAGTCCTCCTTCTTCGTCCAAGTCTTTTCTTGCTCTTGCGACCACCAGGACCGGTCGTCTTTGGCCTGGCAAGCGTTGAGATTCCTCGACAGCATGGCTTCCGCTTTTGCTTTGGTCATGAGGTCTCAGGGCCGGGCCGGCTCTTTTGCAGTTTGGCGGCTCTGCGCTGGTGGCCTTCGAGTTTAGGCCCGTTGAGGCTCACATCGGGAGAGCTCTGCACACGTGTCCGGAGAGGTTTGGGAAGTACAATCATCAGCGGAGAAACTCGCAGCAATCTGTTGCGCATGAGGCCTCGACGAGGACGACTTTGGCTCACGCGTGTCCTCGGTGAGGCGGTGGCGACATAAGTGCACATTTTCATGGGAAGGTATCCGGGAAGGATGTGGTGGTTGGACAAATTGAAGTCTCCGTCATGCTTTTCATAATAATGCTGCAAACATCCGCAAACCTTCCGAGTGGTACGTTTATGATCAACGCCAGGCACACTGTTGACACGTTGGCCTATCCCACGCACGACATGAATCAGCTGCAAGAGCCCCATGCGCTCAGAAGCTCGTGGACTCGAGTCGTCGTAGACATGGCGCTTCACGGACGCTGTACGGACTGCAGACGAACAGGACTGGGGTTTGAGGCAATGTTGCAGAATCTGTGACCTGGCCCTTTCGGTGTTCTGAGGCACAACTTATGATATTGGTCTGGAAACTCGATCCGCAGCTGGCATCGCTCGAGCCTCAACCCTCCTCAGCCAGGTCTCGCGAGGTACCGCTGTCTGCCATGTACCCCTGTGGCTGTCGCCGCGCGGCGACCGACTGCGCGCTTTGCTCTCAGGCGGTGGAGTGGAGGGAGGCCTGGCAGTTCCACTCTCACCGGGCGCAGATCCCAGCAAACTATTCTCAGCCGCCTCGGCCGTCTTGGAAGCTCCAAATCAGGGCGACAGGACGGCCGCACCATTGGAGGGCATCTTCAAGCCAACACCGCAGACAGGTATTCCGTGTACACAAGTAGTGGCTATAGTAGTTGCTGGTCTTAGTTAATCAAGACGATGTGTATTATGCCGAAGCATGAAAGCTGTCTTCTTTGCGGCTGATCTTGCTCGACTGCAGCGGCTCCAGTACCGGCTGTAGCTTCGCTTGAGCAGAGGTGATGAAGCCGCTGGGTGCCTACGAAGAGAAGCCAAGTGCACAGCAGCGGTTAAACGCCGTTCGTGCAGAAACACGCAAAGACCAGATTTCCGGAAGCCGTGAGCCGTTGCTCCGCTTTCAATCTCCAGCTGGCCAAGGGCCATGCGCCGGCATCCGCAGAGAGTTTGGCCACCACAAGAGCTGTCCATCCTCAGCCAAGATGCAGCTGGTTTGTTTCCTGCCTAGCAAGATACTAGTCTTCAACTCGTGTCTTTCCATCTTCTGTTTAGATTCGCGGCAGAAAAACATCTTCACTATTTCCACTCGCGCTCTGCGCTCGTATGTTCCGCTCCGTCCAAAGAAACTCAAGCACCTGTCCGGTTCTGAGGATTCTGCAAACCGCAGAATGTGCCAGCTGGCTTGCATTTCGCAAAAGACCAGTCGTGATTCAGCAGTCTCGCAATGGCATCTGAAAAAACAAATCGCACCTGTTTGTTTCAAGCTCATGGCGCCACTGCGCGCAACTGCCTGGCCATCTTAAGTATCGGTGATTGCCTGAGATGCACGCGTGCAGCTTCTGTCGGAAGCCACCTGGACATACACACAAACACATTGTAACAACGGTATCAGCCAATTGGAGCACTTTGCATGCGACGAGCTCAGAAAGAGTAGCTTCCAATTCTGAGCTGCGGGGGGGGGGGGGGGGGGGGGGCTGTGTTCCATTTGGTCGAATCCAGCAAGAACCAGTTTAGAACTACACCTTGTGCTGAGGTCGATGCCAGGACTTGTGATTGCCAACCTCGCCCGCACAAGCGGCTTTCACATACGTTTTCTTCTGACACTCCAATCTTCTTTCAAGAGGTCAATGCCTCGAAGCCGACACGAATCTGCCCCACTTCCTGGGACGACAGGCAAAGTCGCAGCGAAACTTGAGCACTGAACACACTGAACATGATCATGATGAAGATGATGGGAATGACGACAACCATGACCAGCGATAACAACTGAGTGACCCTAACTGGGCTTTCTGCTTGACAGTGTTGCCAACACTGCGGGCCCTACTACCAGTTATCGCCACCACCATTCTCCTGACTCATGGTAGTATAGTAGTCGTAGTCGTAGCCGTAGCAGTAGTAGCAGTAGTAGCAGCAGTAGCAGCAGTAGCAGTAGCAGTAGCAGTAGCAGATAGTAGCAGTAGCAGTAGCAGTAGCAGTAGCAATAGCAGTAGTAGTAGTAGTAGTAGTAGTAGTAGCAGTTCTTGTAGTAGTAGTAGTAGTAGTAGTGGTGGTGGTGGTGGTGGTGCTAGTAGTAGAAGTTCTTGTGTAGTAGTAGTAGTAGTAGTAGTAGTAGTAGTAGTAGTAGTACTACTAGTAGTCGTCGTAGTAGAAGTTGTTCTTGTTGCTGTTGTTGTTGTAGTACTACTTCTGCTACTACCACTACTGCTACTGCTACTGCTACTGCTGCTACTACTACTACTACTACTATTACCACTCTTACTACTACTACTACTACCACCACCACGACAACTACTACTCCTCCTGCTGCTGCTGCTGCCACTGCTACTTCTCATGTTTGTGCTACTTCTCATTACGTCGATGATGACCACTGCCGGCTGCTGCTGGTGCTGCTGCTGCTTCTACTACGACCTTTATTTAAGCACGGACTTGGAGTGTATGCCGGCAGCGAAACTCTCTGGCAGAGCCTTCCTCAGTCACCTTAGGAGACCTCGGGGATGCACATATGAGCAACGCAAGAACGATGAGAAACACTGACGAGTGATGCATACTACTACGACCTACGACGACAACGGCTCTACTGCTCTTGCTTCAGCCACTGCCACTTGCTACTACTACTACTACTACTACTACTACTACTACTACTACTACTCCCTGTCCCACTCCTACTCCGCTATTACTCCTACTACTACTTACTACTACTGCTGCTGCTGCTACTACTACTACTACTATATACTACTACTACTACTACTACTACTACTACTACTACTACTACTACTACTACTACTACTACTACTACTACTACTACTACTACTACTACTACTACTACTACTACTACTACTACTACTACTACTACTACTACTACTACTACTACTACTACTACTACTACTACTACTACTACTACTACTACTACTACTACTACTACTACTACTACTACTACTTACTACTACTACTACCACTACTACCACTATACTGAGTACTACTGCTACGACTACCACGACCACCACAGTACGACTACGACTGCTCCTGGTACCGCCACCACTACCCCGCCGCACCGTAGTACCGGGTGCTGCAACTGCGACTATGTCTGTCAGCAGTTTGACTGTGCTGTTCCTGCACTTTTGAACACAACCGGGACCCGTACGAAGGCCTCTCCTGTGGCCTTGCAGCGCCCTCGACGTGCTGTCCTTAACCACAACTGGGAGTCAAAGCTCCGAACTTTTGGGGGATGCTAGCATGCACGGAAACTGACCTCTCAACATGTCTGTCCAGTCACACACCACGTCTGAAAAGCTCTGGCAGAGAAGGCTTTCGTGGTACCACATTTCGCAGTACAGTTGCGAAGCCGCATCGGCATCGAAATTGACGTTTTGGTCAGTCCGGCTGACAGCAATCGGGTAAGTGTTGGGCACGTACTCTACCCGAGTCTTCTCCAGAAAGCAGGTGGCATGAGCCTGGGCCACAACAGCTGGCCGTCGACTCCTTTAACCACGAAGCCGACAGTTTGAAAGACCCCGGCCCACAGAAGCACAGATCTGCCTCCGGCATAGCCTCAAATCAAGTCGCCAGGCGCAAGGATTGCCAAAAGCTATGCCACGCAGTACCTGCTGTGTAACATAACCGTACACAACCCTCCTTGGTGGCAGGTAGCTTTCTAGTGACTGACGATTTGGGCCACCTTGTGGTAGAAACGCAAACCACCATGCACGATGCACGCCTTGAACTCCGCAGCGCACGCTTCCCTTGTCGATGCTGCCCCCGCAGCTTCTGCCTTAAGCCATGTCGTGATCCAGGATCAGCAGGTGAGTACAAGCAGTTCCGCCTGATCATCTGGGGCCCCTGGGGTTTCGAGACATGCACCAATGGGCCCTTGGGCCCCGAGCAAACTGATCGAGGTGTCTTGGCGTGCTCAACCATCACGCGGGCTTTTGCACCACCGCCTGCATTGCAGGCGTTCCGGATAAAACGGCCCGGAGAGATTACAGCATCCAAGGTAAACTGGCACGGCCTGATTCCTCGGCAGGTCTATCATTTTCGGCAGCACCACCTTCCGCAAGCGCACATGAATTCAGGGAATCCGAGTGACAACCGAAGCTGCCCTGCTCGACAGCACTCACGTTCCGTCCAAGCCTTCCGTCTGGCCAGTTGGCACTGCGTCGCCTTCGCCCTCAGCTGCCGCTTTCTGTCCTCGAGCTCTGCAACTTCGCCACGGTGAGTAAGAGATTCACATCGCACCATGAAAGATGCAGTCCTTCTGTGTTGACATCTCCTGAGCAGTCGCTGGCACCTGATGCACCTGGCAGAATGTATATGTACAGCAGAGACGGCTCGGATATTGGATGGCTCAGCTCACGTCCGTCCCTCACTGAAATACTTGATTTTGGTATAGTTTGCTTGCTGTTCTCACGCAGCATCGAGGCTCTGTTTAGTAGATGCAAAGAAAACAGACACACTTCCTTGCAGCGGCGCACACAACAGCAAAACCAAGGCCTGCAGGAGGAGGAGGAGGAGGAGGAGGAGGGCCTTCGGCACCCTTGTCGGATTTGTCGCCGGAAAGCCGAGCTTTTTTGGGAGGGCCTCCGTGCAGCGTGACTACAGCGCAGCCCCTACAGTAGGTGCAAGAGGTACGTCACAAAGGCAAGCATCTCACAATGCACCTGCAGCACCTGCAGGACAGACTCATTGGACTGTCTTGTAATGGTCCCAGCATGTCCCAGCCCATGTCCTCCGCTCTGGTGCAAGACTCGCTTAAGAAGGCCGGTAGCATGTACTCATGCGTTTTCGAATGTCCAAGGACTCTCAGTACTTCTCGGCATATCACAAACAAATTCTAACTCTCCTCCCCAAGACTGTTGGAAATGGTACTGTACGTAATAAAACAATAACTACCAACGAAGATCTGGCGAAGAGGCTCTTCATGCACAAATGAGGTGTGCGCGTTCATAGTTCTCAGACTGTTCGTGCTTCCCGGGCCTGCTGCGGGCTTCTTGCGACTGGTCGGCCTGCAAGAGCCGGCAGGTTCAGGTCCCAAAGCAACCCCATAGCAGCTCTTCTCACCTTTGAGGCCTTTCAAACCCATGACCCTGAACTCCTGCGAGGTGAGGCCTGAATGACACAAAAGCACTGGCGATTGGCCTCTTGGCTGTCTTGCGAGGCGATGCTCGGGATTCCTCGTAGTCCTTCATTGGGCAAGGTATCGTCCCCTCCACACATCGATGCGAGGCATGCATAATTCCTGACCTCATCTACCGTCTCCCGCACGAAGAACCCGTAGCCGCCGGGGGCTGGTCTGGCAGCACGGCCACTTGTGGCTTAAACAATGACACGAGAACTTGAATAGAACTGCTTTTGCATGGGTGGCAAAGCGTGGGTGGCAAAGCGCAAGCAACCCTGGCGCTCCGCTTTCTCACAGAACCATCTTTTCCCAATCATCTGCTCTTCCATGCGCAGGTTCTTCTCGGTGCCGAGCATCCGTGATGCAAGTGGCACTGCGGGTGGACGACTCGTTTGCACCTTCGGCAAGTGCAGTTTGGAGCACTGGGACATGTGATCAGACTTCCCGGCAATACTCTCATCCCAAATGAGCTCGGTCGGCGGTGGCCTGTTTGGGCATGTTCTCAACTACCAAGAACCCATGCCTGCACAGCCAGTTCAAGCACAACTCCGCACGGAGACATGCAACACTGATGCTGTCTTTGGTCGGGAACATTTCAGGAGTCTAAGGGCACGACTTGTCCCCATCTTCGTCGATGAGAGCCTGGATAGGACAAAGCCGTAGCATCACACACTGCCGAGGGCATGGAGCTCATGACGAAACACGTGCCAATTACAACGTAACCGTGCAAGACTATCAACGCGGTACTTATGCTGCATGCTTGACATCCCGAATGCCAGGTCCGGCACTGGAGTGTCGGATTGCGTCCTGCTGCAGCCGCGCTGGGCAGGGATTCCAAGGCTCAGGAATGAGCTGTACCGTGGCAAATCAAGGGCCTGCCCGAGGCCTGGACAAACGTCGATGAGCCATCCTCGAGTGGTGCACTTCCACGTCAGCAACTGTGCAGAGCACGTTTCCCGAGTGCAAGTTGACCGAAACTCTCGGGAGTGCGTAGGTGCACTGCGGGGAATAGCACTTTCAGCTTCGGCACCGCCCCATGAACCTCCCACGCAGAAGGTGCGGCCCTTCTCCGTGAGTCGAGGTTGATGCCTCTTGAAACTGCCAGTAGAGAGGGTCGCAAAGGTCGTCCTCCAGTCTCATTCCGTGATGCAGGAGCACTTTCTTACAGAGCTCCAACGGACCTCGGAGGCCTGCGTCAATAGCCCCGTCCTTGCTTTGTGATGCTTCCTGCTTTCCCTCGCTAGGCCGCTTGGCTGCTCGGCTCCAGACAGATCTCCATCGTCGAAGTGGATCGAGATCTTAGCATGACCGGACGCCGGACGCAGCTTTTCGAGATGTCGCCGGTGCGCTAGGGCAGCCCAGGCCAGAGCGTATGTGCCAACCGTCAATGGTGAGAGACTTGAACTGGAAGGATCGAGCTCGCTCATTGCCTTCAGAGGACAGCTCGCGGCTTTTTTCGGGCACCAGCCGATGCAGATGTGAGCATTTCTAGGTGCAGCTTTGGTCAAACTTTTGGCCCTTTCGGCGTCCCAGATTGCGCACCTGCAGTAAAACGACAGCCCAAGCTCCGACACAGGCCTGAGCTTCAGCCTGGGCTGCCTGCTTCCTGATGCTACTTCATGCAGCGGGCCGCCCTGAATTTGCAGCATTTGGCCGCAGCTCAAAAGTAATGGCAAAGGCGATGCACCAAATTTTCACCAGGTACTTGTATGGCCACAGCTGCCACGCCATCACGACAAATGCGGCAACCACTTGAACTGTCCATTCGACGGAGGCAGCCGTGGCCCTGTTTTCAACCATGTGCAACAATTTGCAACTCATAGCGCAGTAGATTCACTGCAGGTTCATAAAACGCAACGGTGGCATGTTCCTGCAAGAGTTTAGCAAGACAAAGAGACAAACGTTTGCGCAGCTCCACCGAGCTGTGCCCAGCCTTAGCAAGCAAAAAACAGCACAAAGGTTTGAGCAGCTCCACCGAGCTGTGCCCATTCACGGGCCATGGAACATGCGAGAAACCGTGCCTTCCGTCACGTGGCCGGAGCTACACAAGCTTCCAGGTCTGTACAACGGAGTGGCCAGATGGAGTGCATGTGGACGAGCTGTAGCATCGGTAACCCGCATCCTTCCAAACGCTGATGAACTTGGTCGCCGAATTCTTCTTTCGGCACAGCGTCCACGCTTTTTCCTTCCACGAGGCAAACATGTCGGTGTCGAAGCCTTGCTCACCGACGGTGCTGCTGGCAAGCTCCCAGGCCTTCGACTGATAAGAGCGGGTTTCAGTGCAATGCCCTTGGCCATGGAACCCCATGGGTTTGAGCAGCCTGTACACGCTGTTGGAAGCGGCCTGCCCTGTCGTCCCTGCCTCGGGACAAAGATCGAGCGCACATTGCCAATTGCCGCCGCCGCCACTGCCATAGTCATGAAAGTGAGAGTACTTCCCGCAGCAGTGTTGGTTCTTAGCTGCTGCCACTGCGCAGCATCAAGATTGGGGATTCCGTGAGGTGGGTTGCCCAGCCACCGTCGCTTTTGGCAGTATGCGCCGCTAACCGCGAGTTTATAGTGCGTCCTGGCGCAGAAGACCAACTCATCCTTAAACGTGTGTGTCGGCTCGGCTTTCTTGTAGAGCGTGCACACCTTGGCATGATCCTTCGCATTGGCCGGGGCGTAGTTAAAGCTGAGGCAGTCATTGTGGGCGTCGCAGCAATCTTTGCACTCTCTGATCCCCTTCCATCACAATCCTCCGGCCCGCACCTGTCAACGTCTGCGCCAAGGTAGCCCTGCTGCGAATAGCCTGCCGGGCAGGCAACCGACTCACCCAGTAGCACCAAGGCCTTGTGCTGAAACTTGCCCCTCAGCGGCTGTTTGACGCTATCAATGTTGTTGTTGAAGAAGTTCCTCACCGCGTGGTTGTTGCAGCACAAATTCCTTGCGTCGCAGCCATCGTAGTTGCCATCAATTGTGCAGACGCTCCAAACGGTCTTCTCGTCAAGATTGGTGACCTTGTTGCTGTCTTTGACCTGGAACTTGCAAGAGTAGCAGCGCCACGGTCCCCACTCGTGCATGTTGTGGCGACGCCTGCCGTTGAAGCGTGTGATGACGACTTTGTCGGCTTTCGACTTGTGCTGCCCCCAATCTTGGTAGGCACCTTCTTGCCACGCGGCCTTAAGCCGCCTGAAGGCGTCCAACCTTCTCTTTCATGTGTTGCTGCCTGCGGCGCGTATACTCCATGTGGCTGTCCAAACAAACCATGTCCTTGTCGTCGCGTTGGCTTTCGACGGAGTGGATCTGGCCCAGGCGATGCCCCAGGGCGTTGTCCACCATCCAGCGAGTCGTCTCCTTCGCGCGCTTAAGGGTGGTCCCACGGATTAGAAACTGCTCGGATTTGCGGTCGCTTTGATCGTGCATCGGGAGTGCCTCGCAATCCAGGAGCTGGACTTGCAACATAGCGGGCACGAAGAAGTAGATGAAGGCCACGGTCACCTCAAAGCCACTTCTGGACGGGCAGAGAGTGGTCGGGGAGGCGGCTTGTGGCTCCAGGGCTGCCTTCCGCCCAACCAGGGGGCAACCAGCCTGATGGTATCCTCCTGCACGAACCTGGAACTTCTCAAGCATCTTTTTGACGTCGTCCTCTGTCATCAAAGGAGGAGGTGGCGAGGAGACCAGTACGAGATCCTTGAAAATGGTGATGCCGATGTCGACGAACGGCCCCACAAAAGGGGCTTTGGCGCTTATCGCAGCAACCCCCAGATCCAAAACGGAAGACAAAGCAGACTTGGCGAGCTTGTCACCAGAGTCTCCTTTGATGGCACCCACGACCAGGCTGCTAATCCGACCTGCAGCGATGTCCATCGCATCACCTGCCTTGATCTCCTCCCAAACCCTCTTGTCCCTGTCGTCCGGTGAGTCCGCTGGGCCGGATCGGTTATGGAGCGCAGGTTGCTGGGGTCGCTTGTCAAGGTTGCAGTTTGGGCCGGCAGTATCTTCCGCCGCAGACGCGCCCGCGCATACAGCTGATGCATGTGGCAAGATGACAAGAAGCCCACCGAAGGCGAGGCGCATTGCGCAGCGACGCATGGGCGTGCTCCAACTGAAGCTGTCAGCGTCTGAGTCTGACGCTTCGGCGGCTTGGGCCCGAGCTGAAGACGAGGTACGATAAAGAGATACGAGCAGCAGCTTTCAACAAAAACAGCCAGAGAAAGAGGCAGGGCTGCTGGACTGCGACTGTTGCGCTGCCGTTTGTTGTAGATGTGTTGCGATATGCTTGCGACAAAGTAGAAAGCCCAACGGTAGCTAATCTGCTGGGAGGCAGAGTGCCGCATGTCTAGCGTCTAGGGGCACTTCTGTCGCGGCTCCGCGATCTCAGAAAGGCTCAAACTTCCGAAGCTGCGCGAGCCCGCTTCTTAGTCTCCCTCAGACTGCACTCTCGTCTGAGATCGTGCGAAATGCTTCATGTCCCGCCTCGAGGTGACTTGGGACGCGAGCATCACGGGCTACCAGGCTCGGGAAGTGTTCAGCGCCCAGCTACACTTGCAGCCGTTTGAATGCGCTGAATGCGCTAAGCTCCAGTGGCCATGAGACGTGTATAATCGTGCATCAGCAGATCTTATGTGCTTGGGCTTCTCTCGAGTCGTCCTGTCGAAGTGCTACAGCGATCAGTCTGCAGGGCCAAGTGCGCAAAACACCTCCCAGTGCTACAAGTTCATGCCTTGAAGTTTGGATCCCACTTCCCGATTGGAACCTTCCGGTTCCCGTCTGCATCCCGCTCCAACAGCCGTCTTCAGCGGGAAAGCGACGAAGTTGATGCTGTAGCACGCTCTCTGCATGAGCAGGAAGTCAAGTGAGCCGGCATGCTCAGCTTGCCGTATGTACAACTACAGAGGTCACGCGAACTTCAGCTTCAGATAAGGACTGCGAGTCATGAGCTCTGCGCCTTCTGGCTTCACAGGAATTCAAGCCGAAGATCTGATGCTGTGTTCTCCTCATCTGCTGGGGCTTTTGCTCCTCTGGAGCCTACAGCCCCAGGAAGGTCGCAGGAATCCGTGATTTGATTTTGCGACGTTAGACATTAGACGTTACAAATTCCAAAGTTGCTCCATGTTGCGTCAACACTGACACTACGACTGCGATCGGCTTGATGGCCCCAGCTTGTACGTGCCACTCAGTACTCTGTGGCTGTCGACTCTTGCACATCGCAGCGAAACGTGGTGTTCTCGCCCGTCCTGAGTGTCTCTCTCGGCATCCTCTCGTCTTCTTCCGAGCCTACTTACACCGTTCCTTCCTCCCTCCCTCCACCCTTCCCTTCCTTCAGACTCGCCGACGGGCACACGCCCAGGTGCATACCCATACACCACTACCAGGCAGCAAGAGCCCTTCGCTTTGGCGACGCTGCCGGATGCTGCAGGTCTGGGGCTGCTTCTGCTCACCCCCTTCCGCCCCGCCCGTGTCAATGTCCCAAGGTGCAAAGAGCTCTCCGCAGTCTCCGCAGTTTCCCGTTTGGGCCCCCCCGAAGCTCGGGGTCGCAGCCCTGACACCGCGCATAGGATGGAAAGCTTCCATGCCGCATCCAGTTGATCATTGAAAGTAAAGCTTCCGCAGATAAGCAGGCGAGAGACGTTGTTCTACACTCCAAACCACAGTGTAGAAGAGTCCCAACCCAGCAACTTCAGAGCCACGCCTCCAACCCCCCTTGACAATTCGCTGTCACCACATAAGAGAAGCCTAAATCAGCTTATATAGGTCGTTCAGAGCGGAAGACACTCCGAAGATGCATCCGTGCGCGCTTGCAGCATCGCTCGGTGCAAAACACCATCCAGTGATGCTCGAAAATCTCGGTGCAAAGGCTCCGGCCACTGCCACTGATCGACCACTAGACGTGCCTTGGAATCTTGGACTGAGTCTGTATGTCCGGTACACGAGAAGCCTGAAAGTAAAGCACATCTTGTCTCAGTTTCGCGGTCACAATCCGCAGGTCATTCGCACTTCACGAGGCGCGCACATTATCGTCATAGCCACCAAACAGCACGAAGGAGAAGTCAGAGATCCTGGATGCGGTCTTATCTGCCTTTTCAATGCTCGGTTCAAGCTGGCTTCGTGAATTCTTCGAGCTCTCAGCCGCACACGTGGGAGCAATGACGGCGGCAAACTGAGAGGACACAACAAGGCATAGAACACCACTGACACCAGCTATATGTTAGTTCAAGACGGCCTGCGCTCTGGCAGAGAATGGAGCTGTGGGTGCTATCTGCGTCCACTTGCCCCAATTCGAGAGATCCTGAGGGACCGCATGGGCATATCGTGATGCCACGGGGCTCCCAAATCCTACTTACGACTACAGCTGTCCAAGCACATCAAAGCCATGCGCCCCACACCAGTGCGAAGCCAACCTTGTTTCCGCACCAGATGTCGTTGCGGGGGTTCGGGCGATCAGCCGGATCCTGCACTTACGAGCCACGCAGATACACGGATAAGTCTGCACCCGCTGTTGTGGAAGCTCGTTAAGAGTGTACGACCTCCTGCACATCAAGCAATACTGTAGAATGCGAGGCAAACTCCAAACATGGGCAAAGGCATGCAAAGGTCCGGCTCTTTGCCACGAATGACTTCGCCTCATCAACATTCTACTCTCATCGACTATAGAGATGCGTTATATGCCTGGCCTAGCAGAGCTCGAGTGGTTTGCACTTTATCATCTCTGTACCCAGGTGCGGGCTGCTAGCTGTCACTTTGACTGCCCAACTGCACAGAACACTGAGACAGTTGCCACTGTCTGGTTCTCCACCAAACCCCCCAACCAGGAGGACCTGGCAGCGGAGAGTTATCATCAGCAGTTCGCAGCTGGATCTGGACATGTCCCGTGACCCCTCTTAGCAAATCGTTGAGTGCATCGAAACTTCCAACAAAACATATCCGGTGATATCCGGTGTCAGCGAGGCTCGGCTTGCGGCCGTGTCTACGTCCGCACTGCCTGGGGTTACGAAGCCGACCTTGAGCAGACATGTGAAAGCTCATAATACTGTATGGGTCTCCTTGCTGTGCGTGTCTTTTCGGCTAACGCCTGGGGCTGCAACCAACCGATGACCATGCCGTGGGAACCAAGCAGCCTGTGGAGTAAGTTGCGTCCAGGTGCCCTGACAGCGTACGAGGCACTCTGACACTTCTTCACCCTCGAACTGATCAATGACATACATATATATATATAGAGAGAGAGAGAGAGAGGTTCCATTCGCATTACCGGCCATTCGGGCAGGAAGCCCGAGACAGCAAAGTCTTTACTTCAGAGCACCGCCTGCCACTGCACGCTGCAGAAGTCTCCCGAGTGCTGCCACACCCTCGGAAGCGAAAGCGTTGCTCAGTTGCTCTAGAAAACTGAGGCTTCTACCTCGTTTCCTATGCCCTACGCAGGGTCTGTTCGGAGTGCCGCCAGATGGAGATGATTTAAGACCGAACATCGCGCGACCTTGCAGGGTGTCACCGTTCCTCAGTCCCTCCAACACACGGCTTGCTATGGGCAAACGTTCGGAGGTGGCGGAGCAGGTAGGGGCTGCATGTGACTTAGAAGCCTCGGCATGGAAGCGGCAAGCGTCGCAGCGATGGCACTTATTTTGGTCTCTCCGTGGCGACATCCAGGCCATGAAGCCACGAAGCTGGCAGGCCCGTGCCGTCCCTGGACAGCAACCATGAGGCTGACAGGACGCTGCCCGTAGCCTCGAAGTGTGAAACTAGGCTTAGGAGAGCAGAGCAGACTTCAGCGAGACCAATTTTCGAGGATCTGGCTGCATGCTCTTCCAGCAAATTAAGGTAGCCCCCTGCGTAGTAAATCCGCCTTGATGCACATCACATCATGGCACGGCTCGTACCGCTGGGGCCCTTGCGTTGTAGCCTTACATGCCTTACATGTAAGGGGATTTACTTCAGGGGTCTACACTGCTACTTCTGGACAAAATTTGAAAACGGATGTGAGCAAGCCTCGTTAAGACTTGTCTCAACTTAAGGGTTCAGAGTGCCCTTGTTGCTCAAGACGTTCAAGGGGACGTGGATGTACGCCTTGCCAGATGCGTCTGGCTCGGGCATGCGCCCTGCACGAATGTTGAGCTGCACCGAGGGGATGAGGAGTTTTGGCACGGCCAGCTGGGCATCCCGGCTGTTACCTGCGACTGTTTTCAAAGAAGCAACGCCCATCAACGCCCTATGCACCCAAGCAGCCAAATCCAGGAAGCGGCAACATTTTCCTAGGAAATTGCAAAGCCATTCGTAGAAAGAATAGAGTTGAACCGAGGGTCGCATCGAGACAAAGTCGCCCTCAGTCTTGCCTCCCCCAATGTGCACATTCTTCCGACGCTGCTCACCGATTGTCGTCTCCCACGCGAACTCAGAGCGTCCTGCATCCTTAGGCAAGTAGTCGTGGCCGACAAAGACTCGTGTGTCTGCTGGTAGGGCGAGGATCTTCTGGATCGACTTGTAAAGCGTTGTTGAGCAGCCTCCCGGGAAGTCGCAGCGCGCAGTGCCGTAATCTGGCATGAAAAGAGTGTCGCCAGTAAACACGGTGTCGCCAATGTAGTAGCAGACACATGCTGGCGTGTGACCAGGTGTGTGGAGGACTGTGGCCGTCATTCCTCCGATCTTGAATGTCTCCCCATCCTTGAAGAGCTTGTCGAACTGCGAGCCATCAGCCTTGAAGCTTGGTCCCAGGTCGAAGACACCTGCGAACGTCTCTTGGACGAGCCGGATGTTCTCTCCAATAGCGATCGGGATCTTGCCTCCCAGCTTCCCCTGAATGTAAGGTGCTGCCGAAAGGTGGTCTGCATGTGCGTGAGTCTCCAAGAGCCATTCCACCTCTAGCTCGTGCTTCTTGATGAAGTCGATGATTGCATCGGCGTGCTTGGTGCATGTGTTGCCGGAGGAGAAGTCAAAACCCATCACCGTGTCGATCACTGCAACTTTGCGGCTGCTGGGGTCTCGGACAACTGCAGAGACGGTATGAGTTTCCTCCTCGTAGAACACAGTCACATCAGGCCTCACGTGCTCGATCTCGTCCTCCTTCGAGGGCTCCCGCCCACCTTTACACAAACACAGGAAGTTCTGCAGAAATGCCATGGCGTCCTGCGGAGCACTGCGAAAACTAGTCAGTCGAACCCTCTTGCAGGAAGGTCTTGGCAGAGCCGAGGACACAGGGTCAGAACATGCCGCTGCTTCCAAACCCTGTCCCATCCCCAGCACAGGGAGCGGAAGGGAACGAGTCCCCGCGCCAGTGCCGACAGTGTTCAGAGGAAAAGAATTGGCACTTCCGATAGGTACCAACTACCCTCTTGTTTCAAGCAGGGCTCTGCAGCTACCGGAAGGCCAATGAAGAAATCCGTTACAGGTTGCGGACACCAGGTTTCAAGCATCGGATTCATTTCAATGCACATCCCTCTGTCATGTCCACTGTTGGTGGCAAAACTATTGCCGCTACTCCACTACTGAGAAAGGCATACCAAAACACTACAAGCTCAGATCCACGCTGGAAACATCTCAAAAACTGGGAGCCCAACCAAACGTCATTCTCGTAGCCCAGGGAAGACCTACCTCCAAAAATCAGCATACTTGCATGAAGCGCATCCAACCCTCTCTCGGCCCTTTACATCACCCCCACCTTAGAAACAGCTCAACCCACGCTTGGAAAGAAAGCCTGCTCTGCGAAAGGCATGCATCTGGTATCTGACAGGGTCACGGAGAAAAGCGTGGTTTGAATTGGACCCTTTAGAAGCAAGTAAGCTTGCACTGTGCTTCGCCCACTTGGCGTTCTTTCAAAATCCTGGAAATCAAAGGTTGCGGATTAAAATCTGCAGCCCGTCTGAGTTCACAAAAAAGAATGCCCTTCGCTGGCCGCATGGAGTTCCTACGTTCGGACAACCAGTCACATACGACCACATACGTGTTTGACCCAAGCCTGAACCAAGCGATGCACTTTTAACCTGTTGGGCCATGAAAAGAATGTGGCTGCACGCCTCCAGCAAGGATGACCTGAGCTGTGAGGAGGGATGAGCCCTGTTGGCTGCCTGATCTCAGTCATGCTATCAAACTGAAAGAAGCAACGCTGGGGTCTCTGCTCCACTCGCAGTCCACACTGCCCCTGGCTCCTGGAAGTGATCACGACTCATTGATGTGCACGCAGACTTCTGCATGCAAAACACTGTGCAACTCTGAGGGTTGCTGAGGCAACCTCCACGAAACTAGACCGTGTCGCACAGCATCCAAGTTACGGAGAACTACGGTGAGACAGATAAAGACTTATGTCTCATGTCACTAGATCACTCATGACGAGTGTGGGTCCGACCGCGGCGCCCAGGGAGCATCCCTTGGCGAGGGCACAGTAGGTGCTGTTTCCGACCATCTCTTGGCCTTGCAAACGGGCGGCAGAAGTTGTGCCCATTGCCCATAGATGGGAGAGCTTGTGCACCTTTGCCGCGGGGGTTGTGACACATAAAGCAGGTCATGCTGGATTCAGGTCGGAGCTTGTAGCTGCACTCGAGACCAAACCTGACATTTTGGGACGGCGTACGTGCGCGAATGCGTTCTAAAATCACCTACATATCTAAATCATGTCAGACATTGGACATGTACGCCATCCTGACCCACAAGGTTGGCTGTCGGTCCCGGACTCGCCTTGCAGCTTCTAGTGGTTGCATGTCTTCGAGCAGGGTGCATTTCCTGGACGTGGTTCGAGCAGCAGTGCTGTAGTGCTGCAGACCGCTTGCGGCTTTTGAGTCATTTGCGATAAAGCGAAGGCTCCTCCCGGAGAGCTCCTAGCTTTGGGCCTCAGGCCTTTGGTTGGTTCCGAGATTAGGGGCGAACTCTCAAAACTTCGGTGCCGAGGCCATGAGGCAAAGATGCGAAAGGAACTCTCAAATCAGAGGCAAAGGCCAACTTTTGCATTGGCGGATCCTTGGCGTCCAACGCCAGACGTCGTTTAGAAGGCCGGGTTCTCCTGACGTTCAACGGCCGGGTTACCGGAAAAGCCGTCAGCAACTGCGTTCAAAAACATGATTGAATAAGACCTCCACTCCACCACCACGCAGCGAATGCAAGTTGCACGGTGCACAGGCCTACGCCGCCCATGAGAAGAATGTCCTCGAATGGAAGGCGCCAGTTGGCAGTTCTGCTGCTTGCAAGGAAGAGCACTCTACAATCTAGAAATGAATACCAAATGCGGGTCATCAAGAGCTACACCAAGTACTAGAGACTCCTATAGCGCGACGCGAGTACTGTATGATAGTGTGTGCTGTGTCTGCCTGCCTGATTGCCTGCGTGCTTGCCTAGATAACTCTGTGTGTCGGCATGCAAGTATGGGTTGACATGAAGGTAGATGATGGATGGTTCCCTCTCTCACTGACTCACTTGCTCACACACACACGTGCACAAACATACTTAGACGAAAACATAGCGTCCGCACTTACTCTCTCTCTCTCTCTCTGTCTCTCTCAGTCTCTCTCTCCTAGGCAATCGAAACGTCAAGCCCGGCTGTAGGACAGAGGCGGAAGCACTTAAACTTACTAAACGGCTAAACCTTATCCAGTATGTCATGCCTTTGCACAGCATGGCGCAGTCTCAAATTTGTACTCTCGCAGAATCGATGACGTGCAGTTTCTGCAGCGTGCAATAATGAATAGAAGCAGGGAGTCTGCTTGGGCGAAAATTGGGCGCCTCGGCTTTCTCGAGAACTTAGACAAAATCGGCTTGGTTTCGCAGTTGCATGGACATCCAACTGAGCCAGGCTCGAGCTTCTGCTGCTGAGTGTATCATAGTGTGTGAGCAAGCAGATGGCATGAGAAAATCCAAGCGCCGGAAAGTATGTCAAACAGTTCAGAAGTTGGATGCATGCCTAAATCATGCTAAGGGCTTAAGGGCAATCTTTCCCAACTGCTGCATCCATAGCTGCAGACCTCATTCAGAGGTAGCCGCTTTGCCACAGAAACTAACAGCTCTCGAAGATCCGAAGATCTGATTCATAGCTCTATGACCCTGGGCTCAAGCCCAAAATGCCTCAGCGGCTTCTTGCGCTTTACTCAGAGCATCTGCGTCCGTACCACGCGCAGCCCCTTGTGCAAAGGCCCTCAGCATGAACGGCAAAAAGCGGCTGAAGAGGATCTCTCGCAGAAGCTTTTGGCAACTTCTGGACTGAGGCTGTCTATTTATCACACGCATCATTCAACTGGTGAAGACTCGACCGGTGCAAAGTGCCATACCTGGCTCTGCACATTCACTCATGAATGGACAGGAAGCGATTTTCCGCCACCCTTGCCGCCAATAGCTGCAAGCGCCGCCTCTCCGGATCAAAGACATCGCTGCAAGATTTGGCAGCAACGGCGACAGGAGGGTGTGCCTGGACCCAGGCACCAGCTGGCTTCGAAGCCTGCCGGCACGGCTCCACAGTCTCATCCACAATTCCGGGTGCTTCAATTTAATCTGTGGCAAGCCGGAATAGGATGTCCCCCCACACACACACACCCTCTCTCTCTCTCTCTCTCTCTGTCTCTCTTCCATGCCCCCTCCCCGTGTTTGTTCAGCTCCTGGAGCGGCGAGGGGACAGCTGCTAGGCAGTCGACTGCGCCATCACCTTCGAAGACTGAAGGCAAGATTTGTGACGACTGCAGCCTTCAAGACAAGTGACCCGACGCATCGAAAACTATCCCAAGGCCTCACCTTGTCCCCAAGACATCCATCAGCGTTCTCTGCAATCGCTGAGAACTGAACTGTCGGATCTCCTCACCGAGAGCCCGGCTCGGTTGGTTCAGCACCAGGACAGCAATGGACTGCATGGCTGGCTCAGCTGCAAGGTCACGCAGCATCTTGCCGTCAACACCTCAGCGCAAGCGGAGCATTCCTTTGCCACGTTTTAGTGCTTCAAACAAACCCACACTGCAAACATACGTGCCTGAGCCGTCGAAGGTTGCAACACAGAAGTCGGCGCCCGCATCTCGTGCCGTGTCGATCACCTGTCGGCAGACGAAGCCTTTTTTCTTCCCTCAAGTTCACTATGCTGCTCCACAGGATGCCCGGGCCTGTCGCAGCTGGGCCAAGAAAGCCGCCTGCTCCTCCTTGCTGACTTTGCCCTTCTTCTTTTTCTTCTGCTGCTTCTTCAGCCTCGGCCCCCATCGGCTTTCGCATGCAATACGCAGGACAAAGCATGGAAACGTGAAATTTTTGGGAGGTGGAGGGTCCTATCTGGAATTCCAAATCACATGAACAGACCGGAGTACCCCGATTCGCAGCATGGGAAGCGGAGTATCAGAATTTTAAAACGCTCAATAGCCACCGCCAGCTTAAATGCGGCCCAGGACTGTGCTAGGTCTGTTCCAATCTGCCTTGAAGTGCACCGGACACCGACACACTGGTTTACATCCGTGCCCAGCATAGAACTTGGTCATGATGGCTAGTGTCGTCATCATCATCAGCACCTGTCATCGCATGCTATAACATGCCAGAAGCCAATACCCCCAAGCCGAGCATTCAATTTCCAAGTGGCTGCTTCCGGAGCTCCCCCAAACGATCCCGCAATGCGGCCTGTGGAAACGACTCCAAACAACCGTGCCGTGCTGACGGTTATAGCAGTAATATCAGCAGCAGCAGCAGCAGGAGCAGCAGGAGCGGGAGCAGCAGCAGCAGCAACAGCAGGAGCAGGAGCAAGAGCAGCCGCAGCAGCAAGGGCAGTGGAGTGGCAGTTAGTAGCAGCAGTAGCAGGAGGAGGAGTAGGAGAAGGATAGGAAGGAGTAGGGTAAGAGTAGGAGGAGTAGTAGTAGTAGTAGTAGTAGTAGCAATTTTTGTAGTAGTAGGTGGTGGTGGAAGAGGAGGAGGAGGAGGAGGAGGAAGCGGAGTGGTAGGAGTAGGAGCAGGACTAGGAGTGAGGGGGAGGAGGAGGAGGAGGAGCAGGAGGAGGAGGACGAGCAGGAAGATGAGCAGTGAGAGTACCAGCAGCGGCAGCATCACCAGGCACGCCTACTCTCTCGCGGTGAGTACTCTCATTACAAGCAGAAGAAGGAATCTAGCAGTGCTGCTGCTGCTCTTTCTGCTTTGTCGCACCAGCGGTTTTTTTTGTCACCCACCTAGCACCAGTGGTAGTAGCAGTAGCATAGCAGCAACCAGAGCTGCAAAAAACACCTCCGCATCGACTCTATACTCAACAAAGGCCTTCGGAGCTGCCGGAAGCTCGGAGTCATCCACACGTCGGCTAAGTTGGATCAACACGTCCTCCTGGAGCTGTGGGTGTGCAACCATGCGAAGAGCAATCATGCAATCTCAGCCAGACAGACCAGGCAGTTCGAGCTGCTTCTGGAATGACGCTATTCGGCGTGATGACAGTACGGCAATGCCAACAGCCATGGGTGGTTTAGAATGAGGCACCCAAGTTCGGCGCAAGAACAGAATTTGTCACGTTTTCGCTCTGCGTTGGATTCCAGGAACTCAGACCGATCTCGAGTCGAGACATGCATTGCGAAGGCGGTGGGTCGCAAAGGAGCTGTGCATGCACGTTGCATGCGACCCGAGGTAGAGTTGGCAGATGAGCCTTCTGAAGGCTCAAGCACCAGCGATCATTTCATTTGGGCTTGTTTGGTCCGTGCATCCAGCACAGCAAGGCCTTACTGACTTCGTGCAAAATCTCACCGGCTCTTTGATTATGGGCGCACGGATGTTGCGGGATGGCCATGCAATTCCACCGCCCCGGAAGCCTCGGAAGCTTTCGAAGTCTCCAGCTTCGCCACCTCTGAGTCGAGGCGCTCCGCTTCCTGGCAGCCGCGCTCCCCACGCGCTTGGCTTCTCACGAGTTGGAGCCAGGAAGCACCTTGATCGCGATCTCGGCCGCCTCACCCGTGGCAGCGATGATGCGCCGAACGCCCTTCGAGATGCCTCGCATCGCTCCGGCCAGAAACGCCCAAACCCTCTGACGGTGTGTTCGCTAATCTCTCAATCTTCCCCGGCCTCTTTCTTCCAAGAGGGCGAAGGACTTGGCCTCCGATGTCGAGGAGATGTGCGTTCCACCACCTTCCGGCATCGAATGCGCTTAGAATTCTATGCTTGCAATACTCCATTTCTTATCATGAGTCGTTCCATGCCGAGCGGCAGAACTCGACCGATTGAGACAGCCACTTATCGTCGCCGGGCTTGTCCAGGATCGCATCAATTCCTGCAGAGCCTGCGCTGGTGCAAGATGTTGACCGTCTTCTGCTCAAAGGCTCCATCTGTGCCACAACCAAGGACACAAGATATCACAAGATCACACAAGACCCCCGGAAGGCGGGCCGCCTACGGTCACGACGCGCACGGGATCTGGATAGGACTCCCCGGCCATGGCTCGCAGGCCAACAATGGCCTAACGGAGAGAAAGCAAAAAACTCTTGCCTTTTGGTGTATTCCTTCGCACACTCCAAGCAGGCAGTTTAAGTCAGAGCCCTAAGGGCCCAAGCTCGGTTACTGCCCAGAGAGGGGGCCCAGAAGGCCTGGGCATCTGCCAAGGCCACGGTCTTCGTGTCGACAGGCAGCGATGCATCCACGACCTCACGGACCTTCAGGCAAAATACCAGCACCAGGCACCCCCTGACCTTCCTTGTGTTTCTTCCCACCCGTAGAAAAACGTTGGGCGGATTCTGCGCGCACCATGCCGATCAACGCTTCATCATCCTGCCTTGGTCTCAACGAGCTGCAAGTCTTTCACGGACACTCCGCTGCTAGCTTCGTAGCTGAAGTCGAAACGCAACCTGACCCAGGAAGGAGACCGAGAGAGAGGAAGATCAGACATCATTCATGATCAAACAGGAATGGCACCGTCGCCTTTCTGCCGTCACAAGCGAGCCCCTCTGGTCAATGCCGTCACCAAGCACCTGCGGAGGCTTCAAAGATGTCAACTTGAAAAGGACTTCTTCCGAAACGATGCAGGCTGACAGGGATGAGCGCAGAATTGCTTAGAGGAAGTATCCACGCCGTGTGCATGGCTTCCTGATTGCGGCCTCGCGCAGCGCCCAGTTCAGCACATGCGTCATAGTGTGATTTGGTGCGATGCGGCTGCGATGAGCATAGTCCACCTGTGCAGAGTATGGAAACCACCTCCTAGGCAGCTGCTCGGAACGGAATCGAAACGAAAGAGTCGAGGAGCTGCAGTATGTGTCATTGTATGAAGTGCAGGCATCGCGGCAAACGCAGCAGCGCCCTCGCTGCTGAATGATGAACGTCATTTGAGGGAACCGAGCCTGGCATACAACTTCGTCCCCGACCTCGATGGAACAGAAGGTCGCGGAATGGGACCGCTACTGCTCAGCATGTCAATGTGAATATCATGTCCGCACATGTCAGCAGTGAACATGCAGGCGCATGCCGCGCTTGCTGTAGTCATTGCAAGCCAGGCCACCGACAGCGCTGCAGTGGGGACTGGACCAGTGTGCAATACATAGCCCGCGAAAGCCTCCGCAAAGATGCCCGCAAATCTTTACCATGCTTCTGCAAGAGCGACGGAAGATGCTGTCAGCAGCAGCAGGCGATCACTGCAGTGTCTGACCTAAAACGCTGGCCGCGGCCGCGGCTGCTGCTGCAAAAGCGGCAGCAGCGGCGGAGGTCCGCCCACTGAATTCATGATTTGCTTGTCAACTTGACCAGAACGGCACCCCCAGTGACCTAGCGCGCAAAACCAAACTTGCAGACTTCAGCTTCGAGGGCTTTGACACCTTAAGACTTCGGGGGCATGTAAATTGCTGATCATTTCTCAAAAAAGCTGCTCTTGTGACGTTCGCATTGTCCTGAGACATGTGCTTAGAGCGACATTTCTCAGCAGACAACCTCGCAACATACTTCCCTCACTGCCGTCACCACTACTGCCACAGGTCACAAAAACCGAGCATACGCGATGACGCCAAACACCAACTATCCAGCTGCAAGGTCGAAGCCAATACCGCCATACACCAGCAGCAACACCATAACAGCTCCAATAGACACATTCGACAGCCGGGACGAGGCAAGCATCAGTGCCAAACTCTTTGACAACAAATGGTACGAGTGTGCTCCCTTCAGCTGGCAGCCTGAACGACCTTCACATTCAGCTCGGCGCCATCTTCCTCAAACTACACTATAGCCACTAGATCGCATGCCGGGCACCGCTCCAACTCTGTATGCCTGCATCTCTCGTCTCATGCCGTGCTCATTATGCTCGGCGAAAAGGCACGGCTTACGTCCAAGCAGTTCTCTTCCAACTCAGTCACCGGAATATGTCGCCGACTCAGGCAAGTGTCTCTTGTCAGCGTGCCAAGATCGTTGACCTGTCCGCCGGCCTGCGCATGACGAGATCCAAACCAGCTTTGCCCAGATACAGTGCCCAACCCCATGGTGCGGAGCAGATCGTATCAGATTTTTCCATGCTAGTCTGAAACTTGTCCTGGCAGCATGAGCAAAGAGCGACAGCCGTCGCCTCGGCATAGAAGGGCGTCTTGTCCAATACCTGGGCCAAAGCCCGCTCAAGTTGATTAGCGTTCGGGAGAAGGCAACCAGTGATGATTCGTATTCAAGGTCTTCTGAGTTTCACTAGTAGTAGTGTTTCAAATTTCTCCTAGTCTAAAGCAAAATTTGCAAATATTCGAGACGGCTTTGCTCCTGATGGGCAAACCGCCCACCATCACCAATTTCACGATTGGAAAGGTCATTCGAGGAGATCGGGGGGTTCGCAACAATGGGACAAGTTCGCATGCCGCCAAAGATGTTTCTGGACACGGCCCCGACTGCTTGTGGGGCCTTCGGCCCATGGTGTTCCGAGAGCTTCAGACTGCCTCAGACCAGTAGGACCTACCTTGAAGTCCGTGCCGGAAAACCCGATCCAGGTTCAGCGGAAACTGGAGTCGTCCGGTAAATTTAAGTTAGTGTCCGGCCTCACATCCTGCACAAACCACCCGGCTGAACGGTGTTGAGACAAGCCTGCTTTACTGCTTGCCTTCAAGTCCCTGGCTGTGTCTGCCATGAGAATTTGGTTCGCCCGCCTGTGGAGGGAATAGTCTAAAAACAACGGAAGTACGATGGTGGCCTCGGCTTGAATGAAGGGCACCTCCTGAGGCTTAGGGCTCCTGACTGGGATGGCACGGGTACGGCACTTTTGTGAATCAAGGCTGGGGCCAGCGTCCTGTGTCTTCGGTGGCGATGTGCAACTGAACTCCGGCTGTGCGGCACATGTTTCGCATGATGCGTGGAGGTCCTCTCACCACACCTGCTAGGGTTCTGGAACCCAGAGACCGAGTCATCTCGAGCTTTGCGGCTGTCGTTCCCGACATTGCTCCGGGAAGCTTCGGAGCTCGAAAAGCTAGGATCAACTGATTCCCGCTTGTTCGAAATGTCGAAAGGCCGGTTTACGCTCTCACAACTCGGACTCAGCCAGGCGAGGTTCTTGGGTGCACAGTCGCATGTTTCAGGTTTCAATATATCCACCGCTTGGGATGTCGCATACCAGGAGCCGGACTACTTCCGTGTTCTGTTCTTGACCTCTGAGCAACGGGTGATCCCACTGAAAGGTTGGCCAGGAAGGTGCTCAATTCCACTAGACATCATGTCAACTGCTTTCAATGCTGGAAAACTTTAAAAATGCAAATGTCCCTGCCCGCAATTGCCGTGAAACTCGGCATCCGAGTGCTTGCGGGGAGCGAGTCCGATGGATGCCCCATCGTCCTTGATATCTGCAGTGCTGTCTACGAATCCTGAGCATGAGGAGGGGCCGAGAATTCACGTACGCAGTCCGAAGCAGAGCAGCAGCGCCAAGGCCCACCGCGGGTCAACGTGCAGAAAAGAATCCGTCCTCTGTGTACATGGCCAAGATTTTGGCAGTAGGCTGGATGTTCCAAGTGTACTTGAAGTCATCATCCTGCATCTTGCAGTCCATCAAATGCACAGACTTCACTTCGCGAGTTAGTCGCATTCAAGCAGCAGTGATCGGAATCTTGCGGTCGCTAAGCCAGGCCTCAAGTATGTTCTGTCTTTTCTTCGGCTCCGTTCTCTGGCACACAGAAACGCTCTTCGAGGCTTCTCGGGCCCTGTCCGTTTGTTCGGCGACCAGCTCCAAAGGTCGCAGGCCCTGCTTCTGTGCCTGGCCAGGGTAGCAAAACGAGACGGAGGGTCTCTGACTGGTCTCTGATAACAAAACACTTCCCTACCTAAACCTAAGCCTCGAAGCACCACCGAAACGAGTGGGCTTTTGATCCCGGCCTGAGAATGCCCGGTGCGAGTCGAGGCATTCAGGTTCGACGCTCACACTCGCACAAGGCAGGCAAGGCTCCACATAGTCCACAGTATCTCCACTACTCGAAACTAACAGCCCGCTTCCAGCATTCCAACCAGGCAAGTACAAAATATCAACAAAGGACCGTAAACCCCACGATGTAGAAGCAGAACCATGACCGGTCGCAGGCCATCGTTTGGGCACGTGCCCCTATTTCAAAATGAAGCTACTACTACTCGGCCCTCGTTAAGGGCCATGGATTTATTGCTTTTTGCAAGAACAAGCAGAAAACCTGCAAACCTGTGTAAACCTGGAATCTCATCTTCTCCTCCCCAAATGTTAACTGTTCCGACTTTGTGGAGACCCTGCAGGCTCGGCCGACTGGTCTCTCTGCTCTGTGCATCGTATCTGCTCGCCACCCACCAACAGCAGGGTGCAGGTTTCGACGCTACAGTGCTACAGTAGAGCAGAAACGTTGGAAACCCAATAGCCTCGATCCCTAAGACTACTTAATGCATAGGGAATCCCAGCACTATTTGGCCTTAATCCGGCTTCCAACTTTATGGGGTTTACTGTGACCCCACATGCCAGGTGCGTCCAGGAATTTAGAGTTTCGGGTGCTTGGGCATATCTGCATTCGTCCGTTGCTCAGGGGGCGGGGGAACGGATTCTTCCAAAGTGTGGCTCATGCTATCCATGCTGCAATGATTGTAAGGCCCGCTGTCGAAACGAAATACTCGGCGTCCTCATGCTGATGCTCATACTAAGGCTTTTCAAGATCCTCCAACCCCCCGTTGACATGCGCACTTCTTCGACTTCTCGACGGCGGCAGCTTAGGCTGATGCGGGGTCGAGGTCAGGCTTTCTTGATTCGTTTTGCTGTAATTACGAGTAGTGAAACGGGCTCTGTTTCTGCGTGGAGTGCCCGGGCTGGCCTGTTGTTCACGCAGAGCTTCTCTCGAGCGCTCCTTCTGCTTCTCCATTGCAGCCTCAGTAGTGTCAGTAGGCCTCTGCACTTTTCGCAGCTGACGTGAGATTAGATCAGATCCTACGGGCTGCTGCGTCTTTGCCTCAATACAGGACGACCGGTGCAGTGCCAAGATACCTCGAAGCCGGCAATGTCCACGGTGAAGTTCGCCTGAGGAGCCATACAGGGCAGGGTGTCAAGCGAATGTCCTAAGGGTTCTTCCAGCACTCACACTCCATGCCCTAAAAGATTTGTAAGCAAGGAGGGTCTCACAAGATCCATACTGCCTGCTCCTGCACATGCAATTCACGGCAAAGTTTCTTCTCAGCTTCGCGTAGATTCACCCTGGTGGCCCTGGTGAACCCGGAGAGGCAGAGCATGCAGCTGCACTGGCCTCTTGCGCCATCTGCTCTGTCAAGTCCAAAGGGAAGCCGTGGGTGTCGTACAGAAGAAAAGCCTCAGACACTCCGTGTCTGAGCTTGGAACGACCTCGATATCGGTGCACGCAAGGTCATGCTGCAGTGCACCTGGTCGCCAGGAACAGTCGACTTCCCTTCGGCAGCCAATTCATCCTCACTTTGCGCCACAAGGAATCAGGCGCAAACTCGTGAATCGGACATCACAGGGTTATAGAAGTGGAGGAGTTCGATCCGAAACCCTGAACAGGACTGGAAAGAGTCCAAGTCCGGTTCCCCGGGGCGCATCTGGACTCCCCACGGCATCATTGGGTGATTGGGCGAGGTGTGCAGATATGGCCTTACTTGATGAGCAAAGCGTCTCGAAGAGCCTCGAAGAATTGCATTCCACGATCCACCGTTCGGTCGAAGGCAGCCTTGCAACAACAAGGTAACAAGAGGCGCAAAGGAGCAGCCCGGTAGCAAGTCCCAGTCGGTCCTAGCCTCTGCTGCCAAGACATGTTCGACTTCACTTCATTTCTGACATTTCATGAGAAGCCACCTCTTCTTCGCGAAGCACCGACTCCACGCGCTTTGCCCCGTCGTTCAGTTCGGGGAAGGCGACTCCGAGGCAGGCTGCCACTTTGGGAACCTCAGAACCAGGATTCTCTGACTATGCCATGCATAAAACACTTACCTTGATCTTGTCCTGTCTTTGACCAGCCCAGAGCATACTCCACCAGACCTTGCTTGCTTGCTTCCGTCATGCTTGCCTTCCTTCCATGCATCCCTCCCTCCATCCACCCATGCGGCCACGCAGTCATGTGTGTTAACGGTACGCGTGTAATTACATGTACGTATGTACGTATAGGTATGTGCTGATAATGCATGTGTGTAGGTAGGTGGCCACTGGGTGGCCAGGTAGGTAGCTAGGTCCAGGTAGGCGGGTAGGTAGGCTCGAGACAGGGCCTGTATGCACAATCACGATTATCATGTATCCGGGAACGCTGAGGGCCAAGCCAGCTTGCTGAAAAACCCAGGCGGAGCTTGCAGCTTCGACCGGCCATATCGCACAGCCCGCCGGAGAATGCGGCGCAGCACATACCCACGGCCTCGCCAAGCACACTTCGGACTTCTGAGGTGGTTCAGCGCAAAACTTCCAATCCTGGCACGAGTTGCTGTGCGTTCAGCAACTGCGTTGCAAGACTTCAGTGCTGGCAACCTTGTCTACAACGCCGCCTTCGCTGGATGGCATGGCACCATCTGCAACAGCCAAGGTAAGGGTTCTGGCATGGTCCACGATGATTCCTCATGTGCGGGCTGGTTTACATGGCAAGTGTTGTCAATCAGATTAACCATGTCCAGCCAGGCTTCTGTAGGCTGTGTCCCTCATTCCTTCATCCTCTTCACCCACACGTCCCTGGTACGGATCACCTTGAACGGATCTTATTCACGAAGACAAGATGTGCTCGAAACCGAAACCAAGGCAGAAGGAAAACTGCCTCCAACCAGGTCGTGGAGTGCGTCCAGAAGTGGCCCAAAAATATCTGTGTCATAGTTGCTGCGCTTGTCCTGCAGCACCTGGTGCAGGCCCACTGTGACGTTCTCCAAAAGGACGGTCGAGGCCGTCATGCGGGGTTGCAAAACAAACCAGGGCTAAAGTGCTACTAGCACCTTTCGAGCGCTAGTTGCAAATTTCCGGAGTGTCGGGGAGCTACTGACTGCATTGATGTTCATTGCTTCTCTTTCTCCTACCGTGGCTTTCCACAGTTTTGGCTTGCGTCCCCGACTGTCCAACCAGAAGCGGCTTCCAATATCAACCAAGGTGGGAAAACCACTCAAAATCACATGTCCGTCCCACAAGATCCTTGGGGTTTGCCTTCCTGTTTCAGCTCGTCCGACTGCCGAGACATGCCCACCCATTTCTCCGGATCCTACGGACATGAAGCCACCATGCAAGTTGGGCCGGGCGGCTGAAGTGACGCGCTCCAAGCCCATGCCAGTGTCTATGTGTCGGCTGGGGAGCTCTGTCAGCGTGCCATCATCTTCGCGATAGAACTGCATGAACACCAAATTCCTGCAGGGCACACGAGGAAGATATGCAACTAGTTCTGCCACATGCTAGAAATGCTAGAGGGTCGAGGCTGCTTTTATCAGACAGCCACGTCTAGCCCACGGTCGCAAACTATTGCGTGGCAAACGCCAACTCCCAAGGTCCAGATCTCAATCACGTCTGGGTCGTCAGCATTGACTAAAGCTGCAGCATCACGGCCGCCCACACGATCGTAGTGAAGCTCGGAGCACGGCCCACAGGGACCTGTTCGTGGCAGGATGGTCTCCCTAAACTGAGAATGCAGATTTGGACGGCCTCTTGCAAGGTAGTACCTATACAGAACCTGGACGTCATAGGTTCAATTGAAACAGCCTTGAATGCAGCTTCTACAAAGCAATGATGGAGAGTGGCTGCTGCAGTAGCAAAGGTCAACGGCAAAGACTACGTACATCTTCGCAGCGCAGGTCGTAACTTCAAAAAGCTCGCCACAAAGGGGCATGCTTGACGGTTGGTACTCAAGCCGCAACACCTTCTGATGCAAACGCAACGTGGCGACGTCTGGTCAGCTCCTCTCCCACACCCCCACCCAAACCTTCAAGCCCGAAGCATGGCTACCCACCTGCCGACACAGAGACGTTGGAGGTGTCTCGAGACTCCAATAACGAAATCACGACAGAAGGGGCTTGCTTGCCTGTCGCACCCATCTCCCAGAAGTTGTCCTTGCAAACTCCAAACGCGTGGACAGCCGTCGGTTCGATCCGGGTTGCAGGTTGCGTGAAGCAGGAGGCTGGTGAGGCCCTTAGACCAGCACTGAAGCTGAGACGAGCGGGGAAGACAGGCCTGCACCTCCGGTACACCCTTCCTCCAAGCCCGGCCCTGCATATTGTCAAAGTAAGACATTGCAAGACGAGCAACAGTTCATGACCCAGAAGTGCACTGATGGACTCTGAGAGGTTTCTCTGCCAGGTGCACAGAGATGAATTTCGCTTCACGCTCCCGCGACTCGGACAGGCCAGGCGAGATCTTACGGTGCGCAGTCGGACTACTCGGAAGTTTCTTGTGCAATTGCATGCCCGCGACTCCGGTACGTATGGCGTCCCCCGGCGCATCTTGAATCGAGCGCCAGCTGGCTCAGCTTGTGCGAAACAGCAGGGCGAGCCCTGCTGCCAACCTTTCTTCTTCTGTCGTGGTTGCAGCTCCACGGGTAAGCGTGTCTTTGTCCATGCGTCGTCCCTCCAATGGACCGTCAAACAGCCATCATCTTCCTTTGACACAAATGCTTCACTTGCACTTCCCCATGCGTCCTTCCTATCGAAGGGCAGCACTCTTTCTGGTGGGAGGCGCTTCTCCCACATCTCCTCCGCAGGTTCCGACTTCGATCCCAACAGGTGCATTTTAGCCAGCCTCGCCAACTGACCTTCCGATCAAGCAGCACTCTGATTCAGAACCTGTCGAGCGCAACATGACACGGACGTTTCGGCTGCTCCTTGGCCTCGACGTCTGCAGGGAGGCCCAGCCTTTTGAAAGGTTCAGCTGCATGAATCTCAAAATCACATGGGACAGTCCGTTACGTCAGGGGCAAAAAGGTTATATAACAAACAAGTACCTGCTGCAATGCCAAGGACATGGCCCCCAAGTTTAGCTGGAATGAGTCTATACGTCACTCACCGGACTCCAGCAAACTCCAATGCATGCAGTGCACGTCCATGCCACAAAAGCACCCGGACCACCCGCTAACCCCGAAAACAGACAGTGGGCTCATGTATGAGAGTTACAAGCCTTCCAGGCGAGAGCTGCAGTTCAAGTAAGCTCAGTTCGCTCGCTTTCGATGTTCCAGGGCAGGAGTCGGCTCGTTTGAGCCACTGCCATGGCTTGTGACATTTGTAGGGATTTGGACTCTCGAATAAGACTTTTGGGGTTGATGCCAAGAATGCAGCTCTGCCATACCACAGAACATTACTTGGAATGCTGTCGACCAGAGCCACATTAAATGCAGCTCGAGCTCTCCTCATCCCCACAGAAGTAGCTGGCATACAGACGGTTCGGGTCCAGGCCATAGACCTCGGGCTCAGCTTTCAACATGTTCCCTTCTTGGCGGCCCATCGGTCTCAGCGCTGGTAAGCCAGAGCTACGGCACACACATGACACCCGGCCTCTGTGAGGAGCTCCCAGGCCCAGTCGATCGCTTCCTCTTTGAAGTAATCGCCGAAGCTCCTTGGCTCTCTTTATTGACAAACATCCAACCTTCTCAGTAAAATGCCAGGGCCACTATAAACGGTACAGTGAGGGCGAGACATGCTACAAATAATAACATTGCTCGCACAAAGTGGCAGCAGCAACTGGGTCTCTCTAGCCCGCCCCTGCCCTCACCACAACCACGACTACGACGTCGACTATTTACAAGTCGTCTCGATGGCTACCAGCACTACTTGTGGTAGTAGTGGCAGCAGCAGCAGCAGCAGCAGCAGCAGGAGAAGCAGTGGTAGTGGTGGTGGTGATGGTGGTGGTGGTGGTGGGAGCAGCAGCAGCAGCAGCAGCAGCAGCAGCAGCAGCAGCAGCAGCAGCAGCAGCAGCCAGCGGCAGCCGCAGCAGTAGCAGTAGTGGTGATTGTAGAGGCTGTAGAGGTAGGAGTAGGCAGCATCAGCAGTAGCATCAGCAGCTCTAGTCAGTCGTTGTCGCCGTCGCTTCGGGAGCAGAGCAGATGCGGTCGTGCTGCACCAGGGGAAGGGGAGGATCTAGCCGATTTCACACTCACGGTCAATGATTGCTCTCAAAATCGGAAGGGTGTTTTGAGGCAAGGTGTACTGCAGTCCAGAAGCCAGTTCCCCAACATTTCAAAGAATGTGTGGTGATAGACGTCTTTGCCGACGTCGTCCTGCACAACGCAGTTCGGAGAGGAATGCAGCAGCATCAAACAATGCAGGCAAGCGACCAAGTCGTTGTGCTTTCCACCAGCACGGATGCACTTCTGGCTATTGACGGCTCTCGACACGCCTTTCAAAACAAAGCGCACCAGATTCCCTTTCAGAGTAGGAGCTAGCAGGTACTTACCATCGCAAGATCAGGGTGCACTGGGATTGAAAGCGGTCCTCACGCAGGGCCGTTTGCCAGGGGTGTCCTGCGCGTGCGACCTCTATGATTCGGCTCAGCATCATTAGCACGCGGCAGGCGTCCCTCTTTTTCACAAGGAACGGTATTTGTAACGCCGTTGCAAACCCTAGCAGAGCGGTAGTACCCGTAGAGGCTGCACTCGCTGCTGCCTCCGTTCTTGAATGTTTGTTGCAAACACGCTCACAATATCTCACAATTGACATTCAAACTTCCGCATGCTTCTAGAGATGTAAATGCAAATATGTACCCCTGCACAAGTGACCATACTCTATCTGCCCGGCTTGAAGTCAACATGTTTGAGCCTCGTGAAAACCTCCACCTCTAATTAAGCTCCAACTTGTGAACCAACAGCAGACTACCACCCTCCAGCCACCACGGCACTGACCAAGCGCCTTAACCAAAAAAACAAAAACAAACATGTTGTCGCGAAGACCCTGTTGTCCTGGCCTTGCAGCGGGCTGTTGGGCTCCAGCTGCCCCAAGAAGATGGGTTTGAACTGGTTCATCCCAGCCTCTACGGGGTGTTAATTTCCAGCAGCTTCAATAAGACGTCTAGTCCAGGGCCGCAATCCGCTAATCACTTGTGCCGCCAGGGTGCATTTGCGAAAAGCAATGTCGGGTCGTTCAAAGGCACAACCGGGCTCGAAGCGATGAAGTTGTGCTCCTTCTTCTCCGTGAAAAACTTGATGTATGCATCCCGGACCTTGTCGCCTGATCAAGTTCAACCCTCTTCACCCCCTTCACGCAGCCATGCTCAGACAGCCGTCAGCCAGAGCATTTCTCTGCCGAAACATTTTGGGAATCCGATCTCAGCAGCCTGTCCAGACATCCAGGGAAGAGGCCCGGCGAGCGACACTTACGTATGCAGTCCTTAGTCTGACGAAGCCCGGGATCTCCAAACCACATTCAGATCAGAATGACGAGCACGGCATTTATCGGACCAGTAAGGGGTGCTGCGGCGGTTCGGAACGACTTGGCACCTTATATTCTCTCGAGGTGCTGCCTCCGATGCCGACGGCGAAGGCCCCGCACTGCAGAAGCTCCGAGAGCTGCACTGCAGAGCCTCCAAGACAATGTTTACACTTCTACATTCCAAATTCAGCGGATCCGAAGTTTTGTGCTCTTCGATTTTGCGGCTGGAGGCACCAGCGCCCACGGGGCCGCCGCAATTTCGCCTCCTTCGATTCGGGCAGAGCTGGCGCCAGGAGGCGGGATTCGCCGATACGGGAGCGGGCCGCGAGGGGGCAGCGCCGCAGGGTGGCCAAGCCCACAGGCCGCATGGCGAGGCGAACTGCCAAGGCCGTGCTGAGCTTCTGCGACTAAGGCGACTGAGCTGACAAGTCGCTGTGTTGGAAACATCGTTGCAAGTGGCTACATGTGGGGTGGCTGGCCTTTGGGGACTCGTCAGTAGTCAACCCTCAAGTGACTTTCCCAGCCCAACATCAGCATACACTACATGGACCTCTACTCAAGATGATGCGTTCGTGAAGCCTGGAAGGCAGATAGACATCATGTCGAGTGGGTGAAAATATAGTGTGTCCTTGAAATCAATGGTGCCTCCATCAGAGCAAACACATTAGCATGTGCCATATTGCTCAACTTCTGAGTCTTTGGCACCCTCTGGCAGCGTCACGGCAACATGTGCGGAACGGGCAGGCCTGGCATGGGCTCAGAGTGACAGGCCATGGGTTTCGCGATCGCACATCGGAGTCTCGAAAGTCTGTCAGTGGCACCAGGGCGCGATGTCCACCTGCTGCCTTGAAGTTAAACCGTGGGTTTGCACATCTGGCCCGAGCTTAGACAAACAAGACATGTGTCCAGAGCGAGCAAACGGCCATGTTAGATCACCACCGTCCCTTCCACATTCTGAGGGCCGGTGGCGGATTTACACACCAGACTGCGTGTCGGTACAAGTAATCAGAGATCCATAGTATGCGTTCCTGTCAGAAGCACCCATTTTTCCTTTGGCCAGCTTGTCTTATACTTTGAGGCGGAAGTCTGATGCGAATTCCAGACCGGAAGCACCTTGGGTGCAGTCAGTCCTCTGCCGGGCAAAGGTGAGAAACCGCGGCCGCCACAGAAAGTGATGAAAGTTGGCGTCAGAAGATGCTGTCTTGCTGTGATTGCACACGTCGTACTGCAATAAAATGATGCGCAGCCTATGCCGAGCCCCTCCCAGGACAGTTTCGGGGCCTTCATGAATTTGCAGGCAGCCTCTGCAACTGTCATACGTGACAATGTGGGGGACTCAATGACAGCGCTCTGTGCGGCCACTAAGACGGCCAAATGCCCTCATCATGCTTCAATCCATAGTTGAAGCGGAGACCGCCACGTTCCAAAGGCTGCCGCCAGCCTCAGCAAGATGAACACAGAGTTTCCAGGACCGGGTCTCGGCAAGGCCGTCAAGCTGCACGCATGCAAAGCTCCAACAGTGCACGCCACTCCACGCTCCCAGCTCTAACAGTACCGGTAGCAGAGCTAAGCTTCCTGCCAAGCTCCTGGCAAAGCATTGCAGGTAAATTTATGCGCCCTCGAGCGAACCTAGTAACGTGTGCTTAAGGGGAGTGCTATTAGAGGGAGGACTGAAGCCAGCATCTCCGAATGCTTACCTGACAAGGCAGTTTGTGTGGAATGCTCCTGCTGCGTCGTCTGCGGCGCTCGAAAACGTTCCCGAGGAACGCGCCTGAGTCCTGCAAGAGCTCTGCATGTACAGTACCACGAGCTTTGGCTAAGCAAGGGAGTGCCTGCTAGTGCTCCAGAGCGAGACATCTCTTCGCCCGGCGACAGGCCTTTGCCCTGGCAGGCGGCAGCAGACATCAGGTCCAGTGAACACATTAGAATGAAAGGGCCTAGGAGTAGAAGCTCTAAAGCTACTTGATCACTTCTGATGCACGGCACAGCACAATGACAATGAGACATGTCGGTCGTTTTTCTCTGTTTGCCTGCAGAATGCACACCATGGCATTCGTGGCACAAAACCGTGAAAACATGCTTGAATCTCATTCGATCTCGGGAGCAAGACCGACCACAAAGCTTCAGAGACGTGTGTCTGAACATAGCACCAGTCCTGATCGAAGGAAAAGTATAAGCCCCTGGCTTCTCATCCGCCATCGTGAGATATGGAGGCTCCACCACTTTAGATGCGAGCTGTCTGCAGAAGGTCAGGCACGGAAGCTTGGGATGGTGCGAGATCCTGCGATGATGTTGGTCGATGCAGAAAGTGATGCTCTTCCAAGGTCCGGCAAGCGCCGCCTGCCTCCACAACACAACACCGGAACGTATAGGGCATAGGAGTGTCGTTCTCAGTCTGGGCGGTCAAACGTCTCGCCACTCTTCAGCTGTGAATTGACATCACTTTGGCCTTGCGCCGCAAGCAGGACTCACGCACTGCCGAGTGGGAGGATTACAGTGTGATGCCATGGGCCGAAAAAGAAGCTTGTGCGGCAGTGGGCGCCGAGGGCGAGGAGTGGCCTCGAGCCAGAAGCTGCCCCATAGTCTCTGTAATATCCAAACGACGCGCCGTGCAGTGCAGCGTTGAGCTGTCTTTTCGAGCGGCAAAGCACGCCATCGGTTCTGTCTGGGACAGGTATCACACGTCTTCGGTATTCTTTGAACCCTTCCTGAAGGCACAACAATTGCAGTGAATCAGGAGGTGCCTCATACACCACTCAGGGCTCACACCAGGTGCTGATTACATGGATTGGCCAGCTAGTTCCGGCTTAAACGGTAACAATCAGAAGTAGCAGAATACTTCTTGAAGAGCATCCGGTGCTTGAAACACATGGGAACTGCCGAGTGGCAAACCACAACGGAGAGCCCGCTCCTGCTTGATATTCACAACCCTTGAACTGTGGGATTGTGGCGACAGCTTAAAAATTGCCGCAGCTTCATACGTACCCACCTTTCTCTCGTACCATCCAATACTCAGTTGCTGTTCCCTTGCTTGAGGTCTGCGGCAAGGGCTCTTAGCACTCTGCGCAGTCGATTATCGTCTGTTCTGGTCTGCACTGAAATGAGCAAACTCCTCAAACAGCTGAGACCAGATCTGGCAGACCTGGGATCCTGTTCTTGTCGGGCCCCCGGGATTAGCTGCCGTAATGACATATCAATTCCTATTGCCAAGATCTTAGAGAAACACAGGATGCCCAGGTGAAATGGATGTGGACACATGCCCGGACGACCGGACCACGACAGGGGACACTGGCTTTTCAAGAGCCCCCAGACAAAAGATGTGGACAAAATCAGAATTGACCGGGTGTGTTTTTCCCCCGCCCCTGCTGTAGTGGATGCAGGAACCGGATGTTTGTACGCATACCTGGCATACTTGCGTAGGCCTGCAGGGTCGGAAGCAGTGTCCAGTAAAAAATGAAAACTGAGCCCGGCCACGGACCACTTCGTGGTCTGGCCGCGGGAAGAACAACTCTGGCTGCCGGACGGCACTGTGGGGCGAGGCAATGATTACTTTAGCGAGCTTCGACCATAGTTTGTGCCCATGTACGTGGCATGACCACTGTCTCAGCACGAGGTTGCATGTGGGCATGCCCGCCGAACGTGGAAGATCGCAGCACTGAGACAGGGAGACGGGCCCAAACCAAGTTCCCATGGAGCCCCCTCAACTAGTGTCTAGCCTTAACTAGTTTTCGCGAGGAATCAGCAAATCTGGTTTGGCCGTTCTCCGGGCTTGGCATACTGATACATGTGCACCATGGTCATGTAACGAACATGCCACGGATGCACTCCGAGCCGCAATCAAGCAGCTCGGTGAACTCAGTGACCAATTATCCTCGGACTTCGTTGCGCTTGGAGCCACGCCGAGAAGACGGGCTTCCGGTGGGTCGCTCTGCTCGATCTGCTCGCTCCTGCTTTTCGGCGTTGCCAGGGCACTCAGGGTTGCAGTTTCGGAAATCTCACTTCTGGATTTAAGTCTTCCTATGGTATTGGGGGCTTCTTCGCCGGCCTTGGGAGCATCAGCCTGGGATCCTGGCTCGCTTGCAGAGCCCAATCGAGCGCTGAAGTCATTGATCTGCGCTACCAAGCCCAGCTGCAGGTCTTTCACCTCCTGCATCGCGTCGCCCACAATCTGGGCCTGTTTCTTTGCCAACCTTTCCTCGATGTCTGCCAACTCAGACTTCACTGCTCCCATCCCATTCGCCTCCAGACGGGCAGCACTGTCCTCCAAACGAGCAACCATGGATTCCATCGTGCCGTTGCCATCCGGCTCGTTGCCTTCTGGCGGTGTCTGACCTCATTCTCGGATATCCGACAGCTAAATTGCGAAGCTATTTAAGTATAGTATAAGCCAAGCCTTTCAGGAGCAACAGTACATAATATAAACATGATTGTAAGCCAGGACTGTTTGAATACATCCAGTCCTTCGTCTGGCTTGTGAATTTGGAAAAGCCCAAGATGCACTTCCCCCCACCCCCCGGCACGCATACGAAAACACGGCACCCAAAATGCAACACGATGCAAACTGATTTCGGCCGCACACAGTCTTGGCACTTGGGGCCAAATGGGGCAAGAAGCAAGTCCAAAAAGCAGAAGCATGCTTCATAATCCATGAGCCTTTTGCGAAATTATATACAGCGTTGTCAAACAGAATAGCCGGCATTGACTCGTATTGAGAGCGCAACTGTTGACGGAAATCTGCGCTTCTGCAAGTCTGCTTCACTCACAAATCATAATTTCCCACAAAAGCATTGTTTGCCTCTTTGTTTCTTGGTTGCCTGGTTCTTTCCCCATATTATCTGTTTAAGTACCGCAGGACGTTACTAACATGATGGATGGTATATCGGCCACTCTGTGCAACGACTGCCTGCGGGCTTATACAGGTTAAAAGAATCACGCTGCACACCTGTGCTTGCGACATCTGTGGCCCAGGCCCTTGCCCAAGTGCTCCGTGAGAATGTTTCGAACCTCACTTGCCGTAACGTTGTCCAAATTGCGAAGAGTGTCCAGGTTGTCGGCAAAGTTTTGGACCCTGTCGTTGGAGCTGGTAAGGAGGTCCAGCATCATGAGGTTTTGACGACGGACATCTGTCATTCGCTCATCAAGGACGGCGGCAGAGCGCTCGGCCGCGACCACTGCGGTGTTGCTTTGGTCATTCAAGGCATCCATCTGCTCCTTCAAGCTCGCCAGGACGGACTCTGAGCTCACGGTGTAGGAAGAAACAGCAGACTCTCCGAACTCAGCTAGTTTCTTATCCAAAGACTTCTCCATCTCGACCAAGTTCCTCACCATCGAGTCATTGCCACTCTCAAGCTTTGTCACCATGGTCTTTTGGGTAGATACGACGTTCTGAAGGACTGAGTTCGCTTCGGTGGTTTGGCGCAGCAAGTCTTGCTGTGTCCCCTCCAAGTTTTCCAGCAAGGCTTTGGAAGAAGAACCCACGGCTTCTGCGACAGTTGCGTTCATGGTAGTCTGGACTTCCCCGAGTTTGGCGTGGAGCGTGGTGCAGGACGTGTTGATCTGATCCAAGCCTCTTTGTTGAGCATCCAGCTTCTGAAGCACAACTTCTTGCGAAGAATCCAGCTTGTGCAGCAAGACCTGGCACGCATTCACCGTCTGCATGAGCGTCACCTGCCCAAAATCCATGCGCTGTGCCACACTCTCTTGGGTGGAATCCAGCGACTGGCTCATGTTGTCCTGAAGCGTCTGCAGCTTTGCCAGAACGGTCTCATGCAACGGCATTACTGCCCTTTGAACGGCAGATGCGATTTGTTCATTCAGGCCGGACAAGTCCGCTACGCTGCCAATGGGCGGAGTAGCAACACCATTTGTTTGCCCGGTCTTCGCACCCGACAGTCGCTCTTTGTTTGCCTCCAGGACTTTCATGAAGGGGTCCTCCTTCTCCACGACACCGCCCTGATCCTGCAGCAGTGTGCAGCAATGAAAGCATGCCATGAGTATGCCAGCGAACACGTGCTGATTCCATGAACTCCCGCATTTGGTTCAACTGCTACAAAGCCACTGTGGCTCTTACATCATATATGCTTTCGGGCCAAAGCTGGTCGACATGCAAGCCTGTGGGAGGTCTTCGGGAAGACCGCCCAGGGCTCCCAAGGCCTTTGATCCCGCACGACACGTGAGCTTAGGGCGTGTTTTTTGCACATGACAGCGTAGATAAGGATCACAGTGGAAGCCTTCCTTCGTATTGGTTCTGAAGTGCTGCAATTGTTTGATTGCCATATAGGCTCTTGCCTCTCTGGGCATGATGGTGAGACCGTTGGGCGGCTTCAAAAATGGCGGTTGACTGCGTACTCCTACATGTACTTGCCAATGTGGAACATCTGTTCCGAATCTGGCTGGTAACTTACTTGGCGTAAAGCGTCTTGTTGGGGTGCAAGGATAATATGTCCAGCCAGCTTCGCGTGTTTTTTTTCATTCAAAGTGCTGAAACGGGTTTTACCTTGATTTTTCCATCTGTTTCCGCGTTAGCTCTCCGAATGGCTCTTGCATTCGCATTTGTTCTCCAACCTTCTGCAAGCCTCGCAGCTGGAATGTGTTCACTTTTTTCTGCGGAACCATACACGTAAAAAGCGTTCAGCTTGAACCATAACTTGAGAGGTTGTTGCATTTTATGGTTGATAAAATGCATGATATCCATAGCCTGAGTTATGTCATGTACAAAATAAGTTGCCTCATTTACCCTTGTGATCGTGGGACATCCGCGAATTTAATGATATTGTTACCGTTCATTGCAATATAAGAGAATTTGTCTCTGTTCAATCTTAGCTCAAATTGGGCTGATACCTTCTATATTTCGTGCACAGAATATTGCATGCTTGCGTGCATGTACTTTTTGCATGTTATTATTACAACTGTGTCGTGGGCGCAATCGTCAAGTCCTTCCAAAGCGCATTTCGCGTTCTAGACGTGATATTCCTGCCAATACGAACGAACCATTAATGCTCATGACCAGAACAAACAAAAACGGAGAAAGAGGGCAGTCCCGTCTAATGCCAGAACTGTGAACTTTAGCCTAGGATATGACACATTCTACGTAGAAGCTTGAATTCTTGTGACATTGATAAAGTGATGATGTACGCCGCCAAAGCTATAGCCATTCTGTCCTGTTGAATCCAGTCAAATGCTTGCTCCCAATGAAGTAGTTGGATGATTAAGGCAGTCCCCATCCGCTCCGCGACGTCTTGAACATGTCTTGCAAAGAAAAATGCGTGAGAGGTGCTTCGAGAAGGCCAAAACTAAATTCTGTCTATCTATATCTATCTACTTATATATATATATATACATAATTATGGAGAGGGAGGGAGAGAGAGAGAGAGAGAGAGAGAGAGAGAGAGAGAGAGAGTTGCAGGTGGCATGGGGTCAAGCCGGTCAAGCAAACCATTCCGGATCAAGCATGTGTACCTGTTGTAGATAGAAATGCGAAGACAAGCCTATAGGTTGAAGGTAGATAGGTATCTCCTTTCTTGTACAATGGCACCATCTTCACGGATGTGCTTTGCAGACCACAGCCATTTAACTCTGTCTAGAATACGGGGGCGGTTTTGCTTATTCATCCAATTAAGCCACTCCATCCTTAGTTATTCGGCCGTCTGGTCCCGCTTGCTTGTTGTTCTTCGTCTCATTGCAGCTGCTCAATTGCTCATAACCGAAAGAAGCTGCATTGAATGCACCGTCTGCAGTAAGGCTTGAAGCTCTTCTTTTCTTTCGATGGTCGATGTGCTTGTGACATGCCAGTGCAATTCTTCCGAAAATTTGACAGTACAGTAGTCTCCACCCTGTCTTTCGGTGCGACAAATTTCCAATGCATGTCTTCTGTATGAAATGCTGCATTGGGCCGTTTGTCTGCGTTGCAGGGAGGTCCCGCCGCCAGAGCGCACTTGCAGCCGCGAAACCACGTGTGCCTCCCCTGGAGTGACACTTCACGGGTGAACGGCCGGGTGTAGACGCCTACACTGAACCTATACGGCACAAGACTCGAAGCATGAGGCCGGCTCTCTGGTTTGCTGGATGCTTCCCCGTTTTGCAACAACACAAGCAGTGTCCTAATCGTGGCTGTCTGTCTGTCTGTCTCTCGCTCTCCCTCCCTGTCTCCACTGCGAGTCTAATTGGCCATTCTGCGCATTCCCACGTCCTGTCCCATGTTCATCTTCTCGTTGCTCCAGCGGCGCTGGACGGCATCGACGAGTGCCCAAGGCAGGCACAGCTCCATACAGCGCTCCTGATTGAGACGTTCCAAGACCGCCGTGTTGGTGACCTGCGGTCTGAGCCGAATCTTGAACCGAGACTTGGTTCTGTGACTTGCGCCAAAGAGCACGCATTCCGTGTTCTTCGAAGGCTTCACATTAAATAAATTGCAACAATTGCAGCTGGGGGGCGCCGCTCTCGACGAGGAGCTTGATCAATCGTTCCGTGTGGTTGGCCAGTTGCAGCGTGACCATAGTGTCAGCCACGAGCTCGATCATCTTCTCCTCGCTCTCTGCATCCTCCCCCACACCGAGACCGTAGTCTGCAGGATCCATCATGCGTCGCCCCTTGCTGCTCGACTCTGCCAGCGCTTTCTGATCGAGTGCCTCTCCTGATACCGCATCTCCCGGTGCCATGCCGTAGAGCTCACGTGCAGCTTCCATTTTCTTCTGGTGGGACATCTTCATCCGCTGTCCGAGGATGATCATGGAGAACTTTGCGAGCAAGTTCAGTGCCACCCAACCCATTTCGATCGTCAGCTCACTGTCCACAAGGTTGAAGCCTTCCGGGCTCAGGATGAACCAGATCGGGAACGGGAACCAAGTGATGATCAACAGAAGCGTAAGCCTGCGGTAGTCGGAATCACCATGGAGGAGAGACTCCTCTCCCTCGCTGTTCTCGCCAATCTGCAGCGCATTGTGATAGAACATGATGAAGCAGAAGATCGAACCGAAGGTGAACCTTACTTGGCTTTCGGAGCCACATCACATCTCGCTTTCTCGCCAGCATCACTCAGGCTTGTGATGGCTTGTGACTTGTGGGAAAAAGATGTCTGGCTTGCTGGGTTAATTAGACGGCAATCAAGACAAATCTCAACTTGCCGCACAGGGGCCATACGTAGCGCAACGCTCCCTCCGTGAAGGTAGCAGCGACGCCACACAAGAGCACGGCGGCTGAGAGCAGGGGCATCATGAAACGGCGGTATGAAGGAACACGTGCACCTGCCAACACCACCAATTTCAGCTGCAGAATGGGGCAAGTAAGCACCCACTCCACGGGCCGGGCAAGCTGAAGGACAAAGCCTCCACTGTAGCCCGGGATGTCGAAGTCATCGATGCCCGTGAGCTGCATGATGTTGAAGAAGCCCGAGAAGAGCGCCACAGCAGTACTCAGCGTAGCGCATACAGCATGGCGCTGCTCCAATGGAGCCTTCTGGCCCACGGCTACCTTAGCGTTATTCGCGAAGATGAGCCAGATAGCCAAGATCAGGAAGAGGGTGCCCTGCGCAATCTGTGCGATGTTGTGAGCATCGCTCCAGTCAACCGAGTCACAGGTCTCGGTCTGCAGGCGTCGCACGCGATCCATGGAGTCCTGGATCATTGCCATCGCCTCCGAGAGACCTCAAGAGTTTGACCGTGAGTGCGACTGCTTCGATCTAACACAGTTGAACCTGAGGAGCCCACGGCCTTGCTCCATGTCCAGGGCATTTTGGACAGCCCGTGGGTCCATATGATCCATGGTGAGTGGCGATAGCTGGGTCGAGGCGGCGCAGGCACCAACGCGGGTAAGCTCAAACGGCTTCACAGGAATGGATCTTCAGATCTTCAGATCACAGAAGCTCACCCGACAAGCTTCAGCCTGTGTCTGAGGAAGGAAACGAGACTACTTGGAAACACCCTCGCCAGCTGGAGATAGCAACTGAACTTATGAGAAAACATGTAAGAAACATTCAGAAACTCAGCAGTGCGCTGAACGCAGCTCATTTCGGAATGCACATTGTGATGGTGCGAGGGAGGCCTTCTTCTCATGTTGTGTAACTCGCGCCCCACTCCGCTCGGTCGCAGACAAATGACATACATATGTATACATATGATTAGAATGATCTCATAATTTAATAACCTATGAAAACCCTTTGACTGCTTTGCGGGTGCTTTCTGCTAATATGCTAATTAGTTGTCTGACCCATCACGTGCGCCTTCGGTTCGACAACGGACTGTCCAGCAGCACGGAGCGACGGCACCTACATGACCACGATGGGCTGCTGTTCTCGAGGCGAGGAGAAATGTTGCGACTGTGCGGTCCTGCTCCTTCCTTGCCGTTGGCAACATGAAACAAAATGAGCTGCCCCCCCTCCGAGCATTCAATTGTAATGGTAGCTCTGACGACTAGAAGTAAGGCGAGCGCAGAGGCTGAGTTCTGTAGCCGAGTGGGCTCTGCACGCATGAAGCCCCACGACTCCTCCTCAGCAATTTCAACCCGAACAGTTGCATCTGTACACTGCACTATACTGGCACTTCTGTCGGGCACAAGACATCAAGGGGAGTGCCGAGCTGGCGACCCACTGAACAGCTGCCTTTCTTTCTGTCTGGATCACATGCTGCCAGAGGATATTGGCGGCATGCCCTGCTCAGCAGCAGCTGGCTTTCGACGACTACTCGAGGTGCACACTGAAAATAATGTGAATATGCAATGCCATCAACCCGACTGTACCCAACCCCTTCGTCTTGTAAGGCCCGTCTGGCCTACAGGTTGCGGCATGGCAAGGCGTCGGTGTCGGTCGGTGGCGGACAGGTGCACTTCGTGTGCAATGGTTCCGCTTGTGCTTTAGAGGTGTGCATTGCCCTTGTGTTACGTCGATGAAATGCGCATGCTCGAGGAAAAGTCTGTCCAACGTTCCAGCAGCTGCGGAAGCCACGCTACGAGCACATCTCGTGTCGCAATGCATGAGCAAGAGCTTCTTTATGAGGATCCGTCATGTTAAGGCCCTGGCTGCCAATAGCCTGCTGGTGCCATGACCTTGCCGAGACGCACCATAAGCCTGCTACAAGTGCAGATCAGATCGTAGTCTGAGACCAGAACTGCCAACCTCCTGCGGTGCAGGCTTCGACCCTTCGACTCTTATTCTTCCTGCCCTCAAAGCTGCAACAAGGCCATGTAAAACGGCGTCCTCCCAACGAGTGCACTTTTAATTGAGAGATGGCGACAGTTTCTGAAACCAACACTTCCCCGCACCGGTCCTGATTTCCAACGTGGCCTCGGGCCAAACAACCAACTCCACCGTCCTGAGGCTGCCATACCGTGGCGGGGACCGACCCTTGCTGTATATGTCGCAAGCTAAGTCTCGTCTCCAGAAGCACTCATAGTTTCGCAAAATCTACAAGATGAAAGGAGATATAAACATCGAAAACTGAGAAGATGCATCAGATCGATTCACGGACATCACTGCCCGAAAAGCTGAAGTGCCATACAGCGTGCCCAGAAACCTGCACATCGTAAGACCTCATTCCTGCCTCCAGCGCCCTCCCTCACATCTAAGTCACCGGCCGTAGAAACATTACGGACACTGGCGAGGACTTGTCGGGACACTCGACAGAGCCATTGCCCCTCAGATGCGGAAAACATAACCAAACTTGCCATGGCGTGCTTTCTCACTTTTGCACTGTCCTGCAAATTCTGGGGCAAGAGCCCCGAATAATCACGACACACCTCGATTTCGACAACACGCCCAGTGCTTGAGGTGACTGATTCAGCATGCTGTGCCCTGCACACCACCACCCACAGGGACCTCGGCTGCAGTAAGCGGGCCTAGTGGTCCTACTGTAGCGACTTCCCAAACTAGGGAGAAGCTCGGCTGCTCACACCCAGCTGCCCCTCAGAGGCGCCTGAGACGGCATGGCAGCGTCACTTAGTATATCTTACATGGACCAGTGGAGTCAAACCTGGCCTGCTGGTGCCATGAGGACATTGTCGCTGTACATGATGATCTGGCGAGGAACCATCCAACAAAGGGACGCGCGTGACTTCAACAGGCGCGTGGGTGCGCCTCCTGGTTCTCACGGTCCAGAACGAATCGGAGGTTGCGTGCCTGGAGCTGGCAAAACTGTGCAGAGCTTCAGGCACGGGATTTGAACCGCACTGCACGTGCCTGCCCAGGAAAGGCTGCTCCCGAAGGGCCGAGCCTGTTACTCGTCTCTTGGGATGGGCATCTGCCCAAAAGGGTGGATCGCGCACAATTACAGATCTTCAATCCCGCAGAATCCGCGTGCCGAGCCTCCTCCCCGCACAGCCCTGCCCCCCAATCTCCCACCCCTCGACCCTCTCCAGTTCACCCATCCACAGCCTTATGCCGAGACAAGGAGGGGTCCTTGAACACTTCAAAGCATAATTCCGGTCCGATGTATCGAGAAACAGCAACTTTTCCCAGAAACCCGTGGGTTATCCTTGGACGGGCGGTCACTGACGGGCCGTTTATGCACAACCACCACACCACAGCAAGCAGGTCGTTCCCCAAATGTAGACCGTGTTTTGCATGGCCGTGCTGTAGACGGGCCGTGTGGGGCTCTGCAAGTCCTGCTAGTACTGTGCTTGTATTCCTTTCGAGGTCGGTGTCAGTCTCCCTGCCTCAATGTGAACTCAAAAAAACACTTGATATAGCGTCAGATTAAAGTCCAATTCGACGATCGAGTTAGGAGAGGGCATCCACGGCAGCCTCACCGCAGGCTGATCAGCGCGTGCCCAGGGCCTGGTTCTGATGCCCAACTGCATTCACACTTCGAGTGCTCTCGATCATGATCATGAAAAGGATGGTGTGCGACCCAAGGGTTCAAGTTGCTGCGAAACTGGAGGCCGCGACGGCTGATCTCCAGTGCAGCCGGTTGTACCTGGAGCAGGCAGCTGAGAGCTGGATGTTGGAGGTCAGCGTGGCACAGCCAGTCCTGTCTTGCTTGTAATGTAAACCAGTCCCCATCTTTGCATTTCATGTTCAGGCGCACTCCATCGGCCGCCCTCTGCCTGAGTCCAGGCAAGATTTCAACACGCACAACACGGCGCAAGTTGACCGAACCCCTCCTTTCTGGACTGCACGCGACTACCACTGAGCCACAGGCACGGAAAATCTGGCGACAGCTGTCAAGCTCCAAAGCCTGGGCATCGGCAAGTTCACGCCGGCTCAAGGCACGGCGACAAGGCGATGGCAAGCACAGCAACACCCTGCAGACACAGAGGCAGAGCAAGAGAGTTCGACGGCGGATGGTGAAATTACACGTTTTGCTGTTTAGGTATCGTCGAGTAGGTTAGTAAACGCCCGCCGTGGAGTGCTTGTATGGCTTTCTCATGCTGTCTTCGTATACATGGCTGCACCGAGTGTTGAACCACGAGGAAGCGGACCGCAACCAATTGTCTCAAGTTGGGGCTGCATGCAACCGCAACATAGCAACAAAGTTTCAATCACTCTTGAAAGAACGAAGATGAAAAACATACTCAGCACCATCGAGAAAAAGCAAGTGCAAGCACGGAAGCGCAGGGGATACGTGTGTCGGCTCACTTTGTTTACTTGCTGTCGGCTGCAACTTTGCCCCGCAAAGCAACAACCTACTAAAAGTGTCGCCAAGCTGCCACGACTGCTGCTCCAACTCCAGCTGCGCCTGGAGGCAGATCTCCATCACCTGGCACATCAGAGCCACGTCAGAGAGCGGAGAGAGAGTGAGGGAGAGAGACAGGAGCTGTAAAGAAGGAGGATGTGGGGATCGACTGCTAGTCGTCCTGACATCTCGGAAATGACAATGAATAACTCATGCAAGGCTTTGCGACCGTGCGGCCTCCAGAGTGCAGCAGCTCGATGTGGATCTCCGTGGACATCTACAGGGAATGTTTCTTGCAAACGTGCAATCTGCCAAAAGATCACATACCAAGCCTGATTTCAAGTGTAGGGGTGATTCAGTGCGTGGCCTCGAGGTAATGAGAGATGTGCCATTTTCTGCCGGAAACACCAGCAGAGGCATGGCAGCTCCTGAGGCTCGTGTTTCACTTCATTGACATACATCATACATACAAACATATGCAAGTACTCATATGTGCATAGAATACATGTATATCATATTATGTATAAGCATGTGTGTGTAAGCACACCGACATACATACGTACATACCTACATACATGCATGCCTGCATACATACGTACATACAGAGACCGACCGACAGGCAAATGTGTATGTATGTGTACGTATGTATGCAGGTGTGTAATAGTACGTGCTTTTATGTGTGTATATATAGGTATATGTACATGTATGTGTACATGTATTTGTACATGTATTTGTACATGTATATGTATATGTATGGTTGTGCGCTGTGCGTTCCGCCCCTCTCCCCCCCCCTGCCCCAGAGGAATGCCCCTCCCCACCTCTGCCCCCAGCCGGCCTGAAACTTGAAGCCTCAACCCTGCAGCCAAAAGCGCCCAACCTTTTTCCACAACAGCGGGGGCGGGAAACTAAGCTCCGAAGCTGAAGGCCAAGCGGTTCCGGGAAGGGAGGGCAGGGGACGAGAAGGGGGAACGTCTGAGGCTGTAATACTGTCGACCGAGTGCCTGACAACCTTCGACCATAATGCGAGACCTAATTGACAACGGGCTTAGACTCGGGAGCTGCTGGTGTCAGCAAACTTCAGGTCGCGACACATTCCCTTGCTTGACTTCCCGTTTCTTCGCTCTCGCCCAACTGCCTTGGTAAAGCACATCAAACATGGATGACTGTGCCCCTCGCGGAGATGCATCTTCTTTCTCAGCTTATGACAGCTCGATTATTGCCGGACTGCGCAACCAGCGCCACACGTCCCCTGCCAGATGAAACTAAACGTTCTTGTGTTAAGCCAAATCCTGCCTTCCAGAAAAGCCTCGGTTCTGGTTGTCGTTGCCGCCCATTAACACCACCTGTTCGGTGAACAAATTTCACAGGAGACCTGATGAACCGGGGAAGATCCATCCGCCTGCTCGGATTCGGCCGTGACTTGCTGGATCGCAGCAGCATCAAAGCGGCCGTTCCTCGGTGTGGACTCTATCCTTCAACACACACCAAGGGCTTACTTTGCACATCTCCCAACTGTCCGATACACGCATGTTCCTACATCTTTCACAACCGGAAAGCAACCTCTGAGCCCTGAGCCATGGTGGTAGCTTTTCAGTCCGGCTCCAAACGCCTTCCAAGATGTTGGTCCTTGGTGGTGCTGAAACTGCTCGGGATAGCTGTCTGTGCCCTAAGGGTTCTCCAGCAGACTCGGGTTGCGGGCGGACTGGGTGTCCACTGCCAAACCTGACACCACGCACATTCTTTCCCACACCTTACCGATGTGCTTCATGGATGCGCTTCTGTGTTCCTCGAGTGTTGGTCGGTGTAAAGCACATTTCAGGAATCTGCTGCGGGAGCTCCGTCCCACGGCCTCCTGGATTGGGCCTTCGTTTCCCAGTCCGCCGAGCCTCGATCCCAAGAGCTCATCCACTCTGAGCTCATCGTGAGGAAGACAAAACCGCTGAGCTCAGAGCATCAGCACAGCACCGTCCGAGAGGCCTCAAGCGCTGAACTAGCAGCCAATGCTTCGTGATCAATCCTTCTGCCGGCACTTGAAGAGTCTCAAGCTGCTACAAGCTCTGACCAGTCTTACCCCAACATGCTACTGTATCACCCAACGGCCACTTCACTACCGGAGACCGGCAGCACGTCGCCAGAGCAGCTCGGGAGACTAGCACAGAAACAGAAATCGATCCAGCAGAGTCTTCTGGGCCCTCGGCCCACAGAAGCTTGCCTCGACCTGGGTGTCCAGGGAGGATCTCCCATCGGATCCCACCTCGGCTTCTCGCCGTGTGCAGTGCACATGTGCCGTCTGTGAGGGACATCATCTAGCAAGGCATCGTGCTGCATCTACCAGATCTTTGTTGAATGACATTTCTGGTGTTCGGCGCCCACATTCGGACAAGTGAAGCGAGGCTATTGGTGCGGAGTCGGTTGAGCTGAAACACTCCGACTCCAAGACCGTTCGGCTGTTCTTTGCATAATTTTCATTTGCGACCTCGAACACTTGTGGATGGAGTTGCTGCAGACGAGCCTGTTTCGGAGTCCAGCTACGGGGCAGATCTACAAGGGCCGTTTGCCCAGGAGTCTCGAGGCTCCATTTGTGAAACATACATGTGATTGACTGATTCTGCGTATCGGGGCAATGGTGCCAAATGCAACGCACTTTCTTGGCCGATCATGCTCTGCACGGTCACTCTCACCCGTGGCTCAGTGACACGTGCACCTGTCACAGAATCCCACCAGCAGCTATGGCGCATGGCGTGTTTCGAAAGTGCGAATGAACCGGCGGTTTGGGTTTACCATCGCCAGATCAAGAGAAGGCAGGAAGCTATCTGTTGACTGTCGGCAAGAATGCGACAACATTGCTGCCTGCACGAACCCAAAAACAATGATGGCGGCTGCAGCTAAGCTCGCCCGTAACTCCTACACACCTCGTGATGTCGGTTGCCCTGCAACTACGAATCGATGTCAGTAGGCAAACTCTGCGCAGCCACCCGCGTGTGACTGGGAAAACAACGGATGTCCATCCAAGATGATCCGACCCCTTGGAAGCCAAAAAGCAATGAGATGTCCGCTTTCCTAAACCCCGGAAACCCCCGAAACGATTCCGTCAGGGATCCTGGACGTCGATACATCCGAGCTATGGATCAGACGTAGCTGTAAACTGTAGAACTTGAAGAGGCGCAGCAGGTTTGGATTGCGCAGCCTCCTATGCGCCTCTGTGCCGCAGTCTTGCTATAAGAGCCTTCAGAAGTAAAGTAGGATACTGTAGGCTTTGGGGGGGGGGGGGCCTTACAGGGTTGATTGGCGCAAGACTGCCGCGATGCTGCTGGCAAAACACAACAGGACGGCGCGGACTAGAGATTCGAATCAAGTTCGCAAGCCGAAATCACCTACACGGCAACGTCGGCGGCCGCCTCAGCAGGCTTCTCGCCCATCTCTGCGGCCATCTCGGCGGCACGCTCCTCGCGCTGCTCCTTGGAGACGACCTTATAGCAACCGCCCATCCACCACCAAGCAATGAAGCCGGCGACGACGCCGATGGCCAGCAACGTGACGACGATGCCCCCGGCAATGCTGGCTCCGTAGAGCAGCGAGATGGCCAGAACGACACCTGGCACGGCGACGAACATTACCAAGATGTAAATGAGCGGCACCATTCGCCAGTAGGAGGCATAGAATCCCAGCAAGCAGGCAGCCTTGATGGGAATTCGTCGCATGAAAGGCACCGGAAACCAGATCCTGCGCTGTTTCTACAAGTGCCTTAAAGGGTGCTACGCTTAAGGGCTTAGGGTGTTCTTCGGTTTCTGTGCGATGTCAGAATGCGATTTGAAAGGATGCGTCACATAGGAATTCTCACAGGATTCTACTGTATCGTCTCTCTGTGTCTAAGGTTGCTCATGTACTTAGAATATTGTATCCGCATCCTTGTCGGTCTTACGGAACTTATGAAAAAATACACCCTAAACCCTAAAGCCCTCTACGCAATGCACAGCATGAAAAGCTTCTTTAAAGTCGAACCCAGGAGCAAGATGCCGATGATGTTGAAGAACAAATGCCTCGCGATCGTCCGGTTCAGTGGGACAGGGTCAAGTTCGATTGTGACAAGGCTGCACCAAAACCAACCCCCACCCTACCACAATTTGCAATGCTTACCAAAAGGCTGCAAACCTTTTAGAAGCCAACAACACTCCAAAAGAATGCAACCCCATTGACACCCGTTCAACGGCTTTTGAGTACCCCTACAAACAAGGGCAAGATGCACGAAGGCGATCTGCAGGCTGTCAGGCTTCATCCTCGGCTTTAGGCATTTAGAGTCTGCACCAAGGAGTAGAAGCTGGGATACTGTAGGGGTTGCTGTACATCTCCGTCATAAACACCTTAAGAACCCTTCAACCCTTTTTGCACAGACTTGTACATGCCCGCCTGGATCTCAGAGCTGCTGCACAAGTGGCGGAAACCCTAAAGCCCTAAAGCCCTGAACTCCGGTAAGAACCCACACAACCCCGTCTTCTAGTCCCGACCGTGCCTTTAAAGGTCCTCTGATTAAGCCCAGCAGCACTGCGAGGGCTGCCAACATAGATGTGAACGTGGTGCCTAGCGAGGAAAACGAACGGTTTAAGCACTCACACTCCGACATGCCGTCCGTTTGAGGGTTTTGTGTTTGGGGGTTAGGGTTCTTTTGCCACCCACCCAGCTGAACAATGTCGCACCGCAAGGAACTCGTCAGAAATTACAACTAGCAAAAGGAGTCCATGGATTCCATGGATAATGCCGACAAGCCGGGGTTTAAAGGTCAGGGCTTCGGCGGTCAGACTCGCACAATGCAGGCGAGGCATATGATTCAAGGTCTGCGGAGCAAAACATCACTAGATGGTGGGGAAGAAGCCACAACAATCGGCCCAGACTGCAGACAATGTTACCCCTATGTTACAGGATCTTTCCCCCTTGAGCCCCCATTTTTTTTATCTAACTAGTTATGGGCCTCAAGAGCTACTAACTGCAGATCACATATGGGGGCCGAAAGTAGAGGTGACGGCCCTTACTGGGTAAAAGGATAACGAGCCGGGACTGGCTCGAGGTACAGCGTGTGATCTGGTGTTGCCAGAGTTTCGACACAGGGTTCAGGGTCAGGGTGTTTTTGCCTCCTGCGTAGCTGCAGGGTTTCGGCGCTCACACTCGGACGGACAGGCGAGGCATGAGGTTCGAGGTCGGAGTTGAGAGTTTCGGCGCTCACGCTGGGACAATCCAGGCGATGTGAAACTGCACTAGATGGGGAAGGGTTCACAGCACTTGGTCCCACTTTCAAGTAATATATCCCTACTGTCTACTCACTCTCGGACAAGCCTGGCAAGGTCTGCAGCGAGGCTGGTTCGACGAATCGGAAACAAGCTAACTTGATCGGTATCATCAAGCAAGCTGGGCTGTCAAGCACGACGCGGACGCGAGCAATACACAGGTGTCAACCATGCTCTGCCGTCGAGTTGGCAGCAGCCCCTCAAACAGGGAGGGTTTCAGTTCGTCACTCTAGGGGTTAGAGTACGGACTGATTATCTTACCTGTGCTGCTGTCAAAACTGTCTATAAGCCCACAGAGCCACTCAAAAATGCTTTTCCTCGACTGAACAGCCAAGTCAGATCTACGATACGGCTGTGTATGTCATAGTCATCTTGCTTTACTTGCCCGTAGCCAGTACGTGTCTTTCCAGCCTAGAAGTGTGTCCCTGATCATGGAACCTTGGACGTGTCACTAGATCCTGCCAAGCTACCGATGTTTGCCCCGAGAGTCATGGGAAGCATCTTGTGCACCGGGAGCACGCCGACACCGCAGAGTGGCGTCAGTGTGGAGGTGGTCCTTCGTCACTTCGTCTTTCGCTCAGACTCTCGCTGGCTGGCTTTACTTTCACGTGCTAACTTTCACCGCCAAGTCTCACCGAGCTGGACTGGACGATAAAGGTGATGCCAAGGCCAACAAGAATGGCGACGTAGTCGTTCATGTTCGTGGCGCGCATGATCACCTTCTTAGCGGTGCCCATGATCAGGGTCTGCAGGAGCTTGACAAGGCAGAACAAGAAGAAAGTGATGATGATCAGGGAGAAGATCAGGCCAACGATTCCACCAGCAACGTCCCCCATTCCGGAGAAGGCACCCTCGTCAAGGACAGTGCCGCCTTCGATGGACTCTGTGTAGAATTTGTCAGCCTCCAAGTAGCAGGTGTCCGAGCCACAGCCGTGATTCAAGAGCGGGAAGTAGGTGCTGCACTCTGACAATGCCTCGTAGGCCTCCTTGTTCACCTTCTTCCAGTTCTTGGTCATGGCCGACGACACACAGAAGTAGTTGCTGCAATCCATGGTGCTTGGGCAGCTGCCCGTCAGGCCCGTGGGCATCGCTTGGGCCGCTGGTGCGCCCAAAGAGAGAGCCTTTGTCACATCCTTGTTCGGGTCAACGAAGACGTCGGTGAGAGGGGACACGATGAACTTGGTTGGAGATGTGAACGTCACGTCTGTGACATCTCCCAAAACGCCCTCCGTGATGCCTTTCGAGATGTAGAACAAGATGCCACCCTCCCCTGTGATGGCCCCAAGGATGACCTCCTCTGGGAGCATCACAGCCACGCTCAGCATGTTGAACATGTCATGTACTGTCGCGCCAGAGAAAGCACGCTCGAGCTCCAGACGCTCGCCAGCATGTGCCATGGACACAATGGTGTTGGTGACGCTCGTGCCGATGTTTGCGCCCATGATAATGGGAATCGCATATTTCACGGACACCTGCCCGGCTCCGACCAGGCCAACCACGATCGAGGTGCTCGTGGAGGAGGACTGAACCAGGACGGTCGCCAGAATGCCCACCATTAAACCTGTCACAGGGTTGTCCACAATCGTGAAGAGGTCTCCTGCACCTTTGCCTCCGAGCACAAGGAAAGAGCTGCCCATCATGTCCAGTCCCATCAGGAACATATAGATTGAGACGAGGACGCCGATGATCCTGAGGGTCGTGTAGAGGATGAACTCAGCCTGGCTCTGAGGCTTTGCGGCGGCGTCGGCCATGGTGCAAGAGAGAAGCGAAGGAAGCGGGCGGCTTGTAGGTACTTGCTTGGTCCGAGAACTTGAGCCAAAATGGCTACAGTGTCGTCACATTCAAGCTCGTTCAAGATCGTGCACAGCTGCCCCGCAGGCTGCAGTGAAAGAAGGCCCTGAAGCACACCGCCCCGGGGGCAGCAGGGACTTCTCGGAATCAGGGCGACGAAAGATCGCAGCAAAGACACGGACGCAGTGAGTAAGTGATTCGCGAGCACTGCGAAGTTGAAATCGTTATCTTCCGCCGCCAAGGGAAGCGGGAAACTAGAAGGCTGAGCGGTCGAACAAACAAGATGGTATGAAACACGCCGCATTGAGGACCACACTTCCTACAAACAGTCAGAGAGGCGCGTTTTGGCGACTGAGCTACTACAGCAGCTTCTAGCTCATCAGATCACTGACACCCAGGACCCGTCTCTAACTCGCCAAGAGAGATTTGTAAACGAGAACTGTCACAACATGTTAAAGAGCTTTCGTAACGACCGGGCGCCAGCGCGAAATACGACTCTCTGAAGCTGAAAAAACTAAACGGTCTTTCCGCGCGTAGTTTACTGGAGTGGCTGTAGCGTTTTAGCTGGCAGGGAGCCTTCACAAATGAGAAACTTGGACTGGATCTGGTGATCAGGCTGTGATTTCCTGCTCAAGTTCGCTGACATGTGATGGACAGATCGAGCCATGCCGTCGGTTTCCGCGGAAAACAAGTCGTGCCTGCAAGACTATTCGCATACTTACTCGGACATGCGCGCTGAAAGGCGAAAGCTGATTGCAAAGCTATAGAGCTTGGCCGGAGCAACTTCAGGTGTGAACTTGGGCCAAGGCTGTGTAACACACTCACGGGTGTCGACTGTCACCTGGCACTGAAGCTCGACTAGGCTCTGCGGTCTTACACTTAGTAGATGTCAACATACCTTCAGAACGACCTGGATTCAAGTTTCAAAGCATTCAGCACGGGCTCGCATGCCAGGTGGCACTGGCCTACTTCGGTGCCTTTGCACCCCCAGTTAATGTCATTGCGGCGTGCCTCGCCAAAGTTGCAGTACATGATGTACGTGTTCCGAAAGATAGGGTTCCTGATATCATCGATTCACTGAGCTTCAACGTGGACCACTCTTCCAACACCCAGCTTCGCAACTTAGGGTCCAGCAGATTGCGGCATAGACGCACCTCTTGACCACCGCTGGCCTCGGTTGCGCTTCGAGCCTGCATCCGCTGGCAACAGTATGTGCTTGAAAGCATAAGTCCGCCGCAATGATGTTCAAAGGGGAAGCGCTGACCGAGTCTTCCCCCAGGCGCACCGTGATGGATTGAGAGGGCTGGCACCGCCTCATTTGCACAAGATCGTCGTCTACCCACACAGGGCCTCACAGCTCACGGGTTCGGCGCGTGCAAGATACTTTCGAGGGTTTGTTTCTGTCGTTTACAGTGATAGGCGGATAGCCAGCATGTCAATGCTTTATCAACTTGCGGCCTCGGCGAGCAGCCATCTGTGCTGATGTTCAGCGTTCCCTCATAGCAGGAGATCACGATCAAGCCTGGCCCGAAGAAGAGCAAGAAAGCAGCAACACAATGCATCTATGCCGAATCCAAAGGAGGTGCAAGTTCCTGCGGTTTCTACTGCACCGTTCCTGCTACCTGGTCACTCTTATCCACCGCTCCCCATCCTGCGATTGTGATCAACAATCTTTGTGTCTCGTCGCTGGTGATGTGCCTCGATCCGTCAGAAGCTAGCACCAGCAGTAGTAGCTACCAGCCAATGCTAGCCTCAGTACGGGGAGCCCTGGCATGATTTTGGGCGGGTGCCTTCGTATCCAAAGGTGACGATCGCGCAGTCACGCTCCTCGCTACCCAACCCGACATCAATCCGTGCCTTGGTTGTGCGACAGCTACATTGCTACACGATTGAGTCGCGTCGGCTCCTGCGACTCCAGGTGCAGGATAGTTCGACTTGGACCCACCAATGCAACGACATCGCCGACCTGGCTTGCAAAGCCCGTGTGCACATACACATGGAAACGGTGACGGTGCCTGTCCCCAACCCGTGGCCTGCACTTCCTCTGCCAACGTTGGTTCTTGGCTTGACACAGTCAGGCACGTCCAAAAGCTGCCATTCCAATTCAAGCACATGTAGGCGCTTCTGTGAGGCATCTTGGACAAGGCATTTGATGATGAGGGCAGCGCTGCAGGGCACGGGAGCACCGACAAGGCGCAGAACCAACCTGCAAATTGCACAAACATCTCCAAGGCCAAGGTTGCGTTCCAGGCGTCCCGGAGCTCCAACAGCACAAATTTGATGTGAGCCAGGCTCCATCTCCATGCTGAGGGCCCGACCACCAGATCACACAAGCCAACATAAACAAGTGCCCTTCGTCATCTACCTTCGTCCATTGCTAGAAGTAGTGAGTAGTGTGAACTCTCACATTAACCCTTGTCGCAGCTAGCTGGTTTGCACACAAGGGGACTGGCATACGCCTGCCTATCTACAAACACACTGGGAAAGTGATCCCCTTGATCGATCACCCTTATTTCTGGCCCCACTTGGCACGTCTGGCGACCTGCATTGCACCCTACGAAGATGGCAGCTGTTAGTATGTGGCTGTGTTTTGCCCATGTCACCTATCTTGCTTTCACATTGTCTTCAAAGGCTGGAGCCAGACAGTCATGCCACGGGCCCAACATTTAGTCTGCGCGTTCAGCTTCTTAGCTTGCTGCTGACATTGCTAAGCCTTCATCTGTCCGACTTCAACACTTTTGTAGTTGCAGTCTTGTAGATGCCGCTTGTTCATGTCATGGGGCAGGGTGCAGCCAAACGACAAGCAGAAGAAATCCTCCAGTCGATACACAGGTGGCAAGCCATCAAGAAGGAGACAGCTCACAACGGTGAGCAATGATGAGCAACTGCATGCTACAACCTGCCGACAGGTAGTTAGTTTGCACCTTGCGCACGGACTTTTCGGAACGAAACAACAATTGATCTCACAGTTGAAACCTCTTCATCTGCGTCGCTCGTTTCCCGAGACGGCAAACTTCTACTGTTCGCCTGCATGCCACTTGGTGGATGCGTCGCCAAAATTGTGCAGCGCGCCTGAGACGCGAATGACCACGCGGCACGACTGGGTCATGCACACTTTTCATGAAAGGCTTGAAAAAGGTCAAGAGTCAATCGGTGGCAAAACCCCACCTTCTGAGAATTCTACTGCCTCAGAGGACAGAGAACATTCAGCAGCTCAAAGGATAGCTCTGCCACAGGTTCGGGTTGAAAGACTGCCTCGATGTTGGCTCAGGACAAAGGCCCCGGAGGTACCCCGGGCCGAGCAAGAGCTCCAAGCAACAAATTGTGTAGACATTCATGATCCATATCATACTCAAGGTCACCGGCCATGACCTGAACACAGCACACAACATGGTCTGATGCTAATCCACTGGATGCCTTAATGCATGTGTTCGAACCTGTGTTTGCGCCCCTGCTTTCCTGATATGGCAGTGCATCAGCAGCTTCCTAAGGCCCGAAGCGGCTCCAATCATTCCAAAGCGTCCAGACTCCCTGTTCCATGTCCAGCCCCCAACAAACGCCCACCATGGTCAGGGAGCGACATGTCTTGAGTCACTTGAGGCCCGAGCCAACTTCTCAGATGCCAAAGGCGAAGCGCAGTGTGAACCTTGAGATCCTGGCCCCACCATCTCCGAACCTTGCCGGACACACCCGTCTCCACTCCACCAACGCTCACCGCACTGCTGATCGAGCGCCGTCGACCCTGAACAGGGGTATGAGAGCCCGTGCTGAGTTCACTCGCGATGGGGCTCACCTCCACTTCAGTGGTAGACTTGGGGGATGCATCGCGCATGCCGACTGGGCTGGGGGGTCCGCCGCCAGCCGTAGTAGGGCTGCTTGCTAATGCATTGGCTGGGACGGTGCTCTGGTACGGCGAATACTCGTCAAGCGATGCGAAATACTCAGCAGCTGCCATGGGTAGGGGGGCGAACGGTAAGATTTCCCAGTGGTGAAAGCAGTCCTCGAGCACTTCAAAGACCAGAATCACCACAACTGCTATCACAGTGTTGGTGGATCGGTAGAACCCGTGGCCAGTCACCAGCTGAACCAAACCCAGAACCACTGGAGCACTCATGCGGGGATACCCACAGCTGATCTTGGCAACATCATGAAGTCGACTGATGGCAGTCGGCGCAGTGCAACCAAGCACAGCTTGCGGTCGTAGTCCGAAACGTGTGATCGTCTTGGTCACCAGGAATCTACTCCAACCTTGCCGGTTCATCACGTTCCTCAGTTTTGCGAAGCTTCGGATGAAATGCCGGAAGGGGGCGACATTGCAACCTTTTTCCAGGCAGGCTGCAAGACTAGCGACAGTAGACCCGTGAAGATCCAAAAGTAGCTGCTGCCGTCATAGACCGTCGAAGCCAGCACCGACACCAACCTGCACAAGTCTTTGCAGGATCTCGGCTACACGACGCCACAAATATCGCACTCACGACTCTGGTCCATGGCCGGCTGCGCATGCATGTCCGTTATGGGGAGGGTTGGCAGAGTACAGATCCCAAGTGAGTGTTACCAGACCGGGGACCCATGATGAACTTCGAGTACACAGCCCTCCTTGAGCTTCATGTGAAGAACTTCCTGACTCCGTATAGTCAATTTGACACGTTGAATGTATGCTGTTTAATATCGGTGCGTTGCCGTACTGCCTTACTACGGTTTTTGTGGTACGTATTGTGTGGTACCGTGGGCTGACGGCGCAGAGCGGTACGGTACGTTCCCTCCACCCCGCCACCCGTCCAACTCAAAAGCCAGCACCCGCTGACATCACATACATTTCCGAGCTCGAGTGTGTTTTCATGTCTGTTCTCGTTTCATAACTGTCTCTGATCGCGGGCGGCCAAAGCTCGCCCACAGCTGCAGCTGCTGATGCTGCTCCGACTCCCCTGCATGTGATTCTGCGTCGATGCCGGCAACAGCCCGTCTGCGGTCAACGCAGCTATGCGATTCGGAGCTCAGTGCCTCCTGACAAACCATGACATCTGCAAGTCGTGTGCGCAGACACGCCAGGGTGTTGAGGTTCGCGATTCGTTGCGCAGACACTCTCTGCCACTCTTCTCACCGTCTGAGCGGAGTGTCGATTTAGGGGGGCGGTGAAGCCATAAATTTAAAACAGTGCGGCAAGCCTGCAAGTCTCCGTGAACGCGTGGATCGCGACAGGGACCACAGGTAACGTGCTCTTTGCCTGATCGCCCCAGACCGGGTTGTCCTGCCACTGCTTCTTGCAACAAGGTCATGTATGCAGACAACTGACATGTGTATCACCTGAACGTTGGAAGTATTGCGACCTTTTCAAGCTCGGCTCCGATGCACGAATTTTGAAGACGCGGTGATTGTACAGCGCAGTCGCAGAGGCAATCGTTCCAAGCTCCAGGGTCGCCGTCGACAGCGGCAGGAAAAAAGCACTTGCAACCTTAGATACCTGGTCGATCTGAACGTGGAGAACGGCGATCCCGTAGAGCACAACCCAGGCACCAAAGGTCAAGCACAACCACGGGATCCCCCATGCGAGCTGGTAGAATGCACCTCACCACAAAAGATCAGGGAGGCGGGAGCTAGGTGTTTAGGACTTTAGTTGAAGAGCGCGTGGCTGGGTCCGCCGCACAATCTTCTAGCATGATCTTGTGGCTTGCATGACCTTGTGCATACACGTCCCCTCAAAGCACCTCGCAAACCACGCTGCCAGACACAGGTGCCCACGTTGGCGCCGGAGAGCAAAATCGTTGAGACGACGCAGTAACTGAAAGTGGAGAAGGTGCCAGGTGCCTCAACTGAAAAGATCTGGAACACACAAACAGCCTAGCAATCTTTGGCAGCCTGGTCAGGATATGTCAGGATGTGCAAACTCTCTGGCTGAATCCAATTACGTTTTGGGCCATGGTGCCAAGAAGATGGCGCAACACGGCAGGACAGTCGAAACGACACCTCTGCAAAGTAACAAAGTGGTGAACTTCGCTACACATGCATGCAAAGTGCTGGACAAGACCCTTCGGAGGCTCAACTTGCAGACCAAAGACTGACAGAGTCACGAATAAGTACATACACTGACATACACACCTAGCATTACCTTCCCTGCTTGCCTGCCTGCCTGCTTGTTTGTGCATGTATGTCTTGGCCCGTGTTGGCTGTAAGCTGTATATGTACATGTATGTATGCGTCATTATGTATAGTAGCGGAGTGTAGGCCTGTGCTTTCGAGAAAACGTACGTGCTTCGGGCCTTAGGCTAGGCATAAAAACATCCACAAGCTTGAACACAGAGGTGACATCCACGCTCGTAAGGTTCTTAGCAAACAATAGCAAACAAATCGCCGAAGACGCTGATTCAAGGACTCGCCGTCGAAGCGCATGCTCTCAGGCTGGTGATCTGTGTGAGGATAAGAGTCATGACAAATTACAAGTACAACTACATAGAACCGTCCGAAAGGTCAGAGAGAAATCTATTTCGCTTCTCGCAACATCGCCTGTAATCCTGGTGAAGCCAGTGTTGCGGTCTCTCTCCGTTTCTTTCTCTTGTTCGCTCACATTCTCTTGAGGTGCTTCTTGTGTTTCTTGCGACGTACAGGAACACATGAAAGATGTGTGTCGTGGGACTTGCTGTTGAAGCTGGCAGCATAAACGCAGAAGCAGGAAAAGGTCTGCTAGCTGTCGCGGTTCACACCGTTCAAACAGCAAAATCGTAGATCGAGCCGCCGGACGTGAGTCGGCGAGCAAGGGCAATGAGCGTGGAAGCGGTCCACGGCTAAGTCTTTGTCCGACGTGAAAGATTTCAGCACGCCGCATGGCACAGTTGACGTTGTTGCGTGTGCCATAATTCTTAACAACTCGTCCTTCGCCCGACGGCCGGGACACCGACCCAATTTGACAGAAGACCGGGACACCCGCTGGACGGGCTTTGGGGCACTTTCCCAAATCGAGGTCGACAGTGATGGATCCCAAACCTGCGTGACCATTCCGGAACTATATGGTACCTGGTACTACTCATCCTCTACTTTCCTCTGCTTCTGTAATCAAATGCATGGGGTCATGAATGCGGTTTCTGCTATCTCGTGGCCTGTCGTGCGTTGCTTTCTGCTGAGCGTGTGCGCATTTATTTGTTTACTTTCTTATTCATTTATTTGTATACGTAGACATGTGTTTGTATGTGTACATATGTATATGTATATCTACATGCCTAGGTCTGTGTCTATGCATGTGTGTATGCGCATGCGCTGCATAGGTGTATGTATGATGCTATGCATGTATGTATGTCAGGCTTGCCGTTGACGTGCAGCCCTGGTATTGCAGAAGCTGTAACAGGTTCTTTGCCTCTCGGGCCGGATCGGAGTACCGTCGGTACCTTGTTGGAACTGTGTGCCTGGGCTGCAGCAAGCAGTACTGGACAATATCTTTGGCTGCTCGTTTGAGTTCCTCCAAGGGCTGTGTTGCATTACAGATCCTTGGGACAAACACACCGCGACAGTGTTGATCACGGCCCTCAGCGACACCAGTTGGTTGGCGGTTGAGGACGAAGGTACTGCAAAAGGCAGCGAGTCCAGATGCGGTACTTTTCGTGATCTTGACAAGATCCTCTCTGAAGTTGATTGGGAGGGCATTGTCTGATTGAGAATGCAGTGCGTGACCCCGTCTGTGTCGCTGGGAATCTTGTCCGTTAGGAGGCAACTGGTAGTGGCGACTTTGATGTCTCCTCCCGGTTGCAGTAGTCTTGGTTAAAATCACCAGACTATGGAAGCACGTCCTTGAGACCTCCGGGTAGAGTCGAGTGATTCCGAGTGATTGTTTCTGGGAGGGCCCGTATACAAAGCGAGCTCTGCGGGCCAACGGGCAAGCTTGATTAGCCCAGCATACTCCTCTGCATGCGGGAAATGGGTACGTATGCAGGCATACATGTATGCATGTATGTATGCTCTTATATACACGCATGGAGAGACACGAATACGCATATGAATAAATCAGAGAAAAACAGGAAGTATGCCTCTGTGTAATTTATGTACGTATATATACATACACACACATACATACAGACAGACATACATACAATGACATACAACTCTACGACAGGGAAGCAGAGCAGAGCTTGGGGCAGAAAAGAACCCTCGGACTCAGACTGGTGACCGGAGCATTTCAACGCACGAGCCTATGGCGACGCTTGCACGCGCGGTGCCGCTCATGCAGCCAAGGCCAGTGCACCAAGCTTCAAGTAGCAGTCGCAAACAGCCGCCGTACACCATCAAATGATTGAGTGGCCGCCACCATGCCTCAGGATATGCCACAGTATTCAGTGAGCAGCCTACCTGACAGCTATCCCCAAACACAGAGACACTTCTTCCTCAGCTGGCTGTGTGGGCGACAACTTCCAGCCAATGTGCGGTGCCCAGGTCTTCTGCGTCATGCTCAAGCAAGACCATACCCAGAAGGAGCGGGAAGGACATGAAGCCAACAATCATCACCGATGCCAGAGCCCGGAATGGAGCCATGATGCCTTGGGAAAACGGCAGGTGCGCTTGACTTTTGCAGACTTTCGCAGCAGCACCGGTGCAGCCAGGGTACCAAAGGATCGCTTCTCATAGGAGACAGGGCTCAAGACATGTCTGCTCTCCGCCTGTGGGTCCACCATCACCTCCCCCAGCATGTGGAACTGATCCCCAGCCTCTCGGACGCCAGGCACTTCATTTCGCATCAAACAAGACAAACAAGATAGAGGGAGCAAGGGTTAAGAGTCTACAGCAGAGATTACAAGGATCCAGCTCCTGCCAAGCAGAATCGAGAGCTGACGGCTCACAGGGATTAAGCTACTGTTCGATGATACGCTTCCCGTCTCTTGCCTTGTTCGTTTCTAGACCTGCTCTGTCCAGCTCTTGCCTAGTGGCCTAGTGCTCGCCGGAATCACCGTTTGAGTGTGCGTGGCTTGCTCGTGGCTGCGGGCATTAGGAAGACAGATCAAAGGTCGGAATTTCAGACTGCCACCTTGCTGCATATGACGATGCCGTTGCTGCAGATCCTGAGAGTCTCCTCCTCTGTCAAGGTGTGGATGCTTGGCCCGATCTGATACCAATGATGCGTGTGGCTCGCTAAGGGAGGATTCCACTCCAGTACTTCGCCAATGAAATCAGCAGACAGGCTGGAATCATCTGTGATGTAGACCTTCATCAGACGACCACCATTCTGGATCTGCATCTCGCCAACTACGGCCATGGCGTTGCTGTCCCTTCGGCCGATGAGGATCAAGAGGCCGTTGGAATCTGCATCCTGCTTCTCCATTGCTGCCCACTTGCCAAAGGATCAAATCTCGGCTGTCCTTTGTATCATCCAGCACTGTCCAGGTGCAAACATCGATCTGGGTTGGCTGTCGTGGTCTCGGCTTCTGCTGCTGGTGCTGCTACAGATCGGTCCTAGACTTCCTGTACTTGATGCCACGCTGCTTCAAAACCTAGAAATTGGGCCAGAAAGACGCGGAACAGCTTGACAGAACAGAGCATCGCACCTTCTCTTACCAGGACTGTACATACCCCGGCACCAAGAGGTAACACGGTGAAGAGGTATTCAGACACCCTGGCGCATCTTGCTGTCACGCCAGACGCTGTCACGCCTGTGGCAAGAGCACCCAACAGATCTGCCTGCAACAGGATCACACGATGCTTACGCTCCTGCTACATGAGATTGACATAGATGCCGAAGCATCCCTTGAAGCACAGCAAAGAATGATGCAACCCTAGTCGCATCTCCACTTTCACATATGCCTGACTAGCTTGAAGCACACTTTGGGATCACAGATGCTACGACAAAAAGGCTTCAGCTGCTCCGAAGTGCTGGACTATGCTGTTAGGCTTCCCTCGATCGTTCTGCAGTTGCCCAAGGGGGCGTGAAGAAAGCCTCTCCCTGCCCCGAAACTTATCGCCGAATGTATGTTCTTGGGTTCGGGCTTCGGACTTTTGACCGACAGGAGCCGTGGGTCCCTACATTCAGGGAAAGGCTTTAATTCAAAGCCCTTCCACGGCCGGCTGCCCCAGTCGCGACCAGAAACGCCAGGCAACCACACAAACAACACTTGAAGCTACTCATCTGCAGTCCTCCGCACAATGTTCTGCAGATTTACACCGACGTTCATGCATTCCCTTTCTTTGGTTGGTGCAACCGACGCCGTTTTGCACTGAATTTCTGCTGGATTGGTCAGAGCAATTTAAGGAGAAGGGCTCTCTCAATGAAGGCACAGGCTCAAAAACAGCCAAGTGCGCCTGACGACAACCCCACTGAAGATCCTCCAGCCCCTATCTTTGTCATGAAGTCGCTGGGCCGTGCAAGCCTTGAACACACTGCTGGGCTAGGCGGGGTGTCTCATTGCTTGTCCAACCCAGACTCCTGAACCAGTAACAGCCCGTGAGATCATCACACGGAGCCTTCAACGCTTGCCCAACTTCGGCTTTCAGTCGTCCCTGACCGACACACTTCTAGCCGGGCTTGGCTGCCATACTTGATAGATAGGCCATGTCATTTAGGATGCACGGTTTGGCCGATGCGAGCCTTCCTCTAACGGCCCGGGCAAGCATTGTGCCCAGACCTTCTCATCTTGACAGCATGCACCCTGAAGGATTGGCGCCACTGAAGACTCTGCTGATTGAACAATTTGACTAGCACTGTGCTTACTTAGACCAGCTATCAAAGGTTTACATGTGCTGTCAATTCCACATGCAACGATGACATGCCGGCCGAGTTCTTGAATGCGGTAATCCGCAAATCCAAATCCAGGGCCATCAGCAAGCAACACCTGAATGGCATCTGGGTGATCGATGGAAAATTCCAAGGCTTCCAGATCCTCGAAAGGAGGCTTCCTTAGCTCTTGCAAGCACTCTCTGCGTGCATCCTCATGCAGCCGAGACCGTGCAGCAAAATCAAAGCGCGCTCGCTGAAATAAACATTCGCGCGGAACTTCTCAAGACTCCCTTTGCATGAACAGACGGAGGCTCGCATGCCGCGGAGAAGCACAGCGAACGGCACAAGCAAAACATGCAAACCGCACCAGCCTGACGGCAGTAAACCCGACAAACATGGAAACTCTCAAGCACAGCAGTCGCGCAAACAACAAAGATCTAAATTCAGCTGTTTTGCTGCATGTTCCGGCTTTCTTTCGCATGACGATGTCCCTCGATGCTCAAGCTTCTCGCAGGTTTCCCCGTCTGCCTGACAGCCCGTCTATGTCCCGACTTTAGGTAGGTCATCTCGCCTTTAACTTGAGCGTTGAGGTGACCTGAAGTCTTGAAGTTACCTTTAACCAACCAGCGGTTCCTCGCTAATCGAATCCCGTGTGCCATTCCAATTGACCGTGAGTCTATGATCCAAAATTGTTCCAAGTTACTCGAGCCGATAGCCTCATCTTGATGGGGCTGGCACAACCACCTTGCCCGAATCCTGTGCCACAACGCCACGTGCAGCATGCCAGAAACGATCTGGCGACTGTGCGATTCGACATGAATCGAATCTGTCTGGCTGACACATGTGTAGTCCGGCATTCCGATCAACGACCTGCACTCCAGTCTAGAACTACCGCTGGTGCCTAGGAAGAAGGTGTGGTGACGTGGTGTCCAAGGGGTGGCTTTGATCCTACATACAAGAAAGCCTTGAGTATCCGAATCACTTGAGTAAGTTTTGCACACTGTGTTCAAGCAGCACGAGAACGAGCATGGCGCCACACCAAAGAACCAAAATCGAAAGCTTGCGCAAGCCATCCTTCCTTCAGATCGCTCCGTAGATTGAACGTTTCAATGTCTGTTGGCATCTGAACTAAGCAAGATCGTAATGTGCACAGAACTGCGGCAGGGTCCTGGTCGACCAACGCGCCGGAGGGCTGTCAGGGCACGGGTAACATGTGCAAGTGAGAAGCAAGAAGTATCTCTTGGAAGATGCACTGAAGTGTAGCTGTTTCAACTTAGACAGCTGCTCCCGGAACATCTTGACCGCCCCCAGCCCTTACCAAGCATTGCAGCCGGGGCACTGCACGCACGAGAATTCCAGACCCCTGGCACAGGAGGAACAATATCAACAAGTATATGTACAATGCCACCCCCTCGCTGCGGAAAGCAGATGCAAAGATGCACCCCGGGACATCACTGAGGTCCCCACCACTCGTCCAGCGGACCCCTCCTGCGACTTGGTTGGGAACTTGGACTGGCAAGTGTAACCAAAGGAAAGAGGCAAAGGCACAGAGACACAAACAGCGCAGGCGACATCCTGCATTTGTGAACTTAGGCATGTCGACATCTGTACTGCAATCTACGCTCTCCCGTACTGGTACCTGAGGATGCATATTTGGCTGCTAAAGCATACGTACAAGCAAATGTCGATTGCCTGCCCACTCTCACTTTCGGAAAAGCGAGCAGCATGCATGCTTGCTGCCTCCGGAGTCTACTCTTTGTAACGTCACCTGAACCTGTTAGAGTCCCCTTGCTTTAAGCGTCCCTTATAACAAAAGTACGCAGTATCAGGGCGGCTCAGGCTTTGGCGCTGGTTTCTCCTTCTCCCCGTTTGCTAATGGCTCAGCTCGTAGGGCCCGGGCCGTTTGTTTGAGTTAGGGCGTAAGGCAGCTGTGGGGTGTCAGGTCGTTTGCTGACCGTTTGCAGCGGCACTCAACCTCAGGCTTGTGGCTGTTCCACGGTGCGTGGCAATCTATCCAGCCTGCTCTACCGCCGCTCCCGGTTCAGCCTACAGTGCTCTCCCAGACAAGTGCAAAGTAGAAGGGGGCAGCATTGCTAGCAACAAGTATGGATACAGGCCTGGCCGTTGGAGGGCTCCCTTTCTGAACCAAGGCTTACATCCTGCACCAACCCGAGCGACTACGTTTGAAAGATTGCAGGGTTTTCAGTGCGCAACACTGACAACTTTTCTTTCGTCGGATGCGCATACATTCCCACACTCCACAGAAGCTGCAGGTCTCCCCCCCGAGTATGGAAGTGAAGCGACGGCAGACTAGTGCTTATTTGAAGGAGCGGCCTTTCGGAGCGTAGGCTGCATTGGCGTGACCTCGCCCGTCCTGGCCAGCGACCAACTGCCAAAGCATGTAGCGCCCAGAGCAAAGGGCAATGAATCAGGCGCATGGCTTTGGTGCGATACCGTCGAATGTAAGATCTCGCGCATCACCACAAAGTGGCTCGGCACAGTCTATTCTCCGGTTTCACACAGTAGTACGTCTAGTACCCGATAAAAATTAGATAATAATGGTATGTATGCTGTACGTCTTCAGCTTTCAAGAAGCTCCCTACGTTGCAGCTACAGCAGCTCATTACTGTACAGTTAGATGAATTCGCAATTTTGCGTCCAGCCTGTAGAAGCCTCTGCTGGGAACTGAGTTCGCACTAACATTGGAACCTATGAAAACCTTGGCAACGACATATCCAAATAATACGACGACGTCAAGACCACGACTACTAGGCACGGACGGCTTGTCAAAGCGAGGACCTGCAACGTGCACACAGGGTGCTGCAAGAATGCTGTCCTTGATGGTGTCCTGGTTGGGCTTGTGGGATGGACTTCATCATAGCCTGTTGTGCAGCTTTTGACATGGAAACTGAAAAGGCCATGACTGCCGTTCGCAAATAGGGGAGATACAAAGCAGACATGATCAATGCCAGTGCTGAATGCTCAGCTTCCCAGCTTCAACCCTTCTCTCTCCCCAGCCAAATCCAAAACGTCGCCAGCGTTGCCGATGGGTCTCGTGCCACCCTGCGCCTGGCACAGGTTAGTGACAAGAGTTTTCCACGTGCGCTACTGTGAAGATAGCCGTGTCACATGCAACAAACTCACCACCGGAACTGCAGCCCGGGCCAATTCTACTCCTGGAAAGCCCGCAGTCTGACATGCTGACTGCCAAAGTGCTTCAGTCTTGCTCCGCCACAAGAAGCGCAAGGCAGCTAGCGGCTAGAGATTACCATATAGGCATCTGCCAAATCTTGGGGCTGTGCGCAGTCGTGTGACTCTACCTGCTACCTGTCTGGTAATTTTCGTCTGGTTTTATTGCCCATTCTAACTTGTGTCACACTCCGAACAATGCTGGTTCAACTGCTCCGGCATCATGGTCCAAACTTCTCGAAGCCAACCCTAATCCAGAGCGTCGGTGTCAACGAATCCAGGGTTATGGGCCTTCATGCAAGCATTACCTGAGCATCCCCCGTCTCACCATGGACGAAGTACGTCCACCACTCGCAAAGTAGGCACGGCACCATGTCTTATGTAGCAAAGGACTGCCGGGAACTGAAGTAGGTGATCACACGACCTACTCGGAATTGGTTGCCTAGCTGCTGCACCCAAACGTTAAAGTCAAAACTGGCAAAGCACAAAAGCCTAACGAACCCTCGAGGAGGGAGCGAGCATCCGATCGCCACGTAGGCTAGCCCAACCAAGTTAAACACAACGTTGTTCATGCATTAGTGGAGTGTGCATGAGCATGTGGCTCTCGCCTTGTTTGGGGTCCGCTTGTCCTCGTTGGCGCAGCAGAACCTCGTTTAGAGCTGCGCTCAACAAGTTACTCGTCGACCCAGTGCTGATGTTTGGTGATCAATTTGGCTTTCGGCACATTATATGGCACGCCAACCAAGCTTCTACCGCTCCATTTCCACTTAACACGTACGGGCAAGCTCCACGTGACAAGATGATGACATAATGTATTGGTGCTTCTCCAGGTTCGCGGCATCAGCCACAGCCGACGCCAGGACAAGCCTTGCAACCCCACAAGCAAGACCGAGGACAAAGTCAGGCTAGCAGCTATCTGAATGTGAATCTTCAGGCCTGGTGGTGCTGGCTCCACTTCCGGTTCAGCCACATTGCCACCCGCTTCGCTCTGAAGGAACACCTCCTTGGACACAAGACGAGGTGGTTGCAATGGCAATGGCTTGCATTAGGAGTGCTGCGGCAATGTGCAATCATGGTGAACGTGGCCGCTGGCACTATAGCACTTTACTACGATAGGGCTCGTCGAGTTTAGTTGCTCTGGCAGCAGGTGGAGGGAGGGGAGGGGGAGATGGGGAGAGAGCGAAAACGAGCGGCGGAAGGAGGAGAGAGAGAGAGGGAGAGAGAGAGAGAGAGAGAGAGAGAGAGAGAGGGAGAGAGAGAGGGAGAGAGAGAGAGAGAGAGAGAGAGAGGGAAGAGAGGGAGAGCGGGGAGGGATGAATCAGAGGATATCATATGTGTCTAAATGTGAGTGTAGGCATGTACGCATGCATGTATGTGTGTGTAGGTCGTTTGTCCGTCTACACATCGGACGTACCACGAACCCGCATGAATGAATGCATACATACCTCCCTGCACGCATCCTCGAATACATTTGCAGAGGCATAATCATACTTACACAATGCCTACACAAATATGCACTCAGAAGGATGTACTTGCACATGACAAACCTGCCTGTGAATGCATTATCGGAGGATTTCTTGTGACGCTAAGCACAGTCACGACTGCTCCAACATGCTAGCAAGCCAAGCCACTCGCCGCGAGACTGGACCTGAACTCAACCAAGGATGAAAAAGGTCACTCTACAATGTGGCCGGGCACTGAAAGTCAACTTAAGCGGGAACCGCGCGTGCAGCCGAGATTCTTGTAACCAGCCCGCCGGCACCCGATCGTGTCGCCTGCAGAATGACCATAGGGCAGCGGCACAACTCATAAAATGAATTGGATTCATGTCATCAATGTCATCACAGAGGAGATATCTTCGGTCGCAGCCGCTGCCAATCACCCTGACGACCACAACAATCGGAGCTCGTGAGCCCGAGAGGTGCCTTGTTTATAGGGAGCTGGAGCTTGCCGTCTGATTTCATGGGCGCCGTCAAGGCCTGGGCTCCAGGACTGACAGAGAAAGAGGTTGGAGAGCAGTCAGAAGAAAAAGTTCATCATTACTTACATGTTTCACACGTACATACATAAAACATGTGTATACTGCCTGTATACACACACACATAAACACACATACATTATATATATATATATATGCACACATACTGATTTCTTGAAAGTTTAAACAGCTGTGCATAGGCTTGAAACGGGATAAAACGAGGGACGCAGAGAGACAGATGAAAGCCGGGCAGACTGACAGACAGGCCGACTGATGTTGGATGATCTCAGTCAACACAGCCGATCACTCGATTCATCCTTCGTCCACTCTGCAGCTAGAAATGGATCTGTTCAGTCGGGTCAGTGATCTAGTAGAGCCTAGCACGCCCACTGGAGCCTGACTTCAGTCAGACATTCAGTCATCATTGCAATCGAGCAACCATCACAAGCAGTCAGCTGAATCAGTCGCTGAAAGAGGCAACAATCAGAAGCCCAAGCATGCGTGCACAATCAAACTTGGACTACTGGCTGTCAAAAACCACTGCATGCTCTCGCTAAAATATAATGCCCAGTTCATAGGTGTCGTTGGCATTGGGGACCTTTCAATTTAGAATCCCACAATACGACTGGAAGAAAAGCAATGTAGACTCCCCCGCAAGCTCCAGAAGGACGACTCATCCGTTTAAAATGGCATCATATCCCATGAATTTGCCTGTCGCTCGGAGTGTCAATCCAAACTCCTGCCCGCCGCAGTCGAGCATTCGGCAGTCGACAGTATCTGGGGTTTTCCGCATTCTTGATAAGTGTGAATTCGGTCGATGGCGTCCTTCTCAAGATTCCTCAAACATGCCCAGCGTGTTGTAACTGACGAAGAAAATGCCAAGGCACTAACTGACGACAAACCTTAACGAAAACCTCGAAACATCGGATAGAGCTATATGGCTATTATGGCTTTGTGTCGCGAGTCGCATGTTTGGGCAAAGCGAGAAATGAAGCCCTGAAGCTGACCTGAACATCTGCATTTTTGCCAACTACCTTCCTGCGCCATCACTCAGGTAGTTGTAGTGACGGCATGGGTCTAGAACGGCCGCAGCTTGACGGAAGAACGAAAATGACTTTGCCTGTGCATGAGCTTCTTGAAAATGAGGGTCAATTTCGTCACCTGCATGAGCAAGGGGGCTTCTTGGATTTCCCCTCCGAGTTATGTGACAATATGTGACGGTAACCAAACAAAGCCGCGAAAGAAAACAGAAAGAGCCAGTTGAGAGGAGGAGCTCTGGCAATGCTGAGGCCTAAAGGTTTGGTGTGAATACATTGCAGTGGTTCGACAAACACTCACGCCGTTGGCCTCTGGCTGTTTTGTTTTGAAGTAAGGCTTCCATCTCACAGAAGAGTGGTCTCAAAGCCGTGTGCCGCAATGTGCAGTTGACATCAACCCCTAGATCCTTGGCATGCTAAACAAGATGAGTGAGAACACCGTGGTACTGACTCTGCGTCACCGCTTGCGAAATCGCGAAGTTCCGACGTGACGTGGTGGCCCACACCCAAGACTGACCAGAAGAGATCGCAAGCTTGAAATCATCGGAGGCATCTCTGAAATCACACAAAGCGGGGTGCATGCATGCAAACAGTGCCTCGACTCGTCAATGGGTGATGCGAACACTGGCACCCCAAGCCACTTCCCCCACTTGCGGGCTTTGTTTAATTTTATGTGCCGTTTGTCCTGGACGATCAAGAGCCTATGAACGAAGAACCGGCGGAAGCAAAAGGAGCCAGGCCACACTTCTGCTCTCCTTCCACAGCTAAGCACGATGTCCACAAAACTGTGATTTGACGTGCTTCTTTGTCTGTCTGTCCGTCTGCCTCTGTCTCTGTCTGTTCCTGTCGGCCTGTAGTTAAAGCGCACAACTGCGTCTATGGAATATTTAAAAATTCATATACCCCGCAAATATCGAGTGGTCATAACATCAAAGTGGGGACCAGATATGTACACGCACATGCGAGCGTCCGCGTCCCTGCACGCGCTTGTCCAGGCGCAGGCTGCGCACTGCAAATTGCGCACACTCCATTCTCGATATTCTCGTCCAGGCGACTTGTCCGACGGCAGCCATGCGCTGGCGGCTGCAGTAGTAGTAGAGGACAACACCAAGCAGCGCCACAGCAGCAAGACTGGCCAGGATGGCAGTCCTCAGAGTCATGAGGCGACGCATCCAACTTCAAGACAGTGCTTGGACTGCCCTTGCATGGCGCTGCTTGGAGGCATCTTTTGCAGCATGCCCTGCAAGCTTCCCGTTCAGCGGTACACAGTGTGCTGCCACCAAGTCGCCAAGCGGTGCCGGGCTGCTCCCCTGTGAGGGCTTGGACCTCGGACGGAGAAACCGCTTGCTACAAGCGAGGACGGCGATCTCACCGACTCACCGGTCCTTTTCCCTCGCGAGTGGCAGAAGTCCACGCTGGCACCAGCACAGACGGTTGATGGGCTAGTGAGGGCCCGACAGCTCTGCTTTGATAAACATCCTTAGTTGCAGGCTTCGGTTGACGAGGGTGGCCTTGAGGCTGAAACAAGCCCGATGATTCCCGATGATCATGAAAAATTCTAAGTGCACCAAGGAGGACTGCACGTGCTGTCATGCTATATGCAAGCAGATGCAAGCAGGCAGCCAGGCGCCGGATGCTCCAGAAAGCTTCACCTGGCCGCAAGCTCTGCCTATTTCTTGTCTCATGCTGTTAACGGGCCCAGTGCCAGCAAAGTCGCTGAATGCGCTTGGCTTTGATCGAACGTACTCCGCGCAGGACATCTGAATTTCCGGACAACTTGAGTGGAATGTTCCACCGGCATAATCACCTTAATTTCTGCATGCTGACTGCATGTTGAGTGTCCGAGGGAAGCCCCACTCACTACCAGGCAGGTCACCGCAGAATGTAACGTCGAACACCTGGGATGGGTCCAAAGCTCGGAGCTGTTACAAGCCCAAGTCGGGCGCCGATACAAAGCGGCCGAATCACAAGAGAATGCAAGTTTGCTGTTGACAGCCAAGGGGCCATCCGCATGTTGTGGAAGTGTCCGGATGTACACCTAGACTCTGGATCAATGTGTGCTAGCCTCCAACTCGACAGATAGAGGACCGGGTGCGCGGCCATTTTTCGTTCAAAGTGAAGAATGAGTTGGGCATGCCGAAGGTGTCTGGGTTGGGGTTGTCACCAATCTCGGGCTCCTGCTCTGAAACTACAGCTCAAATGCCTCATCGGAGTGCTCTGGCCTACGGCGTAGGCTTTCTCCTGGCCCTTGGGAAAGAACCACGTGCGGAGGCGCTTGTTCACCTCGGAACTCTAATTCCGAATGGCGTGGTGGCCTTGAGCCGTACATCTTCGGTTGAACATCGTTTGTGTTCTCACGCTCCGAGACGCCACAGGATCCCATTCCGCAATGAATGTGCCACCTGTCGCAGTGAGTCTCGTGGCACAGACTATTGCAAAAAGTTCGGTGCGCTGCCAGTGCGCTGCTCATGCTGCATGGCCTCCTTGGACGTTGAACTTCGGACCGGCAGATCCATCCTGAAGCTTCTGTCCACATCCCTGGTTGTCATATTCTGCATTTGCATGGACCTCGGCTGACGACTTCGGAGCCACAGTTCAGCTACTTGACATGGAGATCTGACACAGAAACTTCCACAGCAATCTGCTGTTTGAGTCATCCCAACACCCACTGCCCCAGTTTGTGCGGAGGCTGGGGAGATGTTACGTAGCTTAATTGCAGCAAAAGTTAGTGAGACAGTCCTCATGCAACGGAGCGCAGTAAGGGCCAAAGCCTGCGCACACGCATACAAGCAGTATTTTTGCGGGCTCTACATGAAATTCATGCTGTCTAGTTCAGCTCACTACCTACACATATGTCGCGTAAGGATCTAACGGAGATATGGACAAACTTTGGAGAGGACACGCTCCAAACATGTACTGCCTGTGTATTTTGATGTCATGCTAAGGTGCCCGGGCCCTAAAGCTTGCCATTCGGATTGGGGCGTGCGTTGCCTGCATCCACTGCGACAGTGTTATGTAGCAGCCACAGGAGCATGCTTAGTGGCTTGCTGCCGCTTGTTGTCTCTTCAGGAGCAGCCCTTGCAAACCAGGTTCGCACATTGTCATAAGCAGGAGACCCAGCCCGAAGCCCAGCTCTGTTGCGCCGTGACATTTGCAGACGTGCAGCCCAGCAGTTCTTCGCCTTGTTGCTTTGGGTACCGACAGACCAACCCTGACCTTGAAAATCGATGCCTTCATTCACGGCTCGCCTCAGGCAGGCAAAAGCAAGCCGCCACGACCGATGCTTGAGCACAGAAGGTCAAGGAAGACAAGAATGGAAGCACGGATGCAGCATGAACGTTCTGGCCAAGGCAGCCACTGATCGCAGTTCTCACGCGTGTGCAGAGTTGTAGTTGCCTCAGATGGCTTAGTGTTCCCCCAGACCAGCACAGGGTGGTTCTGACAGCTGCGACTGTATACTATACACGCACCGGTCCATTCCGGGATGCAGCATTCTGGGTGTGGATTGCCTCCCATATGTCGAACTCGCCCCATCGAGGCCACACATGCTGCGCATCGTCCTTGAGACAAGGGCAGCATGTCTGGAACAGAGGACAGCCTAAAAACCCTAAAGCCTCCCGATCATGAGAATATTGAAAAAGCGGTTCTGCGAAGTGGCTCCGAACATCCAGAAGGCCGGCCATGCCCCACAGGCAGTCGGCACATGATCCATCTCCACCACGAAGAGCCCACCATTGTATCCTCGGTGGGTTACCGGAAGGGCCAGGACTGGGACTGCCTGCGAAGGCTCCCCTTCACTGCATGTCGGGGCGCTCGTCTTCGACTCAATCCTCAAAGCCTTCCGGCCCTCGCCATCTGGCACCACGGTCGTGTTATCGCTGCGAATGAGGACACGCGACTCGGCTCGGCAATAACTGCATCAAACATATGCAGCCCTCACAGAATCGCTTGAGGAATCCACACAAGCGTTCTCAACTTCGCTATGCCATCCCTGCCGCATGATTCTTACCTCCAAGTCGCATCGGATATGGACAAGAGTTTGTCGTTCCAGGCTGCTGCTTCGTCGATAAACTTAACCTCAAACATGGAGCTCTCGCGCAACAGCATCCCTTCACTAGCAGAGCTACCAGCTACCGTTACAGTAGCCTGCTTGGACCAAGTATCTGTGCCGTGGGTCGGATCTGCACCTGTGTAGAAAGTGAAGTGGCCAAAGAAGTCCTGCCCCATGTACGACTCCGATCTCTGGTACCTGGAAGGTCCGCAGACCCAGTTCGAGGTGCAGATGCAGACTTCTCTCGGGCCCTGGCAGGTTCACCAAACCATGGACAGGTCGCCAGACGGCGAGCACCACGGCGACTGCAGGAGGGCAGGACATCTGGAGGCTGGGTACAAACAGATACCAGAAGGACGAATGAGGCTGACACACCAAATCGTGGCATTCTTAAGTGGTTGGAAGAGCCTGCATTCTGAATCCTGGCAGTGCATGTTGCTGCTAGGCCCGGAGCCTGCCGCGGTCGTTCTTGGAGCGGCATGCATCCTTCCTTTGCACTTAATTTGGTCTTTGCCAAATTCTGAGCCAAACCCTAGGCTGCAGAGGACAACCTGCGTGGCCAATGGACACTCGTGCTGAGGTGAGAAGACAGGCAAAATGAATTGTTCTCGGCTCTATATGGTTTGCATCAGGTTGCGAGTCTCGACTGCCATTTATGATCGGAGGATTGTCGTCCAGAAAGCTGGACTTCTCAATATCCGAAGTCATGACAATGCCTCATGTTTCGCTGACATGCACATGTTCGCGACCACAACCCCTCTCAGGCTGTTGTCCGCGCGGCCGAGCTGTCGTGGCAGGGCTTGCAAGGTACCCTTGCCACACCTTTGCCAGCAAGAAATTTCGACGAGCTTGTGCTCAATGAGATACACCGTCCGCACACGGTTGGAGGATGTCAGTACGAGCCACGTCTAATGCATCACCAGCTGGGTCAAATACTCGTCACAGAAGTCTTTAGTGTCACCGATTCCGGGCCCCAGTGACCACTAGACCCGTCCGATGCATGGTTGCAACTATGCCAACCATCGAGTGAAACTGCCTCGCAGTCATCTAATGCTATTAAAATGTAGTGCCAAGCTTTTGCAGAGGGCTGCCAGTGGAATACGAGCATTCCTCTGGACAAGCGGTGTCGTAGCACTGGAACCTGGGATCGTTCTGGAAGCAGGTTCCGGCTATGCCTTTGAGCTGCAAGGCGACAAGAGAGACACTAATACTCTGGATCTGTGTGAACACCGTCACTTGAGCGACATCACCTTGCAGCAAGCTATCGCGCGTGCCAGGTGCACGCGAATCTTTGATTAGGACATGCATAGGAATTCTCGATATTCGAGCGCCACCACTGGCGGATTCCCGGCGTGCAGCTGCTGAGTGGAATGGGACTGTATGCACACGGTACTGCCTGCTTCCGGACAAACGGCCGCCCGCCAAGGCCCTTCATTGGCCAACAACCGGTGTCGCTCGATGGGTACTGTTTGTGATCAGAGCAGGATCTGCCCATCATGTCGCCCTCCTCGGCCTTGGCATCAAGGAACATGAGCGCCGACTCGCAAACCTGCATCACTAAATTGGACGTTTCCTTGCAAGTCCTTGCAGTGTCTCTCCTGCAGCTTCTTGCAGAAGCACACAGTTTGGCAGAGAAACGTAGCAAGATCAGGAAGCAGCAGCACTGTTTTTTGCCTACATTGGCAGGGTCATACCCCCATCCCACCGCAACACGGCCTGCAACCCTCAAATGCAGTCCCTGGCTAGTTTTTTGGCTGCAGCAGTAAAATAGTCAATGAGGGAAGCGTAGACTCCCTGGCCTCACTCAGCCCTCCCCGGTCCACGAGTCACTAGGAGTAGTAGTTGATCGAATCTTGATTGCACTTTCCCGGACAGTCTGAGACCCTAATTGATCCAGCCGAGAGGCTGTACTGCCTGCAAGTAGTGGATAGTCGGAGGCAGCGATGAGTTCGAGTTAAGGGCCTGCAATGCATGCTGGGACAAACAATCACAAGCAGGTTATCCCGCGCCTGCCCGGGATAAGAACCTCGCGAGTGAATGGAGCCCTGACCAGGGACATTCAGAAGGCACTGAACACGAATGTTGTACTGTCGTCCCGAAATGCTCCACACTCAATTGAAAGACTGCGGGGCTGTCCAAATATTCCAGCCTTCAAAGCGAAACTGCTGACTGCAAGTGCGAGTTAGTTGCACAAATGCAAACCCTGTATTATTTCGCTGGTCGCACGTTTGCGGGCTGGCTTAACAGATCATAGAGAGCCTCAACAGAGAGCCTCAATCCATGTACAGCCTACGATTGACTACTTGGGGCAACGACGACAAACTCGGAGAATGTATGCTTGCACGTATGCCCACATGCATGCATGGATGTACCTTTGTATGTACGTTGGTGCATGCTTGTGCATGTGCGCATGTGTGTCGGTGTGTCTCTCTGTGCGTATATGATGCATGTATTTATGTCTGAGTACATTGGTGTGCATGTATGTTTGTGCATGTGTATGTGGCTTTGAGTACGTGTATATGTGGATGCGTGTATGTGTGTATCTATGTATGTATGTATGTATCTATGTATCTATGTTTTTATGTATGTGTGTGCGGGTTTGTGTGTGTGTGTGTATATATGTATGTGTGTTTGTCTCTCTGTCTGTCTGTCTGTCTGCCTGCCTGCCTGTCTGTCTGTCTGTCTTGCTTGCTTGCAAGGCGTGTGGGAGGTAGGGGCAGCCCCTACACCCCCTGCGCGCGAGCGCTACGCCACTGTTCGTGTCTGGTGTGAGACTGTCTGTCTGTCTGTCTGTCTGTCTGTCTGTATGTCTGTCTGTCAGTATGTGTGTGCGACTCTGTTGTGTCATGAGTCATATCCGTAATGATGACTTGTACACCTTGCTCAGTTCCTCCCTGCACTACTCAAGATCCTTTCACTTGCCGCTTGGAGGTATTACCGCTCCAGCCTGTTGGCTGATGGGCCTTGGGAGGCAACACCCAGCAGCGACTGAGAACTCAACAAGCCGAACGCAAGGTCCGAGGAGGATGGCTGCCCTTTCTTTTTTTCGATTGCTCTCTGAGTTTGAGGACGATACCAAGTACATGACTTGTAGCAATTCTGCAACTCCAGGAACTCACAGCAACAAGGTTCGTTCCCATCCCCTCGGCAAGCTCCCGACACGTCATGCGGCGTGTGCACTGCATGACATTGCAAAAATCACTCAGACTGAATGCCGTTCGTTCGTCAGCTCTGACTGTTAATCTGTTAATCTATTCATATCTACTAACTTCGCTCTGGATTCACATGCCGAGCTGGTTCTGCGGAGGCGTCTGCATCGCGGGTTGACACAGTTGGCATCCGGATCTTAAGTTCAGTGTGGCAAGCAGCAAGCATGAGCCGAGGGGCAATGAGTTCGAGTTTTGCGAGGTGATCGGTGGCTGCGGAATCGCTCCTGAGAGATCCCGGCTCAGCCTGAGCGGCAACAGGGAGCACTTGTTACATGCACTTGAAGGCTTCTGCGGGTGTTACATGACAGGAAAACACTGTTCTGATACGTCCCGATGGTGCACCACCACGACTGGTTAAGTGGGCACTGTACATGTTTGTGGGGCAGGGGGTCGAGCACTGTCACATCAACGAAGGACTACGACTACGAAAGCAGGGGGCGTCCCAGGCAAAGACGAGGAGAAGAAGACAAACCTCGAGGCTTGGAAGACAACTTATCGCACGCAGACGCTTCCTGACTTCTTTGGCATGGTATGTAGTAACTTCGCTGTGCGTCCTATGCCTCCTGAAACCTGTGACTGAGCCCCGGGCGAGTGGCTGTAGTAGATGGTGCGCTGCTGAGGCTCAACGGGCCTATGCTGCTGTGAAATGAAACCACGGTAAGAGGGGAATGACGTCGACACATTTTGCTCTTCTCTCTTGCTTGCTTGCTTGCTTGCTTGCTTGCTTCCTCTCTCTCTCTCTCTCTCTCTCTCTGCCGTTGAGCAGCGCCAGGCAACGCGCGAGGCTAAAGCCCTTGATGCCCCTCATGAAACGAAAACTGCAAGCCGCCCCTCAAGCTTCCTATTGGGTTTGAATCATGGTATTGCAGCTTCGGCTGGATGTGGCTCGAGCCCCAAGCCCTATCCCTTGTTTACCTCAATGTACACTTTGTGCACACACACCCCTGGCACATTTAGGCAAGATGCTGCTGCAAACGCAAGGAACCGGATGGACTGCCCGCGGTATGCTGCAAACGCAGCGAGCCGGATGGGCTGCCCGCAGTGGCCACGCGCTGGAAGCTACCACCTTGAATGACAAGACTGATGCGTTTGTCTGCAGTGTTTCTTTGCTTGGTTCCCTGCCTGTGGGCGCCCTGGCCACGAAGCCTCCACTTGCATCCTCCCACCAGCAACGAATGACGGGCTCAAGCTCTAAAGAAAATACGACGCGCGCACCTTCTCGGAATCTCCACTAGCACTAGCAATTGCTGAACCTCGCCTTTGACGCAGCGGAAGGTCTGGAGGGTGTGCGGACAACACTGCCGATCGACTTCACAGCCGCCATCCTTCACTGCCATCCAGGTCACAGCGTCACAGGTGCTTCGCAGCAGCAAGACGCTAATACTAATTAGTCGGGACCGGAGGTGTGAACGGCAATGGCAGGCATGGGGGCACATCCAGATGTTGCACCACCACATGTTGCGCCACATGAGGGCATCCAGCCACTGGATGCCATGGAGGTTTATATGAGCTGGGGCAGGAAAACGCGCGATGTAGGAAAAAGCGGTGCTAAGACAAGAACTTCAGCGACTGAGGGCTCAGCATCTGCTGTGGCACGCTTGGACGACTCGGAGATCGAGATGGACCTCAGTTTGACATGGGAGGCTTTCCCAGGCCTCCGGGACCTTGATGCGACAGTGTTTAGATAAAGCATGATAAAGCCATCCTCAAAACTGACTCCGGTTTTTTCGTTCAGCCTTTCTGCAAGCATGCAAAGACAAGATGTGATAAGTTCCGGCAGACCGTCAGGGAAGGGATCATGGGTGGCAAAATGATGAGGACGAAGGCGCGTGCTTCGGCGCATGACGAATCCTCAACTAGAAAAGCTCCTGTGAACTTGGGCCACTCCAGGTCAAGAGCAGCTGCAGTCCACGGGGCTGGGCTGATCCATGCCGAACTCGAGGTTGCGTGCTCTTCCGCCTCCTTGCGCCGCGAACAGAAACTGAAAGCGAAAACTCGAAAGTGAAAAAGCTCGACAGGGTTTTGCTAACTATGCTTGCGCTCTCAACGGCCGTCGAAAACATGCTGTAGCGAAAGTATCATGCATGCCTTTGCATGCACCGTTTGTGCTCTCACGGCCCAAATGAGTCAGGTGGCTAGGGGTCAGCGAGCCGGTGTCGTTTTTGGGCGATGCCACTGCTGCCTTCTTGGGCGACTCCTGCTGCACAGGGCCAGGGGAGCACTGCTAGCAGAGGCTCGTTTCGGCTGGCACAAGCACGAAGACCCCAAGAAACATACAAACCCAGGCATGCGGCCAGTCGCGGTGAAGCCCGAAACCCAAAACCTGTGGCCTCCTCAGACTCTTCGTCTCGCCAATTACGCCAGAGTTCGTGAACGCGACCCGTATATTCCTTGGATGCTCACATATGCCCACCCCAGAACATGCAGAAGCTGTGGCACGGCGCAAGTGATTCGTCTGGAGTGGCCACCACCGATTACAAGGTCGGTCACTGTGGTAGCCCATATATAGCCTCTTGACTAGGACATCTGTTGGAAACAGTGCTGACTGAACTCAGATAGTTTACGGCCATCTCGACCAGAAATTGCCACAGCTGAACTGATTGTCACATGCTCGGCTTTGTATCTGCAAGCTTGAGCATGCGAGTACATGTCTTGCCGGTAGAGGGGGGTGTCAGCCGTTGTGGTGACCTGTCAAGCTTTGTACCATCTGTGGACCGATGTTCATGATGCGTGGCAGCCGACTGTAATCAGGATTAATCAGGTAGCGTAGCACCTCTCAGGATCAGGTATTCCCGCTTCCCACAGGCTAATGAGATTTGATCAGAAGCCGGTACAGGGATGTACAGGGCGCAGGGTACCTATGCATACGAATGCATACGAGCTGGTGACTCATCACTGCGGGGTCACCCATGGTACGCAGCAGAGTCTCGTCAACGTGGCTCTTCACCGTGGCATTGCGATAGTACAAAAACACGAAGGTTCCAGCCAATGCAGCAAGGAGAAAGAGCGAGACCAAGCCGGTCCTCAGCCGCCGGTCTCGCAGGTTTCTTTCAGATACAAGCCTGGACATCATGGTGCCGTGCATGTAAAGTACTCCTCACACCTGAACAACAGCAGACTTCCACGACTGTCCTACTAGCCTTGCCCTCTAGAAAAGCTGAAGTGCTCGGATTCTCGGCTAGTCCCGAAGGCCTTCAACAGCCCCTGGAACAGCACTGCTTTGATAAACCAGGTCTTGCCCAAATGACTGCCCAAAGACGATGCGGTATGATGCAGTCTTTCTAGCTGCAATCTGTGGATCGTTGCCGGTCAGTTCCTAAAGTCTCCGTTGCAAAATCAAGCCGAGGTCTCTTGTTGCTCTTCGGCGCTCCATCGATGTCTCCGCCAATCGCATCACTGACCACTACCGGAGCCTGCGCCTTGCAAGCTCGGAATGTCCGAAGGACAGAATGCACGAAAAGCACCGCACGCCCTTTGCCACACCGAGGATTTGACAGAATCGACCCTTTCGATGCAGAATGCCGAAGAGGGGCGGCCAATGTCGCTGCGTCAACCTTTTGGTAGACGTCCTGCGTTTCTGCAGCCATGCAGCCATGCACGACAGCGAAAGAAAAGGTTGTCAGATCACGGACGTCACGGACGTGAAGGCTGCTAGTGGTTTCAATCCCACGGCTTCCCACAGGACCCTGGACGCGAGACTTTACGATTCTGGACTTTGCGAAGCGAAGTTTAGGTAGTACGGAAACAGTTGCATAGTCTTAGCGCTTAAGTCTTGAATCCCCTCGTTTGCCAAGGCACCAGAGTCTTGATGCTCCAGAAAGCCTCACCTCTGCATCACAGAATCCAAGCTTGCGACGCCCATCTAACTTGTGGAATCTCATGCCTGGTCTAGTCACGCGATGGCGCGCGCATTCCTAGAGCACCGGACCGGCCCCAAGCTCTGACCAAGCTTTCTGTTCCAAGCAGCTGAATGCCTCCGGGTTGTTCCGCACGTAGTCCTACCGAAGTCTACAAGGATTTGTGCAGCGCCGAGTTAAAGGAGACCCCCCGCCACCGCACACGTACCAATTGCTCGCCCTCCACCCGGCTCCTCGCAGCTTGTCTGGAGCCACGGGCACATTGGCTTGAAGGTTGAACCAGCATAGTCGCCTAGCTGACTTTCAAACGGAGGAGCTAGAACTGAAAGTGACTCACACAATGATTGCGATCGATCATTTCCACCTGCAGCTACCTGCTGAATCCTGCTTCTGTGCGATTACGTGGAGGCCGGTCACCACAGAAGGTTGTGTCGAAGACCATGCGCATGTTCTTGAAGTGATCTGCTGTACACCTTGATTGAGGGCTGTGCAGGCCAAGACCGGACGTAGACTGCTGCAAAGCATTGCAAAGTGTTCAAGTAGTGCGCTGTTGAAACGACTGAAGACCAGAGAAAGGCACCAACGCTCGTTCAGCGTGAAGTACGAGTTCGGGGTGCCCCACCTGAAAACATCGAGACAAAAGAAATCTGTCTTCAATGCTTCGGAGTGTAGTGCGCACGTTTCGCCGTTTCGCCCTTCCCTTTCTGCTTCGGGGCTTCGGTGCTTCGGCGTGAACATGTCAGCGAAGTCTCTGCGAGCTCCGGGGCCGAGGAGCATGTCCGGCTGCGGGCCCCTCACCAGCAGGTCGATGGGCTCTTTGCCCGAAGGGAAGAACCATGTCCGCATGAATTTCCGGACCTGGCAGATCGATGACACCACCGTAGACCAAGATGCCGATGACATCGGCTACCATGCTCTGAAAGTGCAAGCTTAACACAGGGCAGGGACTACAGGCATGCATGAGTACATGCTATACATGCTAAATGACACGCACGGACACAATGTGGCATAATCAAGCATACTTGCTCTGCGGAAGCACACAAACACACACACACACACACACACATACATGCATGTATTGCATTACATTACATGCACACTTGCACACATACACACACCTATACACATGCACACATACGCACACATATTTTTGATACTCGCGCTACGCACATACATACATACATCCATCCACCCACCCATCCATCCATGCCTGCATGTGTGTATCTAGGTATGTAGGCAGGTAGGTAGGTACGTAGCGTGGGTAGGTAGGTAGGTAGTGTACGTACTGTATGTATTGGAGGGTCCCATAGTTTTTGGAGTTTGTTCCTTCCAGCCTGTTCCTACTTTTCCACCTTTGCCACCGGTTCCCCCAAGCTTTATGCTTATGTCTGGGTATAGGTTAGGTTACGTAGGTAGGTACGTCTGTCTGTGTGTGTACGCATGTATGCACTCGTGTATGCATGCATGTGTGAATGCGTGTGGGCGCTTATGTCGTAACCTACATTGCGCAGTAAAATCACATGCCACGGCATGATGCAAACGCGTCGGGCCAACGTTGTCCCATTCGGCAACAAAGGTCCCGCCTGGCACAGGTTGTAGTTTCGAGTCACCAGAGACTAGTCAGACTGCAGCAGTGATACAGAACTCGGGTCATTACTGACCCATTGCAGCCGACATCGTTTCAACTGATATTCGATACTTCGCAACCGAGCAACGCAGCACGATGCCTACGCTCTGCATTGGTTTCCAGCCTTGGTTCTTGTTGAAGTCCGGACCAAAAGATCCCGCCGGCAGCTTCTGGCCGCAGCCCTGGTTGTCGTACTCCTGGGGAGCCTTCACCTTGAAAACTCTGACTCTGTGGGTACACATTAAGAAACACCGAGCCGTGTCTTACTTCTATCTGAAGAGTCCATCTACATCAAAGCCATTTGCAGCGGCGGGTGGCCCAACAATTCTTTGCCTTGTTTGTTCCAGTCGAACCGGCCGCCCAACCTGGCTAAAGTTGGCTCAACTTCAGATTTAGCCTTCGGCAGACCAGGCCTCACAAAAACAAACATTGCAGCGCACACCGACTGCATGCAAAGAGCCTTGTCCGACGAAGTCAATCCCGTTGTTGACCTCTCGCCTTCCGTGGAGTCATGTGGAGTCGTAGACGAGTAAACGGCGCAGAACAGTGAGGTCACTCAGAGGGCAAAAGAAGAGCGCACGAAGCTATGCACATCTGAGAGCCGGCACTGGTCACAGCTCGCGCGGGTGTGCAAAGTTGTGGTTGCCTTTGATGAAACATACAGAGGCGCCAGCTGACACGTGCCAACTGCACCGAGCAGTCCGAGACACGTAGTTCTCTACATGGATCGACTCGAGAATGTCGTACTCTCCCCAACGGGGCCAGGCATGCTGGGCATCATCGCCGAACATCCAGAAGGCTGGCCAGGCTCCTGCTTTGTCGCATCAATGTGTCGACTTCAGCTGCACTGGCAAGCAAGTGTGCAAATTCGGTGCCAAGTGTCCGCAGGCTGTGGGCACGTGCTTCAGAGTGAGGACAAACATGCCGCCATTGTAGCCTTGCTATCTCCGATCGGTCCCACTCGGCGGAGCATAACGAGTTGGAAGGAATGCATCCGTGCAGCTCTTTTTGCTTTCGATCCTCACTGCTTTCCTGCCACCTGCCACATCAGGCTCCATACTCCGCCATCTAGTTCTCCCCACAGGACTGGTTAAGACCCGGGACAGGAAGTGTCCTCGGAGCACAGCTGATTAGCAGGATGAAGGAAAAAATCATGACTGCAGCATGGTGCAGCATGCGCTGTTCGCAAGTTCAAGGCAGGACTTGAAGCTGCAAAAAATCAGGATCATCTGCGGTGGTAGCCGGAACCGTAGTCGTTCTCGCTTTCTACCATCAGTATTCGTGCGAGTGATAGTAGTCGTCGTCGTAGCCGTAGTCGTTCTGTATCCCACGTGGCACGCCATGACAGCTGTAGTAGTGGGAGTACGTGTAGTGGGAGTAGTAGGACTAGGAGTAGGAGTAGGAGGAGTAGTAGTAGTAGTGCTACCACTGCTACGACTACTGTTACCAAGAGGAGAAGCAGCACATGCAGCAGTAGCTGTCTTACATAAAGTTGACAGCACAGCTCAGCTCAGCCAAAAACGCCAGCCAGCTCATTGCAGCAACAAGTCTTGAAATTCCGACTGCTATTGGCCCAACACTTACTGGAAAAGAACTTTGCAGGTGGTTCTAAGCAGGAGCTGGCCAAAGAACAAGTCGAGAGGAGTTCGGCAACACTAATGTTACCGCCAAATGGCGGTATCCAATGCGTGACTACGACGCGGCCTTCACTTCCCAGCTTGGTGGTGTTGTCGACACCCATGTAGACTCCACTCTGGGCACACAGTCAGATGCAGCTTCGGTATCGGAGCACACCATCTGCATGCTGTGGCAGCGGTGTAATGCATTGCGTCTCTTGCAAAAAAGATTCCGGCAAGCGCGTGATTGCAGCAGTCAAGTGATGCCAAGAGGCAGGTGAAGCAAAGAGCAGCTTGTTATTCCAGGCTTGCATCTCCGTGACGAACTCAACCTGAGTAAAATCCGCGGAGGGATACTCGATCTGCTCTGCCAGTCTTGGGAGCTTCTGGCAGCAGTGGCTGTCGCTCACCAAGCACCCAAGAGGTTTTCTGAAAAGCCTGGAAGATTGATGTACTGTATGAGCATCAAAATCCACACACCACCGAGCCCCTGAAGCTTGCAAGCCGTTATCTCTCTTCACAACGCTCAACCAAGTCTGTGGGGTTGTAGCGACGCTGAGATCAGAGGTTGCCCTATATTGGAACAGATTTTCGATTAACACTACTGGCTCTCGTCTTGAAGCACAAAGCATCACACATCGGCAACCTGTGTTAGTCAAGCCGGGAAGCCGTGCCATGCGTGGGGTCCGGTCCCGAATAGAAATTCCAATGTTCGAAGAAGTCGGGGCCCACAAGGCGCTCGACCGGAGTATATCTGGGGTGCGGATGCGAAGCGCTCAAGGCCGCCGAAAATAACATGAAAATGCCTTCTTCAGAAGAGCACCACACGTGTGGCCTCATGATCTGCGCGCGCGATGCATGCAGCAGCAAAACTGGCAGGGGGCTTGCAAAGGCATTGGAGGTTGGCTGGAATTGCGGATCCTCTCCAGGTTCGTCTCGTCACTGCCTACTTTGGTGCCTATAAGTACAGTACAATCCCCACAGCAGCGATGTAACGAACAATTCCTATGGCCAGGCCTAGCAGAACGAACTGGCGAGCCATGGCTCCCGGGCCCATTCGGGGCCAAGCCATCGCTGCGAGAGATGAGTAACACAAGACCGATTATCATCGTGGTCATGCTAGTGGTTATGAGAACAAACTACCAGTGTAGTAATACGCGGATTCTGGGATGGATTACAGCACCAGCTCGTACCTCTTACCATCCTATCTCTGCGAAGACAAGCAAGCCCATGAACGTTTCCAGACAAACTGCAAGAACAAAAACAGCCCTTCACAGGTAGACATGACATGAGAACCGAACCATCCAAGTGCGAGATGTAGTGTAGTGCAAAGGCTTTTAAGCCCAATTGAAACATCGGCGTCGGATGAGTGTAGTGTTCGTACGACGTGGCCAGTCGGAACAAGAACTCGCCAGTTGACAGTCTCCGTGAGGCTTGTCTCATCTTCCAGCTCCGCCCTGTCTGAAAGCGACCTTTGGCTCAAGTAGCTGAGCTACGCTTTCTGCCCATCCTTCACTTCCCACCACCTGGGAGAAGAAAGGAAAAGAGACGGAGAAAGAGAGAGAGAGAGAGCAAGCAAGCAAGATTGAGGGACAGCAGCCGTGTTGTGAAAGCCATTGAGCGGCAGCATATAAATGGACTTGTCGCTGGACATTGCAGTATTCAAAAAAGCTCTAAGGTCCTGGACCCAAGCCTTTCCGACACAGTTCAGGAGACCCGACCACACAAAACTTAAACCTCTCCATCTGCAAAGCGCGTGCTCGGTGGCCCGCTGATCTCGCGGAGTAGGCGGAGCACCAGCAACTCCAACCAACTCGAAGGTGCCTTCGTCAGCCATGGCCATCGTTCAATGTCTGTACGTGTGTGCATGTCCTCAACGTCTTCGCAAGATCTGCCGCACGATACGCACACGATTGTCTTTACGGCTTACAGGCACAACGTGTGATTCCACCGGTTGCTCCTCTCGAGGCTTTAGGGTTGAAGATGGCATCCAGCACGGCCAGCCCCACATCGTCGCCTCAGGTGTCTGAACAGCACACCACGCTTTCAGCACGGTGCACACGGACAGTTTGTAGCATCTTTAGGAGTTCAGGGCTTGCCTGCCTGGACTCGCTTGGAACCAAAGCCTGTGTTGCGGCATTGCCATTAGAGGGTACCAAGATCATGGCGGCTGATCTTCTTGCCCACATCGGAATCACGGAGGCGCAGCCTCAGCGACTAAAAACGGTGCTGCGCGCTACTCAGAGCAGCGTGGTCAACATGACCGAACCTGAGACCCCCACGAGTCCGGCTTTGCAAAGTAAATTCCGCCGACCTGATTTCAGGTGGTGTAGCTCGAGCAGTAGCTCTTTCTGTGGACCCCTTGCCCTGGAAAGTAGGGGTTGGAAGAAAGGGTTAAGGTGATGAAGGTAGCGATGATGACCGGGGTGATACAGTAACGATGATGCTGACTCGCAGGCCCGGGAAGCCGCTTCCCTGCAGGAAAGCCGCATCTCTGGGGAAGTCGTTGGACATTGGCACCTGCACAGCAGCGCTGCGCAGCGCTCAAGGCTCGAGCCGTGCTTTTCTGGCCCATGGTTTCCGGGAGCCGCGCAGGACGAATGATCGTGTAATCCAGGCCGGACCTCAGTCGGGTCTCTGAAGGCGGCACACCGTTCGGCCCTTTTGCCTGAGCATGTCGCTTCTTGATGTACTCCTCCGCTGCCAGCTTCTTCTCAAGCACGCTTCCGAAACTGCAGCTGCGCAAGACTGCGACCATGCATTCTTGGGAACTGCTTCTGATCACTGACTGCTGAGTTCTTGAGGTTGCAGCTTGTTCCAGTTCTTGTAGACATCGCTTTCTGTAACTTCGTCCTCGGCTGTCCCACATTCATCGTCTGCCGCCGCAAGCAAGCAAGGCACAAAAAGCCCCATGTCCAGCATACGATGCTGAAAGATCTAGAGTCTAGAGTGTAGATCTAATTTTAAATCAAAGCTCAAAAATCACAAAATCAAACAAAGTCTAATCACAGGAGGTACCAGCAAGCTGCCACCGGGACCTGCACTTCACCTCGGCTCCTGCCTGCGTTTTCTATGGACAGACCTCGAACCATCGGTCGACACCGACTGCTGTCCAGCACCGTGGTCCCCATGAAAGTCACGTTTCAAGGACTATTGTGGCCCAGTCTTTGGCTGCAATCGCACTTAGGTTTGTTCATGTGAGGGGCAAGTACCTTCCTGCGTTGTAACAGGGCAAGCAGGCGACATGCAAAATTACACAGGAGACGAAGTACTGGATTCAGCTTTGATCACACGAAACGGCTTAGCACCTTCTGGGGGCGGCCTGTCTCTTGGCACCTCTGCGCCACGGTTCCGACCCAACATCAAGCAGGCGGCCAGAAAAGCAGTACGGCATGTGCTGAACTATTGCTGATGTCCTGCTCAGAGGCTACCTTCTGGCCCAGGTGGCTGCAAGGAGCTGTCTGAGGTGGCGGCTCCGAGGTTCTTTCCGTTGGCCATTATGGCGGACCTTGAATCGAAATCAACATATCCAAAACTGATTTCTTAGTGTGCCAGTCGAGCCGCTCGACATCATTCCTTGAACATGGCATGGCTGCACCTCTCTTCGCATCTCACCCCCGGGGAATTCTGGAACAACTGACATTGCCTGGAAAGGAAGCCAAGCCCCCGGGCACATAAATGAACTTTTTGACGCCTGGGCCAATGTTTGGAACCCTTTTAGGAAGACATTCATTATGTGACAGGTCACTGAGAACTGGTCAGTTGATGCCAGTTGCTTCTTCTTTCTCGGTCGCTCGCAGTGATGTCTAAACAGCCCAAACGTCTTTGGAGATGAGTGTTTTTTGTGGGCAGTCTTTGTGCCACTGGTGAACGGACTTTGCCGATCTAGGTGAACAGTCGAGCTAAAAAAGGCTTAGGAGTTACACAGCCGCATCTCCACGGTTAAACTTGTTGCACCTCACAACCCGCGCACACCGTGGCCGCGGAATGCACACCCGTCTCATCGCCATCACCCTCCAAGCGCTCGGAACTGTGGGCAGCTCGGGCTTACGCTCGAGCACGGCTCTGCCTGGCGACCTGCGGCCGAGCGGTGGAGGAGCTTCAGGCAAAAGTCCGATTCGACAACTGCACCTTTGGCCAAGGCGGTGGAGGAGCCAAGGGCTCCACGCGACCTCGGGACAGTGACAGACCTTCATCCCACACTGGAGATGCTTCAGCATCTTGAGCTTAGCTTCTGGCGACCCTCCGCCACCACTAGCGCAGGGCGGCCGAGCGCACCCAGATCTTCAGTCGGATTGCCAGCCTCTCGCGGCACATGACTCCAAGAGTTTTGATCTCAACGTGGTTAACTAACCTAATTAATGACTGTAGGATAGCACCGACTGCGCATGCGACAAAGGTGCGACCACCAGGAAGTCCGCAGAGAGGCGTGGCATTAGACGACCACACCTTGGCACACTGTGCACAATGCAAACGTCACCCGAAGGCCTAGCATGACGGGACTCGGCTTCGCCTCAGGCTGCCGCTCTGCCTCAAGGCCCAAAACAGCAGCTGAGGCCGATGTAGCAGCTTTCAAAGCTTCCACGGGCGTCATCCTGCAAACGGAATCCAGTCTTGCGCCAATCCCCTCCATGAGGCTTTGCGTAGAGACGTCGCAAGCTGCTCGTCTTCTGCCCGCTTAACTTACATGGTGGAGGAGGTGCAAGATGCTTTCCGCAATCTCATGGTAGGGAAACTCATACTCTCCGTCGGACAGAATCTCAAACACTGTCCTTGCCATCTCGGCCAGAACCTGAATGCCTGCATGAAGAGCGTCGTGGGGAAGACCTGCGCACACTGTCTGCACAGAACACCATTGAATCTGTGTATATCAGCCTATATGAAACATGTGTATGTGCACACGATACTGATATATTTACTCTATATTTGTATTTGTATTCATGTTTATATGTATTTAGTCATGCCATAGTTTTTGTTTAGCTTGCTTGTGTGTGTACGGATAATATGTATGTATATAGATATATGCATATGGTCACGCGCTCCGCGCACCCCCCCCTCCCCCCCTCCATGGTCTATGGTCCAGGATGCCCCCTCTCCTGCGGGATGGAATGTGGGTTCCCTCTTCCCCCTGTGGGGTGGTTATGGGGGTTTTGGGTCTAGCTTAAGCTTTTGAACTTTGGGTTTTGGTGTTTTTAAGCGGCCGTTTTCGTCTCAGCAATGATTCAAACGAACTTTGGGTTTTTTTGACACTCACACTCGGACAAAGCCTGGCAAGGTCTGCAGCGATACTGGTCTGTCTCGTTGACCGGCTATTTGGTAGGTGTCACCAAATTGCCACTCCATACATCCATCCAACAGGCTTCGCCGGACAAATGATTACGGTGTCAATCACAACGTACCCGTAAGCCAGACACAGATGCACAAGCATATTTTCCAACATCATGTTGACAACAGACCACCGCCGAGAACAACAGACTACTCCCCACACAGACTAAGCAACCCAGACCCTAGTTCAGTTCTCAGGGTAGTCTCGTGAAACAAGCTCTCATGCATATTGCAGGTCTTCATGTTAAAATGACTCACAGTAAGTCCTAAAAAACATCAGAAACACAGTTCATGCCCATGCAAGGAGTTTGTCTTCATTCTTCAATACTTTGCACTCCACCATCGAAGTTCGGCCTGTCCAAAGGGGTTGCCAGCGGCATCATGCAGGATGCAGGGCGAGACGTCAACAGGCCACCACAGTTAAATTCTTGACATGCAGAAGAGCGAGAGGCGCCATGGTGTAGATGTTGCCCAAGACACTCAACGTCCCATCATGCAATCTCGTGCAGACTCGTGCAGAAAGCTATACTTTGCGCTCCACCATCGAAGTTCGGCCTGTCCAAAGGGGTTGCCAGCGGCATCATGCAGGATGCAGGGCGACACGTCCACCACAGTTAAGTTCTTGACATGCAGAAGAGCGAGCGGCGTCATGGTGTAGATGTTGCCCACGACACTCAATGGCTATGCCCTTTGTCAGCAACGTTCATGTGCCAGCGGTCGCATGCAAGATATAAGTCGTCGAAGGAAAAGCCACCATGGTTGGAATTCCAGAGTTCTCTCGCAAAAGACAAAGACCATGCTGTAAAATCATTAATTGCCGGTGGTTCTCATAGGCCGAAGGTGCACATTACACCAATGGCATCATGCAGAAAACAGGACCTCTTGGTAAACGCCTTTTGACAGAAACGTTCAGACGCCGGCGGCATCATGCAGGATGCAGGGCGTTATAGTGAAGGCCGCAACAGTCTGAATTCCAGAATTCTCACGCAACGAGATGAAGGTCATGCTGGGAAGGGCTCCAAGAAGCAGCATATGCCAGCAAATCATCAGAGGCCCCAAGTGTACGACACACCAGTGGCATCAGTCATGGAAAGGTCAGCATCAGCAGCTCTTCATCGACTCCGGCTGGTAAGATCCGATTCGTGATCAGCGCGAAGAAATCAGGAGCGCAGCCGGATTCTTGTGTGACATGCGTTTTTGTCACTCGTGCTCGACAAGTCAGACGTTACACCAAGTCACTGTAGCTTGAGCTGTTTTCTGGATCCATGGCATCCAGATTTTCTTCCCTGAGAACTTCCATGCATCGGCGTGTCAGCTGGGCCCAACAGGCCCTGACTGCCGGATGTTCACCCACATCGGGCATGTAGTGTTGCATCTTCCGTGCCACCAAGGCAGGGCATTCAGTCGTCATGAACATGTGGCTGAATTCCAGAATTCCCAGCCCATCATCCACAGCTCGTACGGAAGGGAGCTGAAGACAAAAGTCATGCCTTAGCACAAATGAGAGTGAAACTTCTGTGATGTCGAACCCTCCTGTCTATGAAGTAAAGTCATACCAAGTACATAGATGGATAGATAGTATACAGAGACAGGATAGCAAGAGCAAAGCAGCAGCATCATCATCACCCAGTCAACACCCAAAAGGCATCTTACATGCCACCAGTTTTGGAGAAGGGGGGATGATTTGTTTGCCTCAGGCTTCGGTTCAGCTGTCCAGTACCTCGATGACGTCATGGAGGTTCCTCCTGTGTGGCGAGAGCTACAGAACTTCCTGGATAGTGAGTTGTTTGAGCCTGGGAGGGGATTCGAGGCTTTTGGCAAGGTCAGTTTTGGTTTGTAGGCGGAAACCTAGCACAAGGAGATCCTCACAAATGTCTTCACTAAGGGAACCAATGTTGAAAGTATTGAACGCAATAAGGACGACTCGTTTTGAAGGATCTACTCCATGGGGTAGGAGACCAACATGCAATGTCTTCCTGGCATTCAGGTAGCAGGGTGTGTCGATGGGAACGACACGTCCCTGAATGGCCTGACCTTTGTGTTGCAGGGAAATTGTTCCTAGCGGGATCCACAACCCTGACCCTTCAATGGGAGGAGACAAATGACTGACTAAGGATTGATCGGAATCGTTGTTGGTATCACGATGTGGTGTGCTCTTGCAACCTCGGCGAATAAAGCAACAATTGTGCCTGAAGTTTGGTGCCATGAACGCAATAATTTTCGTCGGGGCTACAGTAAAGAAGGGCATATCTTTTCCCTCTCGCATGGCTGGAATACAATGTCCGCTCGCGAGGTCTGACACTAGTTGAACAGCAGCATGCATGAACAACAATCCTGAGGGCTCGCTATGGCCACGGATCAATTGTAACGCAGGTAGTCATCCATCAAGGATTTGCGTAACTGTACAGGCATGTCAACACTCCGCAAGATCACATGTCCTCACTCACTTCAGACCACCTCCTCGCACTAGCAGCTTACCCGCTCAGCACGACAAGTTTTCGCCCAGCACAATTCTTTTGAAACCTGGGTCCACAGTGCAACTCTGGGGGCGTTCGATCGCCATGGCATGGTGCAGCACTTGCAGCGACGCTGGCATCACTGGATAAGCAAGATGTCGCCTGCTGGATTCCAGTCCCTTTTCACCCAATGCACCCATAGGGCAACATCAGGCCCGAAAAACCTTCAGGCCATGTCATAGTGCAGGGTTTGGGCAAGCCGCTGCCAGTGTCCGTCAACGTCCATTGCATGGAGTGCAGCCTCCTGTAAACCAAGAACGATCGTCCATTCAAGCAGTCGCACCAAGTGCATAGCAGGATGGAGTGCAGCCTCCTATGGTGTTCAGCCAAAAACGATCGTCCGTAGAAGCAGTCACATCAAAGCGCATAGCAGATTGGAGTAAAGACGTTCATTGCATGGAGTGCAGCCTCCCGTGTAGCTAAACCGATCGTCCGCAAAGGCAGTCGCACCAAATGCATAGCAGAATGGAGTACAGCCTCCTATGTGGTGCAGCCAAGAACGATCGTCCGCCAAAGCAGTCACACCAAGATGCTTAGCAGAATCGAGTTCAGCCTCCTATGTTGTGCGTCCACCGAGAGGGCGGCCTCCCAGTGTAGTATGGTCAGCGTATCGAGGCCAGCCAAGGCAACGTAGGAGCATCGCACGACTTCGTAGGCCCATGGCAGAACGTAAGTGTCACCGAAGGATCCCTGAAGAATCCAGGAACCCTGACCCCATTGAAAACATGTCCCTGAGGACCCCCTTAGTTACAAGGCATGTGTAGCATCGGGATGGATGGTGAGCAAAGGGTGGGTAAGTGGCGTCGTGCAGTGGGCATCGGCGCATGTGGCCCCCCTTTTTGTTTTGTTTTTTAGGATTTAATGGGGCTGGGGTGGCTTGGGTTCAGATGTTTCAGCCTAGTGCAGCCAGGGCGCATGAGTGCCGCCAAGTGACATGAATTACATCTCCCAAATTAAAGGTTACAAATTAATGGTGCAGACCAAGCGGCCAATTGCATGCAGACCAAGCAGCAAGACACATGAATGCGGCCAGGTCACAATTAAAGCATTCGTGAATTCGTGAATTACCAATTAAAGATGCAGGCAATGGGAGTTCTGGGCACTCAGGGCAAGCACTAGTCTACTTGTTCCGGTGTGACACGAAAATACTTATGCAGAGAAACTTGTGTGGGTTGTGCAAGATCCGTGTCGGCAGGGTGCGGGGGGAATTGAAAAAGGTTAGCTAGTCTTGGGGCAATCTCGATCGACCTAATCGGTGTGAATGCGACTAGTACCAACCTATCATCGGGGGCAGTCCAGGGTTGGGTGGCATGAAGGGTACTCCTAGCTGAAAAGACGTATGGCTTGTCAATGTTCTGAATCCTTCCATATACTGCTTGCCCCTGAAACTCATCAACAACATCACCAAACTCGCAAGCAATCCAAAGGTGCCCACCATGTATCCCCTCCGAAAGCAATAAAACCAGGCTTGTTCCCACATTGCGAACGTCTCGATGTGGTGCTCTCAGGGAGTTCAGGCGGAGGCTGATTGTAGTGTAGCGAAAGTCGGGAGCTTCTTGTTTAAGGAAGGCAGTCAGGAGTCTGGTACAATGGGGCAGGTTCTCACTAAAGTTCGTAGCCCGTCTTGAATTTCGGGGGTTCGCACCTGCTATGATCAGACGGCTACCTGGTTCATGGGGGTCCCTAGTGTGGGCCCGACGAGGTATGGCATTTTAGCTCAGAGCTCCCCAAAAATTGTGTGAGTCACATTGATGCGTCCCATTCACAGCAACCTTTAGTAAAAGGCGAAAGATTGGTGCGCTATGAAGTGAACACTGAAGAAGGGCATATCGAGGGATTGGGTGAAGAGAGCTTTGGAGTTCCTCGGATTAGCCCCTGTTCCAAAATGTCTGTAGCCGTCTTTGGTGCTTCGGTTGAGGTGGCTTGGAGGAAGCATGTCAAACAGCTTCAAGACCTCAGTCGGAGTGGGGGGTTCAGGGAGTCTAAGCAGATGCAAAGCGCTGCACTCCATAGGTTTCAGAATAGGGCTTGCGTAGAGGCTGTTTTGACACGGTCTTTTACGATACAAAACGAGAGTCGGTAGTTCATGCGGGGTTACCCCATGTATCTCATAAATATATATATATATATATATATATATATATATATATATTATAGACATATATATATATACTCACTTATACTTCTTCATTTATGCATTTACATTTCTATTGATATAGTGATTTGTATTTATATTTATCTATAAATTGATATCTGTATTTTCATGTAATTATGTATGTTTGTATTTATGTGTATATACGTGCGTATGGGTATGGGTATGCGTATGGGTATGTGTGTATGGTATGTGTATGTGTATATGTGTGCATGTGGATATGCCTTTATGTATATGTATAATATGCAGGCATGCATGCATGGATGGGTGCATGGATGGACGGATGTGAATAGCCAAAATAACCCTGCCTGGCCTGGGATGGCCCCCGCATCTGAGGAGGCCAGGAGCTGGATCCCAGCCGCGCCTGGAAGGCTTCGAGCTTTTGCGTAAGGCAGGAACCACTGACATGGTGCCGAAGTGTGAATCCAAGCAGTCCCGAGCCCCAAAACTAGAAAAGCTGGCTATCAAAGCTCCAGATGGCCCCGGGGGCAACGGCTCCGTTTCATCAACACTTCTATCTTTCCAGGGGTTGACAACTGCCCGCTGAAAGTTCACAAGGTTTGCAGATGGATTTGGGCAGAGGAACAGCTACTCGTGCAAGAGCTGAGACCTGCGAGTGGGATGGTTGGGTTTTTCCTGGTGAAAGTTTGTATGCACATCGCAAAAGTGCACCAGAGAAGGGTTGCAAACTCACACGACAGCCCGTGATGAACTCGATCGGGAAGTTTGCCCAGCATGGCTTCTTGTGATATGTGCTGTTTGAAGCACCCGGCGTTACAACGGTCGGCAACTCGGTCGTGTGTCACTGTCGGCATATGGGCACACTGATCTAGCTGAAGGTCCCGTTCTGGCCACAGTGGGCCAGGGAATTGCGTAGCCATTATAACAAAGGAGCATTTTCGAATCATCCCTGATGTCAAGCGCTTTGCTCGAATTGCTATAGGCGGCTACTTGGCATGCTGCAGGCAGCACAGTCTTGCAGGAGAAATGTGCGTAGACAAACCTGTCTACTTTCGGATCCGAGCATGCCTTAGGCTGCTAATGACATTCACAGGGTTTGGAATAACTGGCGGCAGCAGGGCTTACACTCTCGCAAGTCCGACAAGCGCAGCACAGTTTGGCTGGTTTGGCTGTGCCAGTACACTAACTGAATACTCACCACAACAATTTGACATACGAAGCACACGCTGCCGAGGCTCGCAGCTGTTGCAAGGCTGAACACATTCCTCGGCAAAACCAGAATTCCTTCGCATCTCTTTCACATCTGGTCAGTACTACTGACACCGAGCATCGGGTGTAATTGCGATGTCCCATAGGCTTGGATCGCCAGTTCGCGTGTGCAGTTGGGGCAACAGCAATGCCTTGCCGAGCCATGGCCTGTCTTGGGGGGATCTCAGAGCATTCACACTGGCTCATTTCAGACTGCTTCAGTGAAGATGAGATCTGCACCCCAGCCACATGCCCTGGCCTCCACCGTGGCAGCATCCACGCAGCCCCACTGGCCTGCCTTCGCTATCCATGTGCAGTGCTCCACCGTTCTGCAGCCTGCCTGCAACGTTGCTGCATGCAACACGTCCCCAAAACGCTAGGTTGCTCTGGAAAGCAGTTGACAACCAAGGAAAACTGCCCCACCTGCACCGCATGGACCACGCCCTGGGCACCATGCGCGTGCGCTGCCACCGCCAGCGACTTTGCAGTCGCACGGCCAACCACCTGTTTTGTCTAGCAAGGAGAGTTTTGAGCGAGCAGTGCCAGCTTACAATGACACCCAGAAGTCACGTTCGAGCCAGCAGCTGACAGAAACTAGGCGCAGCCTTTCGGTTCGTCCAGCTGCTGCTACTTCTGCTCTCTTGCTGCGCCTCTTTCAGGTCGTGGACAGAGAAGGCTGCTTCCTGCCCCGACATGCAGGCAGCTTTTCCTACGTACGAATCCCACTCATCACAGCCAGTAAACTCGCAACAGCAAGTACGTGCAATGTTGTCACTGATCGACGCCAAAAGTTGAAAACTCGCACATCATCGTCCGACGTGTGCTTCTACCAGCTTCACCCTTTGAGGAATCCTCCACATTTGTCCCAGGTGTACGCATTCCACCAGTGGCCATCACCTTGATCCAGTCGACGCGGTTCTCCACCTTGGACTCACTAGTGGTGTAGACACCGCCACAACAGGCCCCAAAGGTACTTCGTACTTCGTAGAGCGGCTCCTGGCCTGGCGGTCGACGACTGCCAAAGCTTCCTCCAGGGAGCCTGCCTGTTTCTGATACTTTGGGATCTTTGGGTTTCGTCTTTCGGGAGGAGGACTTCGGCCTAAAGGCTGAAGACACACACGTCATCATGCTAACTCGCAGGGGCCAGAGTAACTTTTGCTAAGCCACTCGCCTTCAGACTTCCCTGTTGGTACGATTCGCGCAAGTTTCGGCAGTTAAGTTCACGCAAAAACGATGCAAGAGAGCATGGATAAGGCAGACAAAGTGGAAAAGCTGTGCCACCCATACTCATACCTTCGGTGAGTCCCCTAGGTCATGACAATGCTGATTTAGATGCATTGATACTTCCAGCATGCGTATCTGCCGAACTGGCAGGCGTCTCTACAAGTCGCCAAGCGGTTCTGTAGCCTGAAATTTTGTTCGCAGGACGCAGGACAACTGACATGATGGGGCTTCCAGCTCGCCCAATCTTGGGGCAGGAGCTTGGTGCCCACCTACACCTCGTGGCGCCTCTCCGCCCCACTGATGGCAGTGGCCTCTCGGCACCGTCAGCGGCTGGCCCGCGCAAAGCCTGGGTCAAAACTCTACGCCACCATTGTTGGACGGCGTAGAAAGGATCCGAAAATATCCGAGAGCCTACGTGGTCATTCTGCTTTCAAAGTCTGAGTATCACCGTCCGGTATTCGACAACCCTCTCGCAGATGTCAAGGCCCGTAGAAGTCTAATTACCCGCAATCGCTCTTTAGCTGCCTACCTGTCTACTGTATCAACCCCGTACCTACATGTCTTCCTGAGCGCCGTCAGTCACAGCCACCAAGACTAGCACCCGTTTGCACACAAGGCATCCGCCAAATCCAGAAGATGCTGATCTGCATCGCAACCGTCACGAAAAAGGACCGCAAATGTGGGTTAGAACTTTAGCCGGCAGCAGAGAAGCGAAGGCAAGTGCAACAAGTAAGCATGGGGAAGTCAATAACATTACGGGCAGCGGGGTTAAGTCGCAGCAGGGCGCGTTTAGTCACAACATCCCCAAGGTGACGCTCCATTTTACAGCATATCTAAACCCGCCCTTCCCCAGGCAACTGCTCGAGACTTTGGGCCAGCAACCGGTGCCACTGGAATCGCAAACAGCAGCTGCACACTGGCTGAATCATTAGGTCTACAAGCATGTCCGAGGATGCGAATGGACGCGTTTTAGCAGAATCCCCAACTGCACACTCGATCGATGCGACTAAACACAAGCGGAGGTGAGTTAACCCATGGACCCAGTAATTAATGATTAACATTAGTCTTCGTTTGCCACCAGGAAACAGGCGAGGACCCAAACATTCACCCTTGCGGATTGCATCGCGAAGACCTGGGTTAAGATGAGGATCGCGACAACGAGCAACGAAGACAGTCATGCTGATGCTGATGGAGTGTGTGCCGATGATGCTGGTCACTGTGATGGCGTGTTCCAAGCAATGGCATGCAGTTTTGCTACATAGGCGATGTGATAGAGCTAGTGGTGCCGTTGTTGTTGCGATGGTGGCGGCGGTGCTGGTAGTCCTCGTGCCGGTGGTGCTAGCGATGGTGGCGTTGCTGCGGTGGTGGCCGCCGGTGGTTGGTGGTGGCTGGCGGTGGTGAACTGTGGTTGGTGTATGGTTGGTGGTGGTTGGTGGTTGTTGCTGGTGCTGGCTTTTGCTGGTGCTTGGCCGTGGCGACGATGGCGTGGACGACGAAGAGTGAGGTTGAACACACGCATGAAGATCACAAACGGTGATGATCGTGATTATATGCTGGTGATGGTGATGCTACCCCAGAAACGGTGACGAAAGGCGGTGCAGATTTGTTCGATTACTGGCGTGGGTTGTTGGGAGCCTGCAACTTCATCGTCGAGCATACGTCCTGGCCAGGGCACCCAGAGCTGCATAGTTACGTCCCCCCAAGTCTCGTGCGGTCGTGATCCTGCTTGGCCATCGGCGACTCGGCTCGACTTGACTGCGAGAACTCTACGTAACACATGGCTGTGTCGGGAGTCCCGCTGCGCAGCATGCGCATGGCCCGCTCGGCCATGGCTTGGTGAAGCTGCGCTGCTGACAGCTCAGGCTGGTCGTGCAGGGGGAAGTGCTCACTGAACTCCATGTGCACCTCGGCACATCTCGGCACTATACACAAGCAGCCCTCTTTGTCTATCCTTGTTGCATCAAGAAGCATGAGCATCGATGAGGCCTGGCATCACCGTGCAACCCGGGTAGTGCTCAACCGGCAGGCCCAGATCAACAGCCTCGCCACTCCAATCGGGTTCAGACACTGGCTACTAGGTCCTTCGAGTCAGAGAACTTTCGGGCGAACACGCCTCTCCATGCAGCTTCTTGCATCAATACTTCAAAGCTCGGGAACGAATACCGCGTGCTGGGGGGCGAGCTTCTTCAATGCTGCACACGGAAGCGATGCGCTTTCCACGGACGATCACACACTGCCTGCAAGCAGTGCGTCTCGTTGAGTCCCAGCTGGGACAGCACTCAAGGAGTCGAAAAGGGCCAGCTGGGCCAGCCTGGGTGTTGCTTGATCGGAGTCGCCGTTCCACAAGAGATCACCAGCCAAAGCCCAGTCGCCGTCTTCCACACTTAGCCTGCAGCGTCACTGACAACCAAACCCGCAATCACATATCGCGTCGAGCAAGAAGCAAGACAGTTGATGATCCGCCTGTGGCCCGCAGATCCGGTCAATGGTGCTGGTGCCTCGGCGCTGCCCAGCAACAGAACAAACCGTTCCCCTGCATGAATTCTATCTAACTCTTGAAAGCGCAACGAAGGCTAGGCCGAGATGAGCTCGAGTCCGAACTCCTGCGGAGTCCTTTGCTGCACTTGCGCACTAACTGGCCAGGCCACAGCCTTCTCGATTGGCTCCTGGACTGCCATCGCTCATTGAGAGGCATCTGCGCCATGGTGTGGCAGCGTCACATTGCGGCACACTTTTTGTCCTGTTGACAGATTCTACCTGGTAGCCAGGTAGCTCCTCCTCTTGACTCTTCTTTGGAGAGGCTGAAGAGTTTGCGCCGCGCACAATTCGATCAACTCTCTGCTCGTGCGCCGGAGGCTACGCTACACATCACAGACTGGGCCAAGAAGCTGCAAACATCGGTTTGCGATCCTCTCTGTAAAGGAGATGCAGACATGCTCGGTTGCCGAGGTCTGCATCTGCTGTGCCCGGAAGATTGCAGCACTGCAGGGGCTTCCCCACTGAAGCCCAGCACCCCAAAGCTGAAAAGCCCAAGGGCGCGGCCTTTTTTGACCGCCGCGTCGACCAGGGCCTGAGTGCCCTGCAAGTCACAGCGCTCGGGCCTCAAACAATCAGCCGCCGTAGTGCAACCGGCGCTCATCGCAAAGTTCGAGGCCCTGGCTCCGTGTTATCCAAACCTTGGCAGCAAAGCGCCAAGGGATGGCCTAAGACAAAGAAGGCCCGCGGGGCTCCCACCCAGGCCAGGCCGCAGGATGTCGAAACCGAAACGGGCGCCGGCCAGGTCAACGACCTGAGACATGAGCCCTTCACAAACCACATGCACCTGCAGCATGTGGTTGCGTTATTGGTAGTTAATGGAAGCCGAAAGCCTGAGCCCAGAGCCACAGATGCATCCAGCAACTGCTCCTCGAGCTCCTGCTTGGCAGACTTGGCTTTCCAGGTGGAGAAGTCTCGCAGGGACACCCAGGCCAGCTTGAAAGATTGCACTGAAGCCCTGAATTGGAACGAAGAGCACCCGCGCCCGCCATCTCTCTCAAGTCTCCAGACTGGCACCTTCTCACGGCCGCCCTCGATAAAAGCGTCTTTGATGACGGTCATTTGGTACCTGAGTTGCGGTGTCTTTCGTACAGATTCTAGGAGAAACGGAGGCCGCTACCACCGCTCGCTGGCTGTGCTTCTCAAGACCACTTGAGTCTTGAGAATTTCCACCCAAACTTGACAGCGGCAGAATGCTCGGCGACGGGCTTTGTGGAGGATCTGTTCATGTACTGGACCTCCGCAATGCGCCCTGGGTGGCGGCCAAGTAGCAATCCGGGTCTCCATGTATGGAGGGAGGTGCCGCAACTGCGAGACTTGATGATTGTTGAGATTGCTCACAAACAGCCTTCATCACGAGCACCACAGTAGATTGACCTCATCGACAGGATTGACTGTTGCGCATCTGTCACGTCTCATTCCTGCAGGGTCGAGTCAAAGTTACTGACCCGTTCCCACTAAGCCGGGCGCATTCCGGTCTTGAGCATGTCGAGCACTGCCTCGGTATCGGGGCACATTTGCCGATAGACGTCGTTCCTCCGTTTTGCCAGAGAGGTTCCTGCCTCTGATCCAAACTCGTCCACTCGACACCAGACTGGGAAGGGGAGGTCGGAGGGACCCCACCATCAAGGCAGCTTCCGGGCCCCCCTGCGCGTCTGCCCAGCTCTCCAGTCGAACCAGCGACGAAGACCTGCGGCGGGCTTTCGCATATTTGCTCGCACAGGATTGAATGCTTCGGGGTTCTGGGGCGGTTCCTGATTTGCTTCTTCCACTCCAGATGCAGTGTTCCCAGCCGCTGAATGTTTCTGCAGCTGCCTTGCTGCATGACGAGGCAATGCTGTGACACACAGCTGTCTTCAAGACCCAGAAACCGCTTCAGAGCAGGATGGCAGGCGCCTTGGGCTTCTCCAGAAAGCAAGCTGCCTGATCGCAAATCTTCAAGCCTGGGCCAAGCAGAACAGGCAGTTGCCAGTTGGAAAGCAGGAGAAGCAACAGGAGCTGATCCTGTACTTCGTTTCCCGCATCCTTTCTGCAGCATCATATGTGAGTGCCATCACTATGCTTCTCGAAATGCACAAAGCGTCTGGCTTTCCGAGAGCTCTTCCAAGCTTAAAGCTCAACGGGTGCAGTGCCAACAGCTGCTTCAGAAAGAAGTTGCTTAGCTTTCGGGATTCGCGCTTCTTTACATTTTACATAAGGAGTGCACCTTCTGTGGCCGTCAATCTTCCATCAGGCCTCACAGTGCACAGATGACCGGAAGGTCTCGTTCAGTACGGGAATTCGCGTCTCAAATGCCGGTGCGGACTACGACTACACTACACGCGGACTTGCGCAACCGCGCTCTGCTGACATGCTCAACGAAACAAGCATTCCGAGGAATCCGAGCTCGCAACAAAACCGCTCGCCCATACCTGGCAGAATTTGGTTTTCGTGTAAAAGCTGCCCACCGAACCCAACTGAAAACTCAACTCTGCTCCCCAAAAGCCAAAAAGTGTGACAAACTGAGCTGACCAGGACCAAGCGGCTCATCCAGGCGCATGTTCTCTGCATACGCCTGGAAAAGAGCTCTGCCATGGTCCAAGCGCTGAGCTTCTTAGAGTAGGTCTTCGATTCGTTTTAAGTTCCCCAAGTAACTTCGGAACCCAAGATCCCGCGCCGCAGTGTTCCCTGCATGGAGTTGCATTCGGGGGAGCACTTGTTTTGCCGTGTCCAAGCGATACAGCAACAGCGCAGCAAAAGGCCTGAAAAGGCAAGCTCAAGGTGAAAGGCGGGACACCTTAAACGAAATACCACCGACGAGAGAGAGACTCTGCACCGTCTCGCCGGTGCAGCATACGTATGTACCTTTGTATCTTATATCGATCCATCCATCCATCCATAAGGTGTACCTGTGTCATTCTATAGCATATCTTGTTCAAGCCCATTCTATTCCATTGATCGAACTATAATATACTGTATGTACCTTCACATGCTCGAACCTACATTTGTATATGTTTCTTCTGCTTACACTGCGGAACAACATCTAGCCGTGTGTCTGTCTCTGTCGTCTCTGTCTGTCCGTCTGTCTGTCCGTGTATGCCTGCCTACACGAAAATGTCCACTCAGGAGTTTGGCTTCATGCGTAGGACAGCTGGATGTGCTCCTCCTTGCCGTCATACGCATCCTGCGAAAGTTCTCACATCAGAACTCCAAGACAACCAACAATACCAACACCACAGACTTAACAGGAAGCTTCTTGTCTTTCCGGTACATGAGAACCAACCTTCACGCTCAAAGACCTTCAGATGACTAAAGAGCGTTTCCGTGACTTCGCTGTCATTGAACTGTTAGACTCTGATAGCTAGCAGCCATCACCAGACACGAATGGCAAGTTCATCCTCGGAGACAGCAGTGACCAGTCCCGGGGGCCCAGCCAGGTCCTGCCAAATCAGGCGCTTGAGCTCGCGAGCCACGGGGCCGACCTTTCAAGGATGTCGAACACCGAAGGCCGGCTACGGCGTGCCCCGCTTCTCCAGGCAGCTAGCAAGCAAACTTGGCAGATCAGATCTTGATCTTTCCGTTTCAGCCTGCTTGCCTCTCCGTTGCCCACTTGCTGGCCGTCCAGTGTTGACACGGGAGAGACACCAAGATCACCCGAAAGCATCATGACCTCGTCATCAGGGAATGATTCAGGGGGGGTCCTGCCAGGGGCTGATCGGTGCGCTGCGCCGCGCCTCCTCGGCTGAGAAGAGCTGCTCCTTGCGCATCGTCTCCTGCCGGATCTCACGCAGGACCTCGCATCATGATGCCGACATCCAGAGAGAACTACGGGCAACACGGTACAATCAAAGTGCAAAGATGCCTGCAGTCCCTCGGCCACGGGTGACAGATTACACCCCCCTACTTGCACTCCCCAGCAACATCAGAAATTTCAGTACTCAAGGCAGCCTTCCCTTCTCCCACCAAGTGCTTCTTTGCCAAGTCCATGGCCTCGAATCCATCGCTGGGACCGGACCGGGTACCGCGAGTCTCGTGCATGCAGCCATCGAGTCCAGGCCTTGCGAACTGTTGTCCCTGCAAGGATGCCATCGAACCTCAGCACACAAGGTGTTGGAAGCTTGGAAGCTGCCGTCCACAAAACTCAAAGCGCATTCTGAAACAAGCTGTAACTCTCAGTCAGGCTTCGGAGGTGTGATGAACACCTTGTCCTCAGTGTTACGTGAATGCAAATCAAGCTCAACTTTGTCCACGACCTGTGAAGGCTTCGTGCTGAGAATTTGCTGTATACCAGACCTTCAGCCCACCGCTGCAGCAGAGCGTCAACCACGATGGCACAGTTGGCCACACAGCCTTCCGCAACTGTGCCATCATCACCTAGAGCGAAGCAGCAATGCCATCTTGGTCTTTTGACGCTGACTCTCGAACTGGGTCTGAAGACGATACCAGCAAGACTCGTCAACTTGCCGTTAAGCAAACGGCACGTGTGCACGTGCAGCATTCTGGCCAACGAGGAAGAGGCAGGGTGCAAATTGCGGTGTCAAAACAAAACCTGGCCGCATCCTTGCTATAAATGCTTTCTGGGAAAGCACCCGTCTCGACGGTCTCAAGCGAACGAAAAACAAGTACCGGAGGCCAGGCAAAGACGAGCTGCGGATGTTGATTCCGTAGCAGCCACCCCGCTCCTGAAACAGCCAGTGGACTAGAAGAGCTGGCTTTCTGGCAGCACCACGGACCACACGCACACACACACACAATGAATGAATGCTCTTGCAGCAGAAGCCGAAGGAAGCCAATGCTTGCTCCTGCGCGGACATTGCCAAAAGGCAATTTAAGAGATAGTTGTTGCTCTTCAGAGTAGCCAACAAGGTCGGCTTCATTGGAACCTGACGCACACAGGAAAGCCCTCAGCTGCAAAGCTCTCCCATTTCGGCAGCATGTGAGCTCATGTCGACCCCTGCCTCGCTGGCAGGCACGGTGGCCTCCCCTATGGCCTTGCAGTTACGTAATGTTACGTACTTCCGATCACTCAGACATCGACTGCTCGCATGTGTTGCAAGCGAGAAGAAGGCCGCCTTCAAATCCTCGGACTTCGAAGACTCGAGCCTCAGCACAGGTCTGAGAGAGTGGGCCATGGCAGGTTAGGAAGGTGACTACAAGAGAGGGTTCTGCGTGTTGACACACGGCCGGTATAGTGGCGTCGACTGCGAGCTCGGTGCCGGGCGCAAGGATCTCCGGCTAAGGCTCTTTCAGCCGTGTGGGTGGGAGGGTAACCACAAAAAACCGAAGAATTGTGCCAGACACAAACCTAATGGACGCTGGAGGATAGGTTTTGACAAGGCTCACCGTGCAGTAGAAGGCTGGCTCGCATCCTTTGCAATTGCCAGGGCTTGGGAGCTTGAGGTGATGAAGCTGAGGGTTGTTAGGGCTCCAGGTTCACGGACTAGGCTTACGTAAGGGTGGGGTCTTGGACGACGCGCCTGCGGGAGTGAAGCCATAATTGCCAGGACCAGCCGTCAGAAAAAATCGCACGCCTGCAAGGTACACAAATGCACCGGCAAGCAGATGCCAACTTGAAGACCGCCACCTCCATCTCGAAGTCCGCTGGCTACACAGGTTTGGCAGACGATCTCCTGAGGGGGATGAGAACGCAACCATTCTCCGAGTTCAGTTCGCATGATGTGAAAATCCGAAGATGACTGCCCGCTGAAGCTGAAGAAGCCCTGCGGAGTTCATAACCTCGAACTGTCCGAGCTGAAGTCGCGCTGGAGCGAAGTGCTTCTGCCCATTCGGGACAGGAGAGGCATGGAGAGGCCCATCGGTGGTGCAGTCGAGTTTCAGTCATCCGACTTCGATTCTCGTCCTGTGCATGCCAGCACCAGCCACCCGCACCGACGCCTCTAGCTATGCAGTAACTATGCCCTGCGCTCTGCTGCTAGTATGCTATGAGGCTCTCCTCGGAGGGCCCGAAAGGCAACTTCAATCGACCCAGCTTGGCACTCTTGAAGAGGCGGTCCAAGTGGATTCCAAGCCTGCTAACTGCGATGGGAGGGAGCGACGAACAAGCCTTCCCTTGACATGCTTCC